TCACTACCTCTCTTCATCCGATTTCTCACTTTCTTCCGACTCTTCGGTCTTTTCAGATTCGCTTGCTTCCTTGTCTTCTTCTTCACCTTCACTGCTACTGTCGGCGCTGTAAGCATTAAGGGTTTGTCATGCAAATGAGTTATGACATGATATGAATGCTCTACCATGCAGCATGATGCCAATCAACAGGATTTGTATATGTAAGAAATACAAGCTGGCAGTTCTGCTGTGATCATATATTGTTATCATATCATTTTATTTGTTTGTTTTAATGGCTTAGTTTTTATTGTGTCTTTGAATTTTACAGGCTGAAAACACTGAAGTCAAATCAACAATATGCATCGTAAATTTCTCTATAACTTATCTTGAAATTATATTATTAAATCTTTCAGCATAGGTTTGTACAATTCTCAAAATTCAAATTAGAAAAAGAAATTCATAAATGAACTAACAAATATTTTGCAAAATGTTAGTTTTCTACTGAGAAAAAAAATAACCCCTTTAGAAATTAAAAAGCATTCACTAAGTATGCTGTGTGATATTAAAGTTCTCTTCTGAAACAGATTAGTTTTTATTTTAGACAGATTTAAAAACCTAGATGACAGGGTGTGGTGTTATGTAAGCTCTGCCTGTTACGTATTCAAAAAATATTGAATAAATTTAATTGAAAAAGGGTTCTAGGAGACATATGCCTCTGTAACAAAAAATTTAAAAGCATTTGGTCAAGGTAGAATTACGGGGTGTGTTGTTATGTAAGCTCTGCCTGTTACGTATTAAAAAAAAAAAATGAATAAATTTAATTGAAAAATGTTTCTAGGAGACCTACGCCTCTGTAACATAAAATTTAAAAGTATTTGGTCAAGGTATAATAAAAGTCAAGTCAATTCGTTTCTCTCCTTAACGTTACATACGTTAATTCCATTAGTTCCCCTCCATAAGGTCACATAAGTCAATTCAATTAGTTCTAATCATAACGTCACATTATAAGTTATTCAATTATACTGCAATTCCCCTCATAACGTCACATTTTAAGTTAATTCAATTAGTCCCCCTCATAATGTCACATACATGTAAGTTAATTCAATTAATTCTCCTTTATAATGTCATATTTATAAGTTAATTCAATTACATTATAGTTCCACTCATAATGTCACTTTAATTAATTCAATTAGTTCACCTCAAAACGTCACATAAGTTAATTCAATTAGTTCCCCTTCATTTTGTCACATAAGTCTATTAAAAGTGAAACAGTTTGTACTTCAGGTTGTGTATGTTAGAAACTATTTTAATACTAGATAATAAATAAAACATAATCAACAGTAAGAGTTTAATTTTTTTTTTCCTTTAGTGAATTGTATGTAAGAAATTATTTTGCAAATATGCAAAGAAAAAAAAGTTAGTAAAATCTGAAAATTCAATGGGCTACATTCTTTAACTCCTATAGAGTTTGAATTTGGTTTTAAAATGTTGTTTGGGTTGGAAGGTCATGATTTCCCCAGTATATTATGATTAAACTAACAATATTTTAATTCACATTGCTGTAATAAAACAGATTAATCTAAAAAGCTTCTAGTTCATATACAAAAAGACACTAATGGGTGCATGGCTAGTCAAAATGATACCCAAAAAACTAATGGTGTATGGCTTGTCAACATTATAAATGCATTGGTCATTCTGTGTAGTAACACAAGATTGTGTGTGCAATTTAGGTGAAGGAAGAATGTTTCCCAGTTAGCACTTATATAATAGTTGTCTAATTATTACAGTCACTCATCAGTGACACTTCGGTTTCAGATTGACTACAGAAAAAACAATCATTAGTTATATATTTGGTTTCTTGTATTCATATGGAGCTTATTTTATAACAGTCATTAAATGGTTTAACACGTTGATTCACTTTTATACAATCTAACTGAATATTATTACCATTAGTATAAATCTTTGTATTTCCTATTTTTTTTTTTTACATACATGTACTAGGCTAACTTAAGTCGCCTGAATATAATATTGTATATTACGTATCCGTCAAGACTGCCACATCAGTACCTTATAAAAACAATACTTGAAAAGTCCAAAGAATTCGTCACGATGAATGTCGAGAATCAAATATATTTTTGTACTTTTCCAAGAAATTTTTGTGGGGTTTGAAAATGAAATTACTAAAAGCTGCAAATAAGACGATTAATAGTAAAGACCCTAATAGTAATAAAGCAAATTGAAAATATTCTAATCTGGATAGAAAAACAAATGAGACAAAGAAAGCAAACGGCAAACTGAGAATATTTGATCTAAAAGAAAAGATACCTTGAACCAAATATATTATTCAACTTCACGTCCAAATAGTTTCTACAGAAAAAGTATCAATTATAAAAAAAATTCTGTATCTAATTTCTGTAAATTCACAGAAAAATCTTTGTATTTTATCTTGTAACATAATTGAAATGCTAAAATTTCTATAAAATTCAAACAATTTGTTGCTCTCTCAAAGACAATACTTCTGCTTTTATAAAAAACTAATGCAGTTATGTGAATCACAAGTTTAAGTGCAGAAAATATTGAATTCGTATGAGCACAAAAGCAAACTGGGCATGTATTTTTAAAATTCTGTTGTGTAATTGGAATTTTGAACGTCCAATTTCTCTTAACATTATTTAACAGCATGACAGAATGTAATATACATGCATATTTTGTCCACTGTGTAAAGTGATCATAATGCATAAAATATAAAACTCTATTGAGTATTATATGACTTGAAAATCATGCAAAAAATAAATTCATACATCATACAAGTTGCAGTTGGTGTTCATGCTGTACAAGTGTTGAACAAATGAAACCAAATCTATTGTATTGCCATCAATGGTATAATCACAATTTGTTTTAAAATATTAATATACATTTGTCTATTTACAAAGTTTCCAACAAAAGCTTCTTCTAAATCAAGCAATATTGAGAAAATGTGTTTTTAACATAAATACTTTTACCTTTTTGACAAGATCTCTTCTTCATTATCAACTGTTGTATTTGGTGAAACAGTCTCTACTTCAGATCCTACAAACAAAATAAATACAATACATGTAGTGTAAAGTCTGGCTTTTTGTTATCATAAACATTTCATCATCACAAAGGATTGTCCAAAACAAAAAATATTGTTGAAAAAATTTAGAAAGAAGAATATAGTTGGCCAAATCAAATCTGAGGAGTTTTCGTAACGTCAAGACGGGTCTGTAGTGGCATTCCTGTTTCACAAACAGAAGTTTTATGATTTTAACATTTTTCAAATCTTACAGTATAAGGCAATATTTGGATTATGATGAATACATAATATAATTTTGAAAACTAACATTTGTTCAAACCTTTCATTATTTACCAAATAGATTCTGAACAGGAGACATCATATTACTAGAATAAACTGTAATAAAATGTGATCTGATAGTACAGTATTTTAAACATTAGTCTTGATCAACAGGTTCTTAAACTATACACACAGTATTAAAGATGCATTATGTAAGATTTATATAAAGAACTGACAGTTCTTGCTATAATAATTTAAATATAGATAATGAAAAAGAAATATATTGAAAATTTCAGTTAAATTACTTCACTCTAAGAGAAGGTATGACCGTAGAATAGCATTGTCTTGATTTTAATTTCTACGATAAAACAAGTCTCAATTATTCATTTTTAAATTAAATCATCAAATGGTGATCATGTTTCAATCTGTTTAAAATCACAATCATCCGATGATCTAGAGAGTTGATTACGGGCTTGTCATGTGAAGAAATGCCTAATTAATAATTTATATAACATTTGAGGCCAAAAGAAAGATCTGAGGCAGATTTAGCTCTTTAATATAATTTTAAGTAAACAGGACTACCGTTCGAACATCCGTTTCATCAAAATAAAACATCACATTTAAAACAAACAGATCGATAAAAAACAAACCTTTTATTAATTCCTTTTCTATTTTAGCTTTAAAGATATTACATTTCATTTGATCAGCAGGTATAGACGTAGCACCACCAGCAAATTTAACTTGATTATTTTTATAATTATTAACATCTTTATGTCTCTGGGCTGGTAATGGTTTCGTTTCATCAAGTCCTTTCATTCTAGCTATGGCACTCTCTGAAGCAGCTGTAAAAATAAAACAATACCCAAAACTTACATTTGCTATTCTGATGATAAATATTTCCATCGCCTCAACATATAACACGAATACTACATAGAGAGCTAGAGAGAAATGGGGTTTAATGTCCACTCAACACAAACTAGGTCATTTCAGGACTAACATATGGCTCAATCGCATTTCAATAGTTTGCTTGCACATTAGGGTATGTTGGCAGTTGGAGAAAACCACTAGACCACCCAACCCCCTAATACTGCATAGAATGAAAGTGAATGAAGAATTATGTGAACCAAGTCTTCGACTCTCTCTCCCAGTCCAGTGGTAAATGGTATCAGATAGTCAAGAAGTATATCAGTAGGGTCTTCAGTAGTAACTTCCATAATGCATGAAATTTTAATGGGTGCACTTAAATGGCTACTTCCAGGCCTGAGAAGATAATTTTGAAACACCATTGTCTCTTTAAAACTTTCTTACCCTTTATATCAATATCAGCTGTTGTAGTACTAGTTGATGGTGCTGTTAAAGTTGCCTCTCCAGCACCATGTTTTACTGGACGTTCTAATGTAGAGCCTTTAATAAGATTATCCAGACGTTCAACTGCTGATTGAGATTTAACCTCAGCTGTTGATGGTGTTACACTAACTGTTGGTGGAGTAATTTTATTACCAGAGGGCAGCACAACTGTAGTATCAGTTGTATCAAAACTTGTGTCAGCAATTGGTGGAGATGGGGCCGCAGCTTTTCTCCTGGAAAAATAAACGCTTTATCACGATTCAAAATCAAAATAATAACCAATTTAATCCCAGAAAAAGTTACTTTTTCAAATATATTTTTATTTGATAATTTGTAATCAAAATAATATTTTCTTAAAGTCTTACTTTTCCTCAGCCAGTCTCTTCCTTTCCTGATCTCTGCGTTTTTTCTCAACCAATTCTTTACGTTCTAATGTAGCACGTCTAGAATAACGTTGACTAGGTTTTCGTTCAAATCTCACACTTCTTCTAACTCGGTTTAATGTTGCCGTCTGATATTCTGTTCTTCCACTACAAATACAATCAGAACCATTTTACCATTAACTTAATGTCTTATCCAGAAGAACAGAACAAAATGCTAGCCAAATGAACTTTCCCAAGAAAAACATGATGTTAGTAGAGAAAGAGTCAGCATATCCTTCCTAATGCACAACACACAGGTAACATCAATTGGAACAATATCAGAAACTGACAGCCATCAAAATAACCCTACTCTCACTTAACTCTTGTAAACCCATCATTGGTCTACTTGTACTTAACGCAAACCATTTTTTCTTCATTTTCATATCTCAATGAAATAACATATAGGTCTTTACCTGTATCTAAATCGTGAACCCATTCGGAAGAAATTTTGTCTTGTTGAAGTTCCTTTAACTGGTCCTTTAAGTCTGAAGAAAGCATGATGTTCTACAGCACACTTCCACAGATGTTTACACGCTTTCTCACTCAACAGTCGAAATACAAACGTGTGATCTTGACCTTTACCCTAAAATAATATATAAAATAATCAAACATATGATCTTGATGCTAAAATAATAGATAAAACGAAGCAAATGGGTTGTAGCATTCATTTTCTTAATTTGAGATCGGAACATGCCATATGTCTTAAATGGTAGGAGTAGGATGGGTGAAAATGAGAGAATTTACTACTAATACAATACATAACAGTGGGGGTTAAGTGGAGAAAACCCAATACGTTAGGCAGACGACACTACTCGTCAACATAATAACGATCAATCTTATCTATGAATTATCTATGTCTTTATTCATTTATTGGGACAATGTTCATGACTACAAGATCAAGAATTTAAACATTCCTTTACTTGTCACCATAACAATTCCAAGTTGTGAATATATATAATAGTCAATATTTATCCCACTTACATCTTCATCATCTTCTACAACTATCAACGTTAACTTTTTTCCTTTAAAGTCCAACTTTGTCATTTTAGGCCTGAAAATAAAAAAATCATTTTAAATTCCTAGTCTTTTTCTACAACAGATAAAACATGTTCATTAAAATGAACTTAACAATTTTCTATTCTATTCTGATATCAAACATATTTCATAATAGTGATCCTACCAGCTATTTTGACAACTTATTCACTTAGATAACATAATTTTGTTTGTTGCAGACCATCTGATGTTTCTGTGCATATTTACTATTTAGAAATGTAATGGTCATAACAATTTTTATGGATTCCTTTTTTATATTTTCATAGACATCCTAAAGGGACTTCCTTCCTCTGGTTGAATAATAACATAATTTTGTTTGTTGCAGACCATCTGATGTTTCTGTGCATATTTACTATTTAGAAATGTAATGGTCATAACAATTTTTATGGATTCCTTTTTTATATTTTCATAGACATCCTAAAGGGACTTCCTTCCTCTGGTTGAATAATAACATCCATTTCCCATTCGATTAAGGACATTGCTGTTGAATTCCAACATACACTCACCAGAAGAAGAGGCCTATTTTTTGTTGACCTTCAAACACCAATATGCCAGTAGGAGTAAGTCCAAGAGTATAGTCCATACCATCACGACCCTGGACTGTATGCATATCTACACCATACATCTCTAACCATTTCGCTTTATTTAAAAATACAACTTCTGCTTGTGCTGGCGTCTGACCTCTGCTTTTTAAAAATAAAAACAAAGAAGATTGGCTTTGTTTTGACCTAAATCTAAAATGTTTAACTCATTTAAGGATGTTATGAAGGCCTTTTACCAATAAAATCAGGTACGGTACTCATAATTATTCATATTATTATTATTATAAAACAATTATATAGCACTATCATCACAATAAATAATGAAAATATAAATATCTATAACTTTAGTAAAAAAATAAATATCGCTCTCCATAATGGGTAATCTCATACTTTCAGCACTTATGTTCTAAAACATTTATCTTGTTCACTTACCACTGATGTACAATCATTTACATTAACTCTTTCAGGTCAAAGAAACAATCAGACATTTTTAACAAGCATCATTTCACTTACTTGCATTCTTTATATTTTTCGAATATTTTAAGCTCTAATTCTTCAGTTTGATCTGGTACAAAACGAAACTCAGATATCAAAGCTGCCGTATGTTCATCAGGGTCATAATCTCCCAGCTCCGCTAAATAATAAACATTATTTCAATTAAAGCATAATATCCCAGCTTCGCTAAATAATAAACATTATTTCAAATTAAAGCATAATCTCCACGCTCCGCTAAATAACAAACACTATTTCAATTAAAGCATAACCTCCCAGCTTTGCTAAATAATAAACATCATTTCAAATTAAAGCATAATCTCCCAGCTTCATAAAGAATGATCTCCCAGTTTTGCTAATAATAAATATTATTTCAAATTAAAGTAATATGCTTAAAAACTATGACAGATTTATAAATATTATTGAATTCTGATTGTAAAATCATTATTTAATGTGATTTTCGTATGGTGTTATAAATAAACAAGCTATGTTCATAGAATGGTGAACGTTGCCTCAAACTCTACTCTTAGCATGAAAAGTTGAACTAGAGGAAAAGATAGTGTTCAATACCAGGCCATACATCAGGACCAACATACAATATATTTTTATACAAATAAAAGAACAGCACTTAAGGGTCTTTGAAGTGGGTGAATCTAGAGTACTCAGGGAAACCTCATGAAGTTAAGCAAGTGACCTTACTGCTGGGATTAGGTCATGACTTGCATATATAACAGGCCTTATATGTTCTAGAGCAAACAAGTTAGACCACTCCCCCACTTGACACAAACTAGGTCATTTCTGGATTGACATATGGTTCAATTTTATTTCAATAATTCCCTTGCACGTAGGGGTCTTTAGCAGAGGCCCAGGAGAAAAAACACAAGATTAGGCAGGTCACCCTACTCCTTATCAAGCGGGGAATCGAAACCATGCCACTTGAGTCAATGACAGACCTTGTGATTTCACTGGCTCGCGTTAAAGCATCATACCAACCAACCCTCAGAGAGAGAGACTTACATTGTATTGCAAAGGCACACATTTCAATAAGAACATCTTCTGGTGGTTCTAATCTTTTACTATAAATATCATTCTTTAATTGCAAGAAAAACTGGTATCTGAAAAACAAAAAAAAATGGTACAATTCATCCAAAACAGAATATGAGAAGGAACAAGGTACATTTTTAACAATGTCTGATGGACTTCTTTAATTCAATCTGTACACAAGCTGTAAGGATTAAGTCATTCACTGAACTATGTAATTCTTTTTAAAGTACAGACTTTAACAATTGGCTGGAATTCAAGTTATGATATGAACTACAAGAATGTATTTTCGAAGTATGCATATTAAAATTGAGTTCAGTTTGTTTGGGCTAATCAGATATATTAACATATTATGACATTTACATATTTTTTTCAAATTTGAAAATATTTGCTGTGCAGATGTGACCACAGGTGTTAAGGATTTCAAAATTTTGCTAATTTATTTGGTCAAATTAGTAATAATATCTCAGGATGTTTAATGAAGATTTTAAAATATTTTAATTGAAATTTATTTACATGAGGGAAGACAATTTAGCCTACTCTTACCCTTTATCCAACTTTCATGTGTTCTTTCACAGTTTTTTTTCTGTTCCAAACCAGAATTAGAAATGAAATGAAATGGGGTTTAACGTCCTACTCCGACTTGGCTAATGAAGACAGGCATATGCCATACAATGCGCCACAAGGGAAATTTTGCCAGGACAGCAGCACTAAGGCCTACTCTTATATTGAATTCCAATTGAAAGGGGTTCTTTTACATGCACGCCAATGTGTACACGGGACCTCATTTTTTGTACCATCCAAATGACTAGACAGCTGTCCATGTCAGACCCTCCGTCCTGCACCACTGTCAAGGGGAAACCACATTGGATAATCTTGATGAACTGTCTCAGCCAATACCGGGAGCGAACCTGTGACATCCAGACTAACGAGCCAGAGTCTTACCCACTTAGCCACCGTGCCCCACATGAGAATAAGAACCCAGGACATTCTAGTCAAGAGTCCTGTGATCTCGACTATTCTCTCTATATCTTAAAAGCTAAAATCTCTACAAAATGATTGTGATTAAGGTCAGCATTGTTATCAGATTTAACATCAAACATTTCACTGTATAAATGATTAATTATGACGATTTTGAAGTCAGGATGTGCAGGAAGGATGTACTATATTATTTGTTTCTATTTATAAACTATAATCATTAATAATCTACTTTCAATTTCCTTCCCTATCTGTAAAAACTCATGACTTTCATGTACATGTAGGTCAATGATTACATATCTTGCCATGGCCATCATCTGAACGGAAAAGTGTATTAAAACTTGAACAATGTGCTCAAGGCCTATATTAATTTTAATCTTTTTAATGAAATTTGCAGTTTTCTTTTTTATATTCTACAAGATTCGTTTTTAATGTGTTTTAATTTTATTTTTAATGTATTTGTTTGTTCATCTGTGATATGTTTTATGTAAGTATAATTGTATCTGCACCAGAGAACAACTTTAAGGCACACTATTAAATGAATCAAGGACATTATTTATTCCCTCCCTCGCCTCCTCCCCTGCATATATCAGACGATTCTGTTGGCTGAAAGTGCTCCGCTTTCTGTCAACTGAAGGTAATACTCACTATAATTAGACAAACCAGCGTCTGCCAGATGGATAGAGAAAAAGCTTAAAACAAACAGGATTTTTTGTACAATCAGGGGCAATAATCCTGAAAGTTATGGTCTGAAATGCGCAAATATCAAAAGGGACTGAGATCTTTAGGATATAAAGATATGTTTTAAGTTTCATCAGAATCGGATAAAAATTGTGACCTCTAGAGGGTCGACAATCTTTGTATTGCATACTTTTACACAATTTGCATACAAAGAGCGGCCATTTTGTTGGGCAGTTTCATTTCGATTTTTAACGAAATTCGAAATCAATATTTAAACGGTTTTTAAAATCGGAAAAAAAAATGTAACAGGGGCAACGATAATATACGTTAGTGCTCCTACGGTTAGGACTTTTTGTTATTCAAATAGCGGTAGCTATTAACCGGTTAGTAACCATTTAGTATCAATTTTAAATATAAAACAGAGAGGTGCGAGTCATAACTTGTGCACACGCTATACTCGCCTAAAACTAAAAGGCATTACCGCACAAAAATTTCAGGAATTTTTTCATATAGAAATGAACAATTCTTTAATGAAAATTAAGGCCGTAGTTATTATTTGTTTACCTGGTTAACTTGGTTCATTTGAACCATTTTTTAATTCAATATATATCTACTATAATATACAAGACAATACTCTGTTTCCCTTCGTACTTGACATACAATATGTATGGCGATAATGTTACTATGTTACACAATGTTACTAAGAATAGAATATAGTAAATTGGAAGGGGTCTATTGATTGGACAATAAAGGAATAATTCCGGGCTTGCAAGTAGAATTTTTATGATTGGTTAATTAAATAAATTCCAAAGTAGAATTCACGCGAGAAATTAGGAGTTATGAAACATGTTGAATGTCGTAACAAATCTACTATAATGTCATTTTCTAGCCTTTATGAATATATTTTGAATGGTGGTTACGTTTATAAATAAATATAAAACAAGGTAGAATATAGTTAGAAATGCCGAGAAGTATTTAGATTGGATTAACAATAGCTTAAGTCAGAACCAGGTCCGTTGACTTTGTCGTATGACTACGACGAGTGCTATTAATAGTATTATTTTTTAACAATCGATATCGTAGGGCGACTGTTACATTCTAAGATTTCAAACATCAAATACAAAAGGACAACGGACAAGTTTTGTTAGAAAGAGGAATATAATCAGACAACTCTATGTAATGGGGGACATCTTCGAATAACCGTACCGTTGAATTCGAACCGTTTAACCGCCCAGTTCTAACCGTTTACGGCTATCCGACTAGCCGTAGGAGCACTAATATACGTCCACATTGTCAGACAATACTGTGAATTAGTGAGTGTTAAGACAAGTAGACAGAATGTAGATTCAATATCCAGACAATTTTCAAGTTACAAGCACTGTGGTCTCAGATTATAAAAATATTCTATCACTTCCAGAAGGTGACACACAGGTATCTAGATTGGATCAAAGAACTCCTAGTGAATCAATGAAAATAAACTGTGTAAATTATTGTCCTCTGTCTAGAAACAGTCGACCCAGACAGACATTGAGAAATGAAATGAAATGAAATGGGGTCTAGCATCCTACTGTTCTGCTCCAACTGGGATAATGAGGGAAATTTTACCCAGCCATCGGCGCGCCAACCTACTCTTATATCAAATTTCAACTGAAAAGTTTCTTTTACATGTACAATGTATTTGTACATCAATGTATACATTTACATAGCTCTGTCAGGGGTAACCCACCACTAGAAATGTCTGTTAGAGTGTTTTTGTAACACCTGAAGATGTACGGTACACTGCTGTGCGATTTTCATGTGGTACACTTTTGAGCTAATCTAGCCTAGCTGGGGTGCATGGCATTTTGGGCGTGAAATACCACACCCACCACCGGAAAACCGGCCGACTTACATTCTGATGATACCAGATATACATCCATTGATAACATATAGGAAAAAAATGGTACACTTTTCAGCTAGGTTGGCCCCCTGGTCTCCCGGTCTAATATGTTGTCCCTTGCTAGAGTCATTAAGAAATATGAATAAGGTGAATATGAAATCCTTTAATCTACAACTTACCGAGTTAATTCTTCATGTAGGTTATTGGGTTCAGACGAATAAAATTTTACCCGAAATCGGAATGTGAAATGTGGTCCAACTGAAAGATAAAAATATAAAAACCTCAAATGATTTTTATTCTTTTAACAGAAATCTTGTGATTAAAGTACCTATTCAACTAAAGAAATGCATGTGCTCACAATATCTTGGAAAGTTTGACTTAAGAAGAGCACAAATATACAAGTAAAGGGGCAGTAACATTCAGTCTAGTAATTTGTTCAGGATGTAGTTAAGACAGGTAATAATGATTCTAGTTGTACCTGATAAAATGTCATGTATTGATCAAGCTGTATTAAAAAGAAAAAAGACAAATCTAAGACAAATCTTAAGACAAATCTGTGCCCACAAAATGACAAACCCCAGGAGAACTGTGTTTAACCTATGGCAAGGGGTGTATTACTAAGATTGTAAGTCTCCATGTGTACATGCACTATAAATCTTTATTTCTTTAACCCTTTGTATTGTTTCAATATCCTTCCTTTAAGCTTGAGCGAAGTCAATATACAGATGGTCATTCAAAAATTCTTTGCTTACAACAAGATGGCCAGTAGCAATAAGCTATGTTTTCTGCCTTCAGCTGGATGATTTTGTAAATGTTAAATTAAAATATTGTCAAATAATTCTGACCAGCTCTACCATTAGCAATAATTATTTAAAGCATTTAAAGTGACTGTTTGTGATTTGCATTTATTGGAAAATATCAGATTTATCAAGACTTAATATACGCAAATATGTATGTGTACTCAGACAACAAAATCAAAAAATTAACGCGAGATTATTTTACTGCTTGGATTAAAGACAGACCCATCAATTAGATTTACATATATTTAGGGAGCAGCATAGATCAATGAAATTTCAGTTCATTATATCTGTGTAAATACTGAACGGAAAGATTTTTAGAGATTCTTCTTCCACAATATTGTAATTTGCAAGGGATTTCTTTATTGCTCAAATCATGTTCATGGACTTTAAGAATTCAAGTAGCTGTCGTAAATTATCTGCCATTTGTTAGAATACACACACATATGAATCATTTCCTTTAAAAGGTTTATTTCTTTTATTACTATCAGGTAAGACAAGTAGTAGTGTAACCTTTCAATACTATTAAACCTGAGAAGGTATCGGATGACCTTTAACAAACACCAACATACATTATCACCTACAGCATACACTTAACAGCAAAAAATGCTTTTTTTTACTAAACTATTTTACACTTAAACTAAGTTAAACTGTTTTAATGTAAACCCCCAAAACAGATAGAAAATTATACAGCAAAAATTTCTTATTCTAAATTACCCTACACTAAAACTGTTTAAAAGTAAACCCCAAAAACATTATAGAAATAGAAATCTGTATATTTATCAGCTTTTTTCTTGTAGAAGACTAGAAGTAAGAGAGGGGCTAATCTACATATGGTATATATCACATTACATACATACGTACATGTACATGCTAAATTGAAGAATATATTTCTCAATTTACAGAATTCATTCATTGTTTCAGTAACAAAATGAAATGGAGTTTAATACGCAACAATTTTTGCACTGACCGGGCTAATAAAGACGGGCATACGCCTTACAGAATGCAATGAGGGATTTTTTGCCCAAACAGCTGCGCTATGGACTACACTTATTTCAATTACAAGTGTCAAGGTTTCTTTTACATGCATGTGCACGCCAATGTGTACACCAGAGTCCCAAGTTCAAAGAAAAGAAATATATAATGTACGTACAAGAACTTTAGATTCATTATTAAAATTTGATATTCCTTTACTTCTCAATCTATTAAATCTATCTTAATTTATATACAAATATTGTTTGTCTTCTAATAAGATGATTATTCATTTGTGAGTGTTGTAAGTATAACAAAATAAAATGAACTAATTTATAACAACTGGGTTTAGAGACATGAGGTTTAACCTAGAAACAAAATATATAAATGGCTTTTCTACATACATGTATATAAACACTATCTATCTGTACTACAGGTGTCATGTTATATAGTTAGATTAGAAAAAAAACAAAACCATGACAACAAACAATTGAAGTTATAAAACAGGAAGATATTTCACAGCTCTCTTCACAAATGTAACACATAATATTCAAATTAGACTGTGAAATGTCTAAATAAATGTTTACTTTAATTAGTAATAACTACTAGATGTGGTTTTGTTTTCGTTAGTAGTAATGAAGTGCTATTTAACTACAGACTATTATTTCATTATTATTTTATTTCGACAGGCCTAAAAATTGTATTTGTAATATTTTCTGAATTTACTTTGATTCTCCGGACAGCAATCTGCACTTAAAAACTGATGTTTTATTGAATAACCAAAGTCTACACGGCAGTGAAGCTTTATTGAACATTTTGTAAAAATCTGCACTGATTGAGATGTTTAGTTCTGTGAGAATCTTTGTGTAAATCAATCATGGATTTATATGCATGTAAATGTCGCGGCTTAATGGACCTGTTTCTAATCTCTATATTTGGACATGAAATTGATGTCATTTTATTTCAGACATATTATTATGAAGATGTTTTTTCAGTCATCACTAGAGATGTTGGGACCAATTCAAATGCTCATATCATTCTGTAAACAGCAAAGAGAATTTGGATACATGGATTTGCAAACTTTGTTAATCAAACATCTGCATATTCCTATAGACGTAGTATAGTTTTCATTCTTTAAAGTGACAATGAGTGTGAATAACTTGTTGTCATTCATCTATCTTTCAGCTGTTGTTAAAACTTTTTATAATGTCTCTTATTGTACAGAAAGTCATTTTGGTTGCTATGTAATTTCAAATTTGAGTTTAAAACATTGTATTTGAGAAATGAGGATGTTTCTAAGATTCAATAAGCTTGTTGATGGTCATCATATATAGTACATGTATGTTTTAAACTCCATACACGGCTGGATGTGGTTTGTTTTTTAAGAGAACTTTCTAGTTTTTAAGAAAGGGGGGAGAGAGAGAGAGAGAGGAGGTTTAATGTCCACTCCACACAAACTAGGTCATTTCGGGATTAACACATGGTTCAATTTTATTTCAACAATTCACTTGCGCGTAGGGGTCTTTAGCAGTGGGAGAAAACCCACGAGATTGGACAGGCGACCCTACTCCTTGTCACGTACAACCGGGAATTGAAACCATGCCAGTTGACTCAATGACAGACTTTATGATACAGTGCGCACATGCTAACCATTCAGCCATCCAACCCCCCTTTTCAAGAAGGAAGTTACGTGACAATATCTAAATCAATTAAGACAAAGAAATAAATACATAAATGGTACAAGTGTAGAAAATCTTCAAGCCTGATTAAAAAGAGGCCCATAAAAAATTTTATGTTTATTTCCCATTCAACTCTCCATTTGATCAAAAAACCCTATAATATATTTTGGAAAAATGATAATTGCTGAAATATGAACTGGTTTTTACACAACAGGTTTAGGGGAAACAAAGGCCGGTGATTTGCTATCTCAGTCTCCAAGGAGATTAGTCCATAAGTATTCAAAGGGTTCCCACTTTGAATATTTTTGGTTTTCACTTAGATAATTTGCTGCCCCTGCCCCCCCCCCCCCCAAAGAAGTGCATAACGGTAGGACTAGGGAATTCTGGCTGGTTTATATTCATCATACATGTATTTATGTTAATACTGAACAGGAATTGAACTATTTTTAGAGTGATATATCTTCCATAGATTCAACTTATTGCTGTACTTTAAAAGCGATTCCATATTCCTTTAATGACCATCAGTGGCTTTCAATCAACAAAATCAGGCAACATGTTCAGTTTTTAACAAAAGTGCACAACACACTCAGGTTTATATTAAAATAACGATCAAGGTAAGCTGGTTTGTATAAAATTAGTGCACTATTAAATCAACATATTATAAAACATGGAATCAATATTATGTGAGACCACATGCTGTTTGTTTAAACCGTTAGCCAAGCAATTGATACAATAACACAACTAAACTAAAGTTAAAACAACGTTTACCCTGTCCACGGACAGTTGTATATGGAATATCTGTAAAGACATTTAAACAAAGTTTTATAATATCTTCTAATCTTCATCAGTAAACAGACCCGTCCAGTTGAACTAATATTCAATAAGACTTTTCCACTTTGTACTGAAGACCATTTATAATAAAGATTCTCATACTCAATAAACAAAAGTTCTTTTTAACTGTAATATTACTAAATGATCAAGACTAATATAAGGCTTGATCATTAATCAGAAATATATACTTATGTCTATGTGTTCTTGGGTTAAAATAGGATTCTTACTGAGTTAGGGAACTCTATTTGGATCCCCCGGTAGACATGCTCAACGTCGAAGAACGATCGTCAACATTTTTAGAAGCCTTTACATGTACCTGAGTTTACCACCTGAGAATGTTGACATGTACCAATAGTATCAGCTCAGACAATAAATACTTACTTTTAGCTTGTTTTTTAATCTGTTTGGTTGGATCAAGCCAGTGCTGAAAAAAAAAAAAATTGAATAATAACCGAACTAATACTAATATTATTGATAATAGGCTATCAAATTAAAACAAAAGGCAAAAAAGAAATGAAATGGGGTTTAACGTCCAACTGGCCCAATGAAGATGGACATACAGTGTGCTATGAGGGAAATTTTGTCCGGACAGCGGCGCTATGGCCTACTCGTATTTTGAATTCCAACTGTCAAGGGCTCTTTAAGTGCACGCCAATGTGTACATGGATCCTTGGTTTTCCGACCCATCCAAACTACCTACACAATTGACAAAGGTGAACTTCGCCGGAAAATCTTGATGTACTTCCTCAAACAACGCAGGTTAGTGAGCCAACGTCCTACTCACTGAGACACCCCTACAAAAGGCAGTTCAATTTATGTTAGTTCAAATGAAGAACAAAAGCTAATTATAAAGGTCAACTTTTTTTTTTAGGACAATCGTTTTAAAGGAGCGTTTGGGGAAGTCATGGTGACTCAGTGAGTAAAATGCTGTGTCACTAACCAGGTTCAATCCCAGTATTAAACAAGAAATTTCCTCTGAATTTTTCAGTGTGGTTTCTAGTTATTCGGATGGAACGAAAAATCAAGTTCTTGTGTATACATTTGTTGTGTACATGTAAAAGAACCCTTGGCAGTTGGAATTTGATAAAGGGCAGGTGAAAACGCTGCTGTCTGGACAAGATAAAAATTCATATCTAATATTTATGATATCATATATGAAGCCGACAATGTATATATGTATATGTGTTAATGTATATGTATGTCTACATATTTTCAAATTTATTTTCTAAGAAACCGATAATAATTGCACAAATAAATAACTACTTACTGTAACATTATGAGTATCTGTATATTGCAAACCAAAATAATCTTTCTCAACCAAATCAAGATGGTAGAAAACTTGTTCAAGTAATTCTGAACCCGGAGATTTTTTCTGTAACCATAAAACAATGTCAATATTAGAAGAGAGACAAAAGTTAAGCCTTGTTAAAACAAAAGAGTTCGTCCACTAAAATAAAGTAAACTTAAATCAGTATAGGGCCGTCTTTTATTTTAAAAGTCTAAAATATTATGTTGTAGCCCTAGATATTTCATCAACAATGATTAACTGTCTTTGTCCATCGTCCGTGCTAGCGCTGATATTATTGCCGGACCGACGGACAGAGGCTACAACAATATTCGGCCACATTAACAGTGAGTGTATAACAGTAAAATAAAGTCATTTTCTGCAGTATTTGTAAAGTTTTAAATATTTTGGAGAGAAAGAGAGAGAGAGGTCAACTCGACACAAACTAGGTCATTTCTGACTAACACATGGTTGAATTTTTATTTCAATAATTCGCTTGCCCTTAAGGTTCTTTAGCAGTGGGAGGAAACTGGAGAAACCCCACGAGGTTGGACCGGCGACCCTACTCCTTGTCATGTACAACCTGGGAATCGAAACCACGCCAGTTGACCCAATGACAGACAGTATGATACAGCATGCACATGCTAACCATTCGGTTATCCAACTCAACCTTTGGATTGAGAACCAAAAGAGTTTTATTTTTATGCAAAGATGGTCCAAAATTGGAATTGTCTAAGTTATACAGTCCTGGTAACTTTAGCCTGATTAAAGATATATTGTTCAAGTGTATTAGTCACTGTAGATGGAGGGGCATGGCCCTAGATATCATGAAATATTTTATTTTTCAAGCCAAATGGCTGAAGTACTTTTATTAAAATTTTGACAAATTTTTTTTCATAAATAATATAGTGTATAATAATGTGTATGAAAATAAAAGGTGACACACCAAGTCTGAATTGGAAGAGTTAAATGAAAGTAATTAACATCAACTGTGGAATATACCATATTGTTGCAGGTTAGTTACATGTGGTTGTGAAGATATCATGTATAAGATAATGTTCTAATGGTTATACACAGACATTTTCTCATTAGTATATATATCTACATGTAGTAATGATAAGTACAATGTACTGGAGTAATGGGTGGAACTGTCTTGAATGCTTGGATAGACTGTAGTGTTATCTGTTGGTACTGTCTACCAGACCTTGCCATGAAGAAAGCAAAGAATCACTCTCACTAGATTTTGTCTTCGGAGAGCGGGCAAATACATGTATTACAGCCTGCAAAATGTTATGTTTGTCAGATAGTCAGTGATTTGTAATATTCAACATTTAAATGTTTCCTCTCCTACATTTACATGTATTGTATGTGTCAGTTTCGAACCAGTTTACATGCAGGTGATCACACTCCTTTTTCTGACCAGGTCTAGTCTGCTACATGTATATTACTTCAGACTCCAGATAGTGTTTAAATATTTCTAACACAAGAGACTAACATCAAGAGAATATTTGTTTTATAAACCTGATGTGATTACTAACTTGTCAGATTGATATAGATAACTATATAGTATAGGTGGTAGGAATTGTTTGAGTGACATTTCTAGTGAAATACATGTACAACAAGGGTGTCATCTTGTGTCAATAAGCTACTGTACTGTATGTGATTAATTTTAGTGTTATTCACAATGAGACAGATAGGTCAAATTAAAATAAATTTCTTGAACTTATTTCATCCACACTTATATGTCAACACAGAATTTCATTCTTGTGTTAGCCTAATATTTTAAATCCTCGATGAAATCTTGGGAGAGGATACATGACTACCATCTAAGCCAATCTGGAGAAGAGAACAGATTTACTGAACTTCATTTAGCAAATTATTATTCCCACATAAATGTTTGGTTAGATTTGACTAGATAAAATACATGTAGAGTTGTAGACAGTACATGTACAAAACAAAAATAACACTCCTATAAATCAGGTCACCATCCCAAATTTATTAGCATAAATCTTTTTTCTCGGGTCTAGTACATGTACATGTATGTAATTTGTTTGTTTTCCTCAATACCAGTACAAACAATTCACAAATTAGATTAAGATGCTACTACCTAATACATCTACACTGAAAAAAATGTTTAAAGAATGAGGTGCTTATTAACAAAGATTCAAACCATTAAATTTCAAATAACCTGACTGTTTTCCTGGTCATTAGAAAGTAAGTTTTATGTGTCAATTATATTTGAACATATCTTTGAATGTGCACTAAACCCAACTAGATATCAAAGGCAAGAAACAAACGATTCTGCATCTTCTTGTAACACTGTCACAGAGATTTTTTGATTAACAATGACAGTGTCAATAATCACTCGGCAAATTCCAATGGTGCGTGATATATACCTACACCTATACAATTGCGATGCAGCACCAGTTTACTTATAAGGAAACTTGTCGCTTTTACAAAGAAGTTCTCAAAATTGTGTAGAATTTTCAGTGCAAAGTTGTCCTTGAAAATCAGATAAACTTGAAAGAAACCCAGCTTCTGGCTTTGAAAGATTTGTATGACAAAACATTCTTCAAAGGCGTCATCATGGGCGACGCCGTTGTTAATCCGGGAACTTGAAAGTACATGTAATTCCAATGGCAGACTTTGTCATACAGCCGAGGCTAGATGTTGGATACTGAAGTCTGCTGAGGTTTGCCGAGTGTGCCAATAATATCCAATAGTACTACATTATAAACCACTTGTCAACCACATTTGCTAAAAGCCTTATTCCTTGTTATAGAAATCTCAGATAGGAAAGTTAAGTGGAGAAATACAATGATCTATCACGATTACAGTTAACTAAACAAATGTTGATAAAACCAATTATTTATTCATCTGCACCCTGGTATTAATACAAATAAAATGTTGACAATAAATACTGTACAAGTATGAATATTGTATTTTGTTGTTATTGTCAATATTATTGTCCTACTACTGTTATTGACATTAGACTATAAATACATTTACACAGTACTTCAAGTTAAGTCTTAAAGGTGTCAGCCATATTGATTTGTCTCTCGTCCTACTGCTCACTGGTTGATAAACAAAATTCTTTATTGAAGGACCACTTTAAAGGCATGACATCCAGATTGTTCACATTTATTTCAAAAGTCAAAAATATGTACTACTAGCCATGAACCGAAAGTAGGATAATGCTGAAATCGGAAGTGGTAAGCCATCGCCACCAAGCCTAACTTACTACCCGATCCGATCTACCCCTATACACCAAATTTCAGCCTTGGGACAGCCCTAGTGTAGCCACCAACCCTGAACAGACAGACAGACAAAAGACAGTTCCAAATATTAGTATAAATTTCAAGGTAAAGACTATAGTAATGCAGTATATTCAATTTTAAAAGAAGATATATCCGGTACATGCATTGGCTTGGATAAAAATTATAATACTGTATATCATTATTACTTGAACTAATTGCTGAGTGAGAGAGATATGATGGTGCTGTGAAATCAATAGAAAACAATGTAAATTTAAATGGCCATAACTAAAGTTACAATTGATTTGAATAATTTAAGGCCAATAATGTTTTAAAATAAAAATACTTTTGATAATGTATGAGAGGGGGCTTTAAAGTAGGCATCTTTAATTATGCCTAAATCTGTTGACTTGTGATTGTTGTTATAAATATAAACATCGGATTCTATATGAATTTACAGCTACATGTACATGTATGTACTGTGACATCTTTATGATCAGAATTCCAACTTCTCCCAACTAACCTGTATCATCATTTTTGTTTTTAGTTCCCAACATTTACAATAGTACTTAGATTATTTGTAGTGTAGATTTTCACTGGTTAGTGCACTATGCTCGCTAGCCAATCAGCAGTTAATGGGTTAAAACAGATATTGGCTTATCACTGTCAGAATTCAATTTGTACTTGGAAGATACTGATATCAGGACTCGAAGCGCAGCAATATAGTTGGGTACATACATGTACACCTATAGAAGAATATAGTGGGGAAGTAGACAACTTACATGTATCAAAAAACTGATTCAACAACAAATATTATATGACTTCCCTTTAAACATACACTATGCAAGAGCTAAATCTGCATATTACAGGTCATTCTTTAGGCCAAGTTAAATGTTACATTTATATAAACTATTAATTAGACATTTATTAACATGACAAGACCATAATCAACCCTCAATGCCATCGGATGCCTCTGACTTTCAACAGATTTGAATCCTATCTGCTGTTGATGATTAACCATAAAAGTGGATAATCAAGACTTTGAGTATTATTGTAACAATGGTAACAATGACAATCGAGGCTACAGTGTTATTAAAATGTTGTTTTCTTGGCTCGGAGTGAAGTAATTTGAAAGAAATATTTGGAATATTCCCTTTATATTAAGTATCAATTTTTTTAACTATTACAGTGAGAACTGTCAGGTCTTTATCTAATCTTCAATGAGGTTGCTTTAAGGAAGTGTCCCTTGTATATTCCTAGATTGACAGTGCTAGTGATTGTAATAATCCAGTGAGATTAACTGTGGGACAAATTTGAAAGTAGAATATATACATGCAAGAAGCCACTCCTTTTCAGCGATATCTCCTTATAAGCGGCCCAATTGAATAAGCAGTGAATCATAACTTTTTTTTAAAAACTGTAAGATATGACAGACATTAGGCAAACTTTAAACAATATAATAATACATGTAAATGACATCAATCTAATAGATGACTAATATAACAGGTAAACAGGTGACTACAGCAGAAAATAGTCAATAAATATTCATACTAGAAGCAATAAATAGCTTGTTAACTAGTACAAGCAGGCTAGACTAGCCCTTGTTGGTATAATCAGTAATATTTTTTGTATTTCGTTTTATTTTACATTTAGGTTCCCAAATTTCAGTCATTAACTAATTCTCAGAAAAGTATGACAAAAGGAGGTATTTTGAAATCCTATGATAATCTGTTGTCCATGACAATAAGTTTACTGGTATATATGTTAGTACAGTACATGTATATGTACATGTATACTAATACAGATTACTACATACATGTATAAAGCCAGTTTTGAAATATATATACTAATCGGTCTACATGTATATCAAATTTCATTTTCCAGTGTGTGTAAATCAAAATTTAAAATAGAATTAATAAATTGAATGGAATTCCACATAATCTATTGGAACAAAATTTAATTGTAAATGTACATTGTATAGAGCTAGATCCATCACTTATTTTGGTCTAAATCAAAGAGGTTTAGGTATTTGAATCCTCTCACATATATTTCAAGTTATCACATGCACTATGTGTTAAGAAAAAGGGAGTGTTTTTATTTGATTAAATACATTAGAGATGTTTAAAGTGTAGGTGTAGATGGACGTAAATTTAACAAAAGCCCATTAATTACCTAGTTAGTCCTGGATACACATCTTTAAGAAAATGGTGGATACACATTAAGATTTGTTTAATGAGTTAACATGAGAGGAGAATGTCCACATCATTTGATATGTAGAAGTTTGAACAAGTTTATTTGATACTCTTGTTAGCGGACATCCCAGTCTAACAGTAGTAACATCTCGCTTATACATTATACATGTACAGTAGCCTTTATACCAGATGAGATTTTTTTTAAAGGGGCAGTACATTATACATGTATAGTACATTTGTAGAGTGTCCTACACTGAAAACAATCTGCAAAACTGATACCTACTCATTACCGGTAATCATCAATAAATGTCCCTTAAAATGTTGTATTTTGTCTCCCTAGCATTGTACATTTGACCATAGAAGACACAAAAACAACCACCTGTTAGTATCAGAATGATAAAAGTATTATGTTGACGAAATGTTAAACTCTATCCCTTTTCTTCTATTGTATACATTGTGTATAAAGTTGAATGACTTGAACTAAATATTGTACAGTACAGTAGTAGTACTGTACATGTACTTCACCTGGTCATACAAGAGCAAATATTGTTACCTATGTGAACTTCCTAAATAAATGTAACATGCTAGTGTCAGGTGTTTTAGATGATTTAGCATGAACTGTTTTGTGCATGACACCTGCCAAATTAGCCAATAGCTAAAACAGGAGCAATATTTCAGTCTGGATTAAGATTTGAGGAGCTGAAGTGTATGTATTTTATGGTTAAAGCAGCTGGACAATACAGAAACATCTCTACAACAAAACTGGATACCTGTATAATTTATCCAAAGAAGTGAGAAGTTGTACCAGGTGTTCTACAATGTACAAACAGTAACCCATTCAATAAGCTACCCAGCAGATGTAGGTTGTACAAGTAGGCCTATGTATTCTAACCAGACTGGGCCAGAGGTAGATAAAGAAAGGCCCTAGCTAGGTACATATATGTATTTGGCTTTTCCACTAACGAGGCCACTCCTAATGAAATCCCCCCATCCTCACGACCAAAAGAAGATGAAAGTGTGTTTTAAACACAATTGAATAAAGCCAAGGATGATGACAAGGGTTAAAGACTACAGAGCGTGTAAAAAAGGCTTATATGTATGTTATGACAGTGTGAAAAATATTAAATACACCTTGGGTGGAGGTCCTAGGCTTCAGTCTACCAAACCTATTACAATGTAGGTAAATCTGGCAATGTACACAATCACATGATCTGTTCATTTATTTTGGAAGTTACATACAGGTAGTTGATATTGGTACAAACACATGTGTCTAGAAATGATGAGGATTTAACCATCATCAGAGGTTGTTAATGTTCACAAATCTTCATTTACATCATGTACACTTCAGTCTGTGATGTCAAACATAAACCTGGAGCAGTACTGGCAGTACATGTAGCATATATTGTATTCCTCTGAGAGTGTGACTGAAGGACTACATAATGTATCTTAGACTTAGAGAGAGAGAAATGGGGTTTAACGTCCACTTGACACAAACTAGGTCATTTCGGGACTAACATATGGTTTATTTTTATTTCAATAATTCGCTTGCGCATAGGGGTTTTAGCAGTGGGATGAAACCGGAGGACCCGGAGAAAACCCACGAGGTTGGACGGGCGACCCTACTCCTAGTCACGTACAACCGGGGATTCGAAACCACGCCAGTCGACTCAATGACAAGACTTTATGATACAGCGCGTGCACGCTAACCATTCAGCCATCCACCCCCCCCCCAATGTATCTTAGAAGACTGTCATGTCTTGCCATACTGAACATTGAGGTCAATCAGTAAACATATGATGTCTAATGAATATTTTATATCCTGCACGCGCATATGGTATATTCGGCTTAATCGGGTGTCTGGTGATATTTTAAAAGTCAAGGGCAGAGAAATTTGGACACCTGAACCATTTTCATGTTGTCATTTCAATACCCTGCCACACCACCATCCGGTCCCAATTTAAACAATTCTGTACCTGTTACAGGACTTGCATTAAATAAGTTTTAGGTAAAATCAATTAATATCCAAAACATCAATACCGGTTTACAGCTGAATGCTAGCCCGAACCACTCCCAAGGCTGTAATACAACTGGCATAACCAGTTAACGATATATGTACAGGTATTGGTAGACTGATTCTGCAATCTCTCTGAAATTGCGTTTGGCATAACAATGTTACACCTCAAACAATATGTAAACAGTGTCACTTTAATTTGATCTATCTATCTTGAATCTTGTCAAATAGTTAGGCTAAAATAAATTTTTAAAGTATGTAAAGTAGTAAAATACAAAGCAGAACAAAATTTCTTACATGAATTTGTAATGTGATCTCTGAGGCATCTAAAAGGACAACAGTGCAAGTTAAAAGATGCTTTGACTTCACTGGAGTTGGCTGCTGACCGTCAACAAAGTCAGAATGCGATCTTGCTCCACCACGGCCTCGTCGGGAACGACGTTTGCTAAACAATCTCGTAAAAAAAGACATTATTGCTACATTTGGCACAGTTCTGCTAAAATCCCGTTAAAATTCAGTTTGGAGAATTAATCACCATTACTTGCTTGTCTCATATTAGAAGCCTTCGTTCATTAACCTGGCTAAAATTCAGTTTTTGGTAACAAAATTCTTCCCGTGTTGTCAATTGACTTCCGGTTGCACATTCCGACCGTGACGTTTTCATACGGAGATTAACGAACTGTGTCGGAAGTCTCCTTTGCTGAAAAGGAATTTTTCATAGACCACATTAACCAGACACAATTTAGTTTTCATTGATATCAATGACAATGCAAAGCATGTTATCCGATCTGAGGACATACTCCTCGCAGTGTTTCGTTTGATTAGAGCTGAAATGAAATGAAATGAAATGAATTGGGGTTTAACGTCCTACTTGATTGGAGCTAATCCCAGAGGGATTTCTCGGGCCATTGCTTCAGGAATATGATCTGAGGATGTAATGATAGTAATGTCATTTTATTCCCGAAGAAAACGCTGCCGACTGTGTGACGACCATCCTTATTTATTGTTCATTTACAAGTAAATGAAATGAAGTACGCAATCTAGGCTAATGAAGACGGACATACGTCATACAGTGTTCAATGATGGGAAATTTTGCCCGGACAGCGGCGCTACGGCCTACTCTGATATCAAATTCCAACTGCCAGTGCCAAGGGATCTTTTATGTGCACACCAATGTGTAGGGCCTAGTACTTACATGTAGGATCTTGGTTTTCCATCCATCCGAATGACAGACAGCTGTCCTTGTCAGGCCCTGTGCCCTGTAGGGCCCTGACAAATGGACAAATGGAAACCACCCCGGAAAATGCTTATGAACTTTCGGCTAAACACCGGGAGCGATCCCCCGACCTTGTAATTGATCTTGTAAAAATCACACAGGTTAAAGTTATTGAGACTTTTTAAAACCTTGCTGAAATTATTAGGCTACTCTTAATTAAAGACACACCATTTTGAAATTCAACGTCGCATATTAATTTTATGTATAATTGTTTCCCCTCTCACAGAAATATTGAATAGCCTTGTTTTTATGCAGAGTTAATGTCCCTGATACCAAAACCTAAAGGTTCCTATTTTTTTCAAAGTTGTTAGAATTATTTGGTTTAGTGTAGTATCAAAATTCAAAGATGCACATCATTTGGGTGTGTAGCTATTGCCTCGAGCAAATATGCCATTTTGAGATCCCAAAAGGGGTATGAAATGGCTTTCAAATGACAATGCAACATTTGGGAGGATTATTAAGTTTAATAACTTAGGATGTAGATAAGTGATTTGATAATTCATATATAACACCATACGTGTCAATTCTTTCTATTCCACACCGGTATTTGACAAGTTCCACTTGCCAAAACCATCTACTGTTGAAGACCCCTGCGTGCAAGGGATATTTAGATAAAATTTATGCATGCCATGTCTTAGTCCTGAAATGATGTAGTTTAGGTTGAGTGAAAGTCATTAAACCAGACCCGCCAAAATCATTTTTCGACCGAAAACAGGAAACTGAAATTTTTACCGTTTCTGGAATAGATGTTATCAGCAGGGGCTCCATTAGTTCCGTATGGGGATCAATCATTGGTATTCCAATAAATTTAAACTGCAAATCAGTTACAGACTTAGAAAAAGAGAAAATAACAATTGATAACCAGGAAATCAACTGGGACTCTCCTCAAGGGAAACAATTGGGCCCATTAATGATTTTCAGTGAAAATTTGCTATTTCACGCGAAGTATCAAAGATTAATGATGGATTAGCATTTCATGAAGAAAACATTGTGGCTCCGATTTCATTGATATTAGGGTCTATGATTAATTACGTATTGCATGAAAAACAACGCTTTCGGACACGGTTGGCGTATCGTTTATTGGTATATGGTTTTGTAGGATTATGTTATTTACGGATAAGAGAGGGTATGAAATTTCATAAAGAATTGGATGGTGACACACAAGCAGTGAATCAGAGTTTAGAATTAGTGGAAGTGGGCATTGAATATATTAATAAACTTAAAGAGCAAAATAAAACAATTCCAACTGTATTAGGAAGTGATGAAAGACCTGTATACAGCTATATCATATACGGTAATGACTATAATTCATGGAAAACTCCAGAAACTTTTCTCAAAATTCGAAGAGATGCCCTGTTAAAATTACAAAAAGAACTTATTCAAAAAAATGGAAAGGAAATTAAGGAAAACGGTTCTGGTAATCATTCTGTAGTATAGCTGACAATGATATTATTTGGCCATTTATACAATAAATAAAGACTGCATGACCCATTAGTCACAATTAATGGTCCTTTAGTCTTTGACAAAATCAAAACCAAAAAAATAAAATCCTGCTCCCAGCTATTATGTTTCACAAGGATTGTCTGATTATCAGAATATTTTGGGAGTTATTGAGTATAATATGAAGAATTAATAAGAGTGTAAGAGTGTGGTAATTGTATATATTATTTTGAAATGTTTGATATAAAGATATATTTTGTCGTTTTATATACCAGTGTCTAGTTTATATATTCCTGAAAAAAAAAATGTAATTGGCTATAGTTTACAATTGTTAAAAGAAATGTCCTATGGTTTCTGTGTCGTCTAACGTTTTTGCTGTAGATCATAAGGTCTGTCATTGAATAATGTGTCCACAGGATTGTTTGTGACAAGGAGTAGGCTTTCTGCCGAATCTCCAAAAACAGAAGACTTAATTCTATGCACAATTATTATTAGTTCCAAAATTAGAGATGAATTGGAATGTATTGTATGGCAGTGACGAAAACATTTAATATTATTGAAGTTTATGAGACGATAAGTCTACTGAATAGCTTAATTTTAATCGGATGACCGGAAAATGTTTTGTGGATAAAATGCTAACGAGAAACCAAATTTCTAATCTATCTGTCTAGTCTAACAGTGGAAGGGAGACAACTCGTTTGATGGCAATTGGAATCAGACTAGTAATCCACTTCCCCACTGGCTTAATGCTAAATCCATGCCATTCCTTTACCAGTAACATTGTTTTAAACATACCGATGATTTTGATTTGTATAACCACACAAAAGCCAACATGTCAGAATCATCTGATAAATATATTGAAGGGTGTTGACCGTGTCGATTAGGAATCTATAGTGAATAGTCTCTGATCAAGAGAGAATTGCTATAAATATAGTCCCGAGTTTATTGTAACCTGCAAACTTTATGCAATTTTTCACCCGAGGAGTTAATATATTAATAAACCTGTTTGGTACATACATTTTTTCACTTGAGAAGTTAATATATTAATAAACCTGTTTGGTACATACATTTTTAAACCTGACACTGGATAGGTGGTCTTGGTGCTACAGTAATCTAATAACCAATAGCATCCACAACATTACTGAAATCCAGGTCTAAACCATCGCTAAATTTAGGCCATAACAATGTTGGTTAACTTTTTTTCTTCTCATTTGATTTAGTACTATCTCAGTGAATCTGATAACACATTTTGAGGGAATGTTTTGATGAGTATCTTGTTTTTCTAGTAGAGAATGTAATTATTTTGATTATCTTCAACTGGGTTAAATTGATGGGTAACCATTGGAAATGCAGAAGTTACACAAACGAAAATTATTCAACATAATAATACTGATATTCTGGTAAAATTTGGAATAAAATCCGCGAATCTTCATTATGTAATTATATAACGCGTTGCGCTTTCCAAATTAAGACGGTCGTTTTTTTGTTTTTTTTATCTTGATGGGTAAAATATGTGATATTCTCAGCCCCCTATCGACAACTTATCAGTAGAGTCTATCGGTAATGATAAAGTATCCACAGCAGCAGAAACCTTTTACCTGACCCGTTATATATTGACCAAACTTGACCACGTGGGCTGGTATGATAAACTGCTGTAGAGACTGATAATTATTTTCTTTCGTGAAAACATCCTTTTATGGTATTTTGCAACCTGTTTCATGTCGGAAATTTCAATGTCTTCATTTAGCGGCCAAGCGAATATTTGCTGCTGATCAGTTTTGGGGAGTTTGGTCATGCAAAGTTTGAGCCCGTTCCATTTAATAGATTGAACCATTATGATGACCGTCTGCTCCAAGAGATCACGTGACATAACAGCGAATAACAGGTAAATCACTACAAATGTATACATTGTTTCGGAGTGGTTAATGTCCGCTATAAAATGTGGGTTTTTCCATAAATATATTATACTAAACTGTTAAACTGCTGTCAAATTTATCTTTACACAATCTTTGTATCCCCGTTCGAACGCTATAGCTCAAATGTTACGGGGGAAGTTCGCACGTGCATATTTTGTGTGTGACGGTTATTTTGAAAATAGGCCTCTTAGATTTTATTCCATACGGAGCAGTTGTAGCGATTTTAATATTGGTGGAAGCCATCGGGCGTTCGGGCGGGCGATCGCCCGAAAGGCCGGTCGGACAAAAAATGAAAAAAATAATTTTGTCCAATTCGTCGAATAAACATTTTTTCTTTTTCTGCTGAACATTATATGGGGGGGGGGGGTATTGGACCGGCCATGGAGCGATGATGATCATGTTGTATGTGGCCGCTGGCTTTAACGGGCCGCCACGACATCACTGGAGTCTAGAATGGGCTGGTATAATAGACTTCACGAATTTCACTTTCGTCTCCCTGTACCAATGTGTCTCGTGGCCTTCCATCAAAGGAGGAATCAACTACTGAACTAGCGCTCCCAGCAACAAAAATGGGACACATTTTTCAATGAAGATATTCCTACTTATTCAATATTCTTAACTGGTTAATCAAATGGTCAAAATTTTCTTAACTAGTCCCATTTTTTAACCAGTTAAATTCTCTTGACTCTTGACGATACAATGATAATACGTTAATTAATAATATGACGATATGATAATTTTACAGGTTGATGGTTGTAAGTCGGGGTTTTGGCCTAAATTAACCGATTTATGAGATATATTATTTGACAGAGATTATAATCAGATATGCCACCAAATGGCATATTTGGGGTTCATTTTTCAAAATTTTCCAGGCTCCAATCCGCCCCTGAACACATTGAACCCTTCTTTCGCTCGTTTACATTGGCCTGCAGAGAAGCGGGATGGGGCGGTGACCCCGGGCATTTCCGGTGTGTGTGGGGAGGGGGGCATCCAATCAAAGAGTGAAATTAAATTATGGGTGTTAACTTATGGGTGTTGTACAAGCTGTCCTACCTAGGCCTAATTTGAAAAAATAAAAATGTTTATTTCACCTATTGGTCTACCGGTATATAAAATGTAATCACATATCTACCTAGGCCTAATTTGAAAAAATAAAAATGTTTATTTCACCTATTGGTCAACCGGTATATAAAATGTAATCACATATCTAAGTAGCCTAATAGGTCACACCACTGCTTGTTTAACAGTTGAATCTCAGCGTATCCGAAATTTTGAAATAAAAAACCAATTTTGTCATTCTAATCGCAGAGAGCAAAACGATATTTTCTGACCCCCGGCCACCTTTGTAAAGTTAGATTACGTTAAACCCTAAAGGAATAAAGTGCTAATCGTTAAACCATGATTTGTTTTTCGATTGAATTGTTCTTTTATTTTCTTTTACCTTCTTCTTTTTGTAGATCTAAATAATTAAAGCCAAACGATATGTAATTTTGAGGACTGAATTTCTAGGTGTTAAAACGAAACGTGGATAAACCAATGACCCATAAAGATTGTTAGGCAACGTTGTGCACTCCTCCCTCCAACAACAAAAAGCCTCCACTGTCTTTCCTCCAGATATGAGCAAGAGAAAGAAACACAGACATTGCCACCGCAGGAAATATAACAAAATAAACACATTAGGACCGGACACACAGACTTGTGATTTAAAAACTAACATCACCAAACATAAGAAAGTTAAAAAGAAGAAAAAAAGGGATAAAAGCAAACACGACGGCTTTAAAGATTTTAATTTCGAACCATTTGGTTCGGATTGTGATGACAAGGAAAAACTTTCACTGTCCCTGATAAATCTAAGCGAAGAAACCAAAATTTCGACACATAAAATACGGATGCCTACGAAAAAGGGATATAACTCAACAATGTTACAGGCGCAGAGTCTGGAATCGGATAACGAAAATAATCCCAATTGTTTAAAAGAGAACAAAATGTGTAGGTCTACTGTGAAAAAGTTGATATTAACAAATAGTAGTGATGTTGTTAAATGTGACATAAATATAGGTATGGGCAGGAGAGAAAATATACCCACCGAGTACAAAACCAGCCCGTCTACACAGCCCAATCACACAAATATAATGGATAGATACAGTCGTAAGCAGAAAAAACGACATCAAAAAGGTAGAAAGACAGACAAATATGAAAACATGAGTGTACATAGTCACAAACTGTTTAGTAATGGAAATGACATTGAAGATGATGTTCAGCTATTGGCAAAAACAAAGAAAAAGAAGAAAAGATGTCAGTCACGTCAGTTTATATATGGCGATGAGCACCAGGTAATTGCGGAGCATCAGGACAACACGGAACAGCAGGACACAACTGAGCAACTGGATAACATGGAACACCGAGACAGTATGGAGCACCGGGAAAACACGGATCACAAGAACAACACGGAACAGCGAACAAAGATGGAGCACCAGGACAACACGGAACACCTGGAAAACGCGGAACACGGGGACAACGCGGAGCACGACAAGGACAACACGGAGCACCTGAATAACCAGACCAACGACCATAACCAGGACAAGACACATCATGTGGAATCAAAAAATGTAAGATATAAATTTTTTATTCAGACGAATTTTGCAGGATTGTGATTCATGGTGTTTCAAACAAGTTTAATTGTCAGTTTGTGTGTGTTGCAGTCCCCCCGCACTTACTATTAAGATCTATAACTCACATTTTCCAGAACACTAGAGCCATTTCTTTTATCTGTGATAAGAATTTTGTCCTATGGACAGATCACGTAGCTAACGGTTTACATTGAAGTTTTTGGCACTTGTTACATTGGTGACTTTTATGTCGTCTGTTGTACGACACTTTCTGTCACATAATCTCGTATTGTTAAAACGATTCCTTATTAAAGCTTTTTAAAACAAAAAATTCAGCTGAAATGACCCGGTTTATTAATCTCATGTACAATTTCATTTTGAATTTTAGTATAAGTACATGGTGACTTTATATAATTTATGGAGAGATGTAATACAACAGGATATTCAAATACACAATCAAAGATTACAGCTAGAGAAAACGGTAAATAATTATAATACACCTGATTGGTTGATTTATAATATACAACAAGTGTCCAGGTTAGGCCACCCCCTCCCACCTTATGAATGGGGTTCTTTTAGTAGAAATAGTTTTTGACGGAGTTGCTCCAGGAAATGACATAGTTCTTGATGGAGTTTCTTCAGGAGTAAGATCTGTACCATGCCCCCATAACTAGATGACGTACATCCAGGGATAGACAAAACATATGATGGGGTGCCTTTAGGAGAATATACCCCGTCTTCATTAGTCCAGTCTGTGCAGAAAAGTAGGACGTTAAACCCATTTCATTCAGAAGTTATGGCATTTGACGTCACACATCCAAGAGTGGAAAAAACCCATACTGGAGTACCGCCAGGCATAGGCACAATTCTTGATGGGGTTCACCCAGAATCAGACATACCCGCCGGCGGAGTACCTCCGGATATAGTCATAACATTTCATGGAGGGCCTCCAGAACTACACACAATGAAGTACCTTCGGGTGAAGATACACTGTTTGCCTTCAGGAGTGGACACAACTCTTGATTCTTCAGGAAAGACCCTTTCCAAGTGTAGCCTTGATTTATCTTCTGTGTATACCTAATACTTGATAGGTATCTCTCGGGTAAATGTACAGTTTTATTAATACTTCTTTTCTCTTTCAGAAATTAGAAACTAAACAACTTTTTCGGGAGAAATTGAACCAGGAAGAACAACTTGCTGAGCTTCATCTATTAGTGGGATCCTTGAATAAAATAATAGAAGAGAAAGATGAAGATATATCTTCTCTGAAACAAGATTTCCAATATATCCAGGGTTTAATAGAAGATAATCATGGACTAGTCATCAATCATGAATCATTAACAGAAATTCAACAGAGAATCTCTGATGGTGTAACAATGATTAACTCGTTAGCTAATATGCTACAAAGTGGAATGTTTGATTCGAAATAGCCGACCGGACAAATAACTAATTACTCTCATTAAAGATACATTATGTAGGATTTAGATAAAGAGCTAGCCATTCTTGCTCTAATAGTTCGAAAATAGATAATGTAAAATGAATAATTTGAAAATTTCATTCAAATTACTCTATTGGGAGCGAAGATATTAGTCTTTTAAGATTTGACAAGACGTGTGCAATAATTTCAACCACCGTACTGGTTGCTCGAAGCTAAGTCTCGCTCCTCCATTTTTAGCTTAAATCAAAATATGGCTGAACTGTTCTAATCTATTTAATATCGGAGAAATCCTATGCCATCGAGAGTTGATTATGGCCTGGATAAGTTAATTAATGTCTAATTAATAATTTAGAAAACATTTCAGGCCTAAAGAAAGACCTGTAATAGGCAAATTTAGCTCTTGCATAATTTATGTTAAACTTTAGATACACCATGTAAACTATTATCAACAGAAAGTAAGAATATTGAGAAATAACCACCGATATTGTTTAGCATATTATAACCCCGCGTGCGTCATCAGATATAATCATGATATATCTTTTCTTGGAATAAGATGGAACATTATCTTTAACAAGGTCACGGACCCACAAGCAATGGACGTTAAATTTTATTGAGGAAATTATGTGTTTTATCTATATATTATAAGGTAGTTTTGTTCTATTCTATTATATTATTATCTAAAATTTACTGTTTGTTTGTACTAGTAAAATACACCGATTTTACCCCTATTGGATTTGAATTACTAAATATGTGTGCATTTGAAATCAGCATTGGGCCCGGGCACTGGTTATAAATCTTCAATGGAATGCTCCCCCAGGGTCTAGCAAGGGGAAACATATAATTCGGATGGGGTGAAAACCGAGGTCCTGTGTATACATTGACGTGCAAGTAATAGAACCCTTGACAGCTGGAATTCGAAATAAGAGAAGGCCGTAGGACCGCTGTCATAACATACCGTGTGTTGTATGTCCGTCTTCATTAGCCCAGTTGGAGCAGAACAGTAGGACGTTAATCCCAGTTTCATTTCTTACCAGTCCTCAATGACAAAATTACTGTATTGAAGGGATTTAAAATGGGGGTAAGAAAACCAACTGTGTTGAACTTCTCCAGTATGTCAAAATTATTTTGTCTATTTTATGATGGTTTTATTTTCCTGAAATATTTATTCTATATTTATATAGTTTTGTTCATATCATGTTCCCACTCCTGTTAAAATAAACATAAACATGCCATCCATAAGTAAACCGATAGACTCGTTCACTATTTCATATAGGCATGAGATAGAATCGTTATGTTAGACATGGATTCCAAAATGTTGTTTTCAAATTGATACTATCACCATTAACACGTATTAAATGTCTGGGATATTTCTTTAAACATTTTAAAATGGCGTGCTGGAATCGTAATAACCTTCTGCTGTTAACGGTTTTGTTTTTCCGTTTGGCCATTTTATCGTCAACTAGGCTGGAACGAGGTAAGTTTATCATTCTTGCAGATGGACAAGTGTAGAAGAATAACCAGATTTCAGTGTATGCTTAGGTAGGGCATCCAAATGATTGCTTGGTATATGCATTCGAAACGTTCATTGGTGGCAACATTGCAAGAACGTAACCGTAGAAAATTCCTATAACAATATCTCCTCGAGGAGTAGCCCCGTGAGTAAGGCACAGGCCCACTAACCAGGTCCCTGGTTCGAACCCATTGTTGGCTGTGGTTTCCCCTTGTCAGTGGTGCGGATAACTTGATACGGGACATCGTCTAGTCGTTAGGATGGGACGAAAACTCATGTGCACGTTGAAAAACCCTTGGTAGTTGAACTTCGACAAAGAGTAGGCGGAAACACTACTGTCTGGTCAAAACTTTACTTTGTAGCACACTACATGGTGTATGCCCGTTTTCATTACCCCTGTTGGTGCAGAAAAGTAGGACGTTAAACCCAATTTCATTTCATTTTGTTCCTCAGGGTAAATTAGAACATCTATTCCTACCTTATAGAGGTTTCATAGAGATGGCTGAAGTAGCAGTCAATGAAATGTGTTGAAACAAACCTTCAAAAGTAATAACTTAATAATAAAATAGTTTCAGTATCTGATAGCTTTTTCTTCAATGACGCATGATACCTTACGGGTCTTAGACCAGCGGAAATTTAAGCTTTCAAATTGGCCAAAGTGTCGATTTCACAGAATTATGTTATGTATTGTCTAGTGGGATGACAATCTGCCTTTGTTGGTAATTTTACGCCTATATATATAAAACCTAATATATATAATACATCAGATTGACCTAATTCAAACAGATTTAACTCCTTTTAGCTTGGTATCGCAGGTTCAGAATTTGGTGCTAACCCTTTAGTTAAATAGTATTATATATGTTTCAGAATGTTTGGGAACAACTAATGGCTTCACAATTTCTGGTAATTTTAGCACTCATTACAAGAATCTGAGAAGTCGGTATGAGAACTGTAATATTGTTCTCGGAAACCTCGAGATCACGAATCTCATGGACAGATCGATCAGCTACGACCTTTCATTTCTACAAGATATTCGATTGGTGACGGGGTATGTTCTGATTGGTCTTTTATCTGATGTTCGAATCCTCCATCTACCCAATCTAGAAATAATTCGTGTTGATTTACCGTTTAAGCTGTTCGATCAGGAATATGGCCTGGTGGTGGCACTGACGTCACGAAATTTTGTGCGAGGTCTAAAAGAACTTCATCTTCCAGCTTTAAAAGGTATGTTCATGTACCTTGTTTTAAAACATAACACTATTAGTTTTTGTATTATGCGTCGAGTTCAGTTCCAATTACAGCTGCTATGCAGCTGGAATTCTGCTTGATTTGATTTAGGACGTTGATGATAAACCCTATTTCGATAGAAAAAAACTATGAATTGGATTACTGATTAATTCTAATCCAATTAACATTATTTTTTTTGTATTTCTGCATCTTGAAGTTGAACTACATGTATTTAACTGTTATATTTTAGAAATATCTCGAGGAAAAGCGTTGTTTGTGGAAAATCCTCTGTTGTGTTATGTTAATACAATACCATGGAATGACATCACGTTCGGCCAACAGACGTCAGTAGACATATTGAAACATGGCGTCGCTCCTCAAGATCATTGTGAGTAATTCAAGATGGCTGATGCATGATAATATATTGATGAAATGAAATGAAATGGGATTTAAGGTCCTGGGCTAATGAAGACGGGCATACGCCATACAGTGTGCTATGAGGGAAATTTTGCCCGGCCTACTCTTATATCGAATAGATACAGGATAACCCATATTATGGGAAAAGGGCTAGAGTTTACGGTAGCTTTATTGGACAGATGAAATTGCTACATAGATTATTGTATGTTTATTTCAGGTAGCAATTGTTCTATGTTATGTGAAAGAGATGGACGGGGTGTCAGAAGATGCTGGGGACCGGAAGTAGATCAGTGCCACACAGGTCAGGATTTAAAATAATTATTCCCATTCTTTTCAGAATTCCCTAATACAGATCTCTATTTCGTATCGTTTTTCATACTTTCGATGGCCTACACTACATGAAGATCTGACCGGTTGTAGTGGAAGGTCGCGTCAGAAGTCATACGAGCGGCTTTTGAGCCTATGACGCCAGACATAGATTAACCAATCAGCGTTGTTGTTTCTAGTGGGCTACCCACAGTTCCGTACGCATCACACCAAACACTCGCCGTAACATACCGTTTCATTGGCTAATTCCCCACATTATCCAAAACGTGGGTTATATAACAACTCTTCCAGATCCAATTACAGTAAAGACAAGTAAAACGAAATTTTGAACTATAAAAAACGAAACGAAATAGGATCTGTGTTTAAATCAGATTGAGAATTCCCATAGATGTCTGACAATTTGTCTCTGGGCGTTAGCATCCCGGGTGACTAACTACCACCCCATAACGCGCCAGAATAATAGAGGTCACCATTTTTTTGATGTACAAATGACTTACAACTACTTCTAATGTATGGTCTTATCTTGGTTTTCCTCTCGATCACCTACAGTTAACGGACCTTGATAATTGTCATGATGCAACTATCACATTACTATATGACTGGGACGATAACATGCCATGTAGTTATTTCGATAACATCCCCCGTAGTTATTTCGTTCCGAAATGAATGAATACGATAATAAAAGCCCGATTATTACGCGAAATTAGAAGGGGGGGGGGGTCAAGATTTGATGGAAACAAAATCAACCCATTGCCTATTTGCTGCATGTATCCATTGTAAGGTTATATGTCTTTGAAGAAGCACTGCCTCTTCTAAAAAGAAAATAAATATCATAAAGTTTGAATAATATTATATTAACGCTAGATCCTCTTAATTAGCGAAGGCTCGAACTGGCCTATTAAGAGAAATTGAACGTTACAACATGTGTCGGCGATATCATGGGATTCCTGATTTAACTGTGTAGTTAAATCCAAAATTATATTTTCTTAACAGGCGAAATCATTAATGCCACTTTAAGGCAATACTATATGCTGACCTTAATCTCACGTTGCGTTCCCCACTCTACTCTCTCTCACTTTCCTTTACCCACCCCACTTCCTTCTAGCTTTGCCCACCATATTCCCACCTTGCTTTCCCCACTCTACCCCCCACCGTGCTTTGCCCACCCCACTCCCACCTTGCTTTGCCCATTTTACTCCCACCTTGCTTTATGTTAACAGGTATTTTGTTTCGGTGTCAAGAAGAGTGTTTAACGTGGTGTTTTAACCCACGAGCTTTTGGGTGTTGCCATCTACAATGTGCTGTTGGTTGCTATGGACCTTCCGATTCGGAATGTTTGGTAAGGAGTTTGGTTGGTTTTAAAAAACCGAATCCTGGTCCCATTATTTACCTCCAAATATTATTCAGATGATGAAGAATGTGGAATACGATTTAGAATTTTAACAGAAAAAAAACTTTAGCAGAAGCCACACTTCAAACGAATCCAAATTCAGATTGCCTCATCACCACAATAAAACAAACTCTTGATCTGACCGTGAAGGTTTGCTCTACTATACCGGACTGATTTTTCTATCCCAGTTACTAGACAAAATGGAGTTATTGGTATCACAAAAAAGAAATCAATCTGGCCTATTAAACTCTCAAAACTAAACGACGCATATAGTTGATTATAATACAACTCGAAATTTGAACACCGGCCAAAAATGTTTCGAATTGTTGACCAGTTGGTTTCAGCGATGAAGGTCCGTAGCCCTACCAGGATATACTTTCATATTCCATATTGCTTACAACGAATTTAGTTCATTATATCACTCTTCTATTGCAGACATGTAAATACTTCCGGTATGGCGGTCGATGTGTGCCAAAATGCCCGGAAGGATATTATGACATCGGACAGGAATGCATAATCAAGGAGAAGATTTTGGCGACCAATTAACATGAAAACCATTTTCATTTACTTATAGTCATTGTTGGGGTTTTCTTTCTGAGATTTCACTTAAATCCTTAGAATATAGTCAATTGAACACCTGGAAAAAGTCAACTTTGACCTTTTTCTGAATTAAAATTTAAATGGCTTAGGTCCATGTATTTGCATCTTAACTTTGCATAATATATTTGATGGGGTTGTTTTTTAAAAAAAAACCTTTTGAACGTTTAGCTCACTCATTTATGTTTGAAGCTTAGACAAGAATTTATGATGACAATAAAGCAATTTTGGCACTCAATTAATTTTTGATGTTTTGTCCGTGTATTGTCAGTTAGTACAGTTAGAACTGCAAGATTCGGGTTAAACATTCAATGAAGAAGTGTGGACAGGGCCCACAAGGCAGGAAAAACAAGTCCAGTGGAGAGGCCCCAGGACAATGAAAGGATCCCAAAGGCAAGAAAAGGGCCGGGTTAGTTCTATGGGGATTTGTTGATGTTTGGTGCACTTACTTACTATCTGTCCGGTTTAGTAAGTCATTGACTCCTTAACCTGGATGTCCCGTGTTCGATCCCGTTGTTAGCCGAAAAAGATCATGGGTATTTTGCCCGGACAGCGGCGCTACTGCCTACTCTTGTATCGAATTTCAACTGCCAAGTGATCTTTTCGTCCTATCCGAACAACTGCTATACAACATCGCATTAATAGAAATTCAAATATTTAGATGCAGTCTATGATACTAACGACTTCGCGATAGGTACATTTAAGTTACATAACGGAAGGATCAGAAGGATGCTGTCACAATTCTTGTTCTGTTGGTTGTACAGGAACTACACAATCTGATAGACAGGTAAGGTCGTATATTGTATTTATACAGTTTTAAACCGGGTCCTTCATTTGGCCAGAGGAATGCCAACAACTCATTTTGTATTAATCATGACCCTGGGCCATTCCAAATACGTGTACTAAGCCGAAATATACTCAACTTAAGACAATGTGACGATATTCATGTTTACATTCAGTCCCAGAACGTGTTATTATATGTTTTTATTATATATTTGTGACCACGTCTCCGACTTTACCTGAGCAATAAGGCTCCTTCCCCAACACAGAATTGAACCCAGGAAATGTTCTCAAAAATTCAACCTGACATCTGAGATGGTAATGTGTTCTCCATGATTGTCATGTAATGCACCCCATTCACACTACGACGTCAGCAGCATGCCACGACTCACGACAGCTCAGAGGAACCAGGCGTTTGGAGGACTCGACGCTGGCCACACTACCCAAGCTGTTGCCAATCACTTCCAGTTCAATGTTTGGACCATATACAGGCTTCAGCAACGCTTTCGGTCCACCAACACCACGGATGATCGCCTCCCGAGCTGGTATATCAAGGGTTGCCACAAGGCGAAAAGACCGCCATGTACGACAGCACGTCAGACAGTGGGAACACACGGAAGACCCACCAGTACCGATACACTGCGCCGACGTCTCACGTCAGACAGAACATCAGACAGAACACCCATTGCCGTAGAACTTACCGTGGACCGATCCTCACCCCTCGCCATCGACGTGAATGTCTACAGTTTGCCCAACAACACCAAAACTGGCGACACAGGCAATGGAGAACTGAGAGTCGGTATTGCGTAGCAACTGTAGGTAGCAGGACCAGAATATGGCGTCGACGTGACCCGAGTTATTCTGACCAATGTGTCATGGAACGAGACTCATGGGGAGGTCCAAACATAATGGTTTGGGGTGGAATCGGTCTGAACCAGAGAGTGGGTCTTGTGGTATTTCAAAATCTTGGTCCAGGGAGAGTAGGCGGCATCAGAGCAGTGCGCTACATCGATAAAGCTCTCAGACCCAACGTCATACCACATTTCGCAGGTCATCGAAACAACGTTACTCGGGATTTTCTACAGCAGAACGGTGTAAACGTTATGCACTGGCCAGCCCTTAGTCCGGACTTAAACCCGATTGAACATCTTTGAGATGTAATTCAGAGGAGACTTAATAACGTCGTACCGAGACCAAACATAGCCGATGGATTGCGCCAGACTTTTCTGAGAGTGTGGTTCCAGGTACCAATGGCGTTCATCAATCGTCTGGTACACTCCATGTACAGACGCTGTACATTGACACTCGCGGTGGACACACCAGATACTGATGTATAGACTGTGTACAGACTCTAAAACTTCTCGTAATGTCTTGGAATTGTAATGAATTAATCACTAATGTGTCAACATACTGTTCACAAAAAATTGCTTTGATCCATTTATTAAGTCGTTTTCTAGAATGATTTGATTAAAGTGTCTCTCTGATTTTGAAATCGTACTGACGGGTTTTTTTGCTGTTTAGTATATATTTTTTAAAGTGTAACGATAACTATGTTTCAGGTATGTCGTGATTTTTAAGATGGGCGATCAGTGTTTTAGCTACTCACAATTAAACAGGAGTTGGCCGTAAATAGTCTTCTCCTATAGAAATTCATCCCCAAGTGGGACATAAAGTAATTTGTTACCTCTTGTAAAATGTTACATTCTGTCAATATACAGTTTGAAATAAGGAAACAGGAACCATTTTGCTTGCCTTTAGTTTGATAGATTCTTCTTTCCACGTAAGCATTTTTATTGGGTGTAATTGGTCAAGGACTGGGGGTTGGATGACCGAATGGTTAGCATGTGCGCGCTGTGTCAGAACGTCTGTCATTGAGTCAACAGGGGTGGTTTCGATTCCCCGGACGTTAAAACCCATTTCATTTATCTCTTTCTCTGAGGGGGGTTGGATGGCTGAATAGTAGCACGTGCGGGCTGTATCATAAGGCCTGTCATTGAGTCAACTGGCGTGGTTTCGAATCCCCGGTTGTACGTGACAAGGAATATGGTCGCCTGACCAACCTTGTGGCTTTTCTCCAGGTCCTCCAACTGCGAAAAACCCCGACGTGTAAGCGAATTGTTGAAATAAAATTGAACCATGTGTTAGTACCGAAATGACCTAGTTTGTGTCGAGTGGACGTTAAACCCCATATTCCCTTCTCTGGTCAAGAACTTGAAAAGTACCAGGATAGTTTTATCATCAGTTAAATAAAATGAACAGCTGTTTATAAAGTAAAATGTATTGTGTAACAAGATACTGAGAATGATAAATAAAACAAGTTTTGTTTATGTAACTATTGCTTTATTAAAACATTTTATATGCATATAAATAAAATGAAATGAAATGGAGTTTAACGTCCTACTGTTCTGTACCGACAATTATAATTAGTCACACTAACAACCCTGCGTTGATGGGGATCGTCATGTTTCTAATATTCCGGAGTTGCGGTTCGACAAATGAATGAGACTCGAGTGAAACCCCCTCAATTACTGATTGTTCCAGTTTTCATATTTCATAACATTCGAGAGTTGATTGACCATGTTACTTCCATTGTCTTTGTGAAACACTCTGCCAGAAAGGTTTTCAACAACTCGAATGTTTCTTATTCTTTATTTGGTGTTGTATTTCTTTTTTATTTAGATCTACTGGCAGAGGTTTGATGTTGTCCAGGCCCGACTCTCTCTGCACGCCACTCTGTATTGAGTAACTTGATCTATATTATCTATGTGTACCATTTTACTTGAAAGAATACCAAGCACGTCAGCTGCAAGAGGGCTATATGGTGCCAAACATAATATGATGATTGTAGACATAATAAACATAAGGTACCAACTCGAATCACGACATCGACACCGAAAAACACAAGAAACACTGTCAACATTATCCGTACATTTCATGATATATGGCCGTTAACTACTCACAGTGGCGGCCGTAATCATGATTATGACAATTTTTGTCCACGTCTGCCACACTGAATTGTTAAAAATCTCATAAAAAAAATTGACATGTATTTGAAATGTTAATAAATTCAAAATTTATGCCCCCCCCCACCAAACAGCTTGCTAAGAATAACACATCCATATTTTCCAAGAGATCTAGAGAGAAGGGATCATCCCCCTCATTGCCCAAATTTTCACATGGAATCTCCATAACCCAATACTTCAGACCAAATTTGAAAGAAATCTATTAAAAACTGCAGTCACTATAACTTTCACAAGGTTTTCGATAAAGGGGGGGGGGGGCACCAAAGATCTATTTGTTAAGGCCAACTGAATTTTCGTCAAGGTCGCTGAGATATAAATAAGGTTAGGGCACGTGGTTGTTGGCGAGATTGTAGGTTAGGGTTATGGTAAGCGTTAGGGCTAGGTTCAGGGTTAGGGTTGAGATTAGCACCAGCCCTGCTTACATCTCATGACCTTTGAACAAACTTGAAGTTGGCCTTATGAAATAGATCTAACCAGTTATTGGGTACTTAAGGTGTCTGTAGTTCTGAAAATGTCAGTACAGAGAAATAATTTAAGTGTGGGCGTATTATGTCGTCCATCCGTCCGTCAACAATTGGCCCGTTGACGCGATAGAGGCTATAGTTTTAAAAAAATAACCCTTTATTTTTCAATTTGGCATGAAGCATTGGAGGTTCAAACGAGGACGAACCCTATCGATTTTCAGGGCTCTACGACCTTTCGTTCGTGAGTTATCTCCCCTTTGACCAATCAGGTGTGAACCATTCGGGTCATGGAAGCTCGAACCCTATCGATAGTGCAGAGTTTCACACTCTGTTCTGTCCTCAGACTCTGTTCTGTCCTCCACTCTCCCACTCTGTTTTGTCCTCCACTCTGTCACTCTGTTATGTCCTCCACTCCGTCACTATGTTTTGTCCTCCACTCCGTCACTCTGTTTTGTCCTCCACTCTCCTCTCCCACTCTGTTTTGTCCTCCACTGTCCTCTTCCATCTGCTCTGACCTCCACTCTCCTCTCCCACCCTGTTTTGTCCTCCACTATAACACCTGCTCTGACCTCCACAGTCCTCTCTCAATCTGTTCTGTCCTCCACTCTCCCACTCTGTTTTGTCCTCCACTCTCCTCTTCCATCTGCTCTGACCTCTACTCTCCTCTCCCACCCTATTTTGTCCTCCACTCTCCCACCTGCTCTGACCTCCACAGTCCTCTCGCAATCTGTTCTGTCCTCCACTCTCCTCTCCCACTCTGTTTTGTCCTCCACTCTCCTCTTCCATCTGCTCTGGCCTCCACTCTCCTCTCCCACCCTGTTTTGTCCTCCACTCTCCCATCTGCTCTGACCCCCACTCTCCTCTCCCAATCTGTTCTGTCCTCCACTCTCCCACTCTGTTTTGTCTTCCACTCTCCCCTTTGTTCTGACCCCCACTCTCCTCTCCCACTCTGCCTCCCCACTCCACTCTTTTCTTAAAACCTTGTTAACGCAATAGAGGCTTTCATTTTAGATTCGAAAACAAACCAACTTGTTTGAAATCAACGTTTTATCCTACTTATTTGATTTGTTAATTTCCGAAACAAATTATACCTGATTACTATTAGTTCAGTGAACTGCATTCATTTCGTTTTGGGTGGCAACAATGAAAGTGCGCAACTTTGGGGGTTAAATAATTGGTATATAGGTCACTAATTACAGGAAATAAAGGCGAGTTTTTATGACGTAATTTAGATAGTGGTAAATGTTAATACGATCATGTTCTTAAAACAATGACGAGAACCATACGACATCCTTTCTCATATCAAACTTATTACTCTATTTACCTCTACCAGCCGAATGCCAATAGCACGCGCATTGCAGACGACCGTGGGATATGTATGTCACGTGGTATAAAACCGTGGTATACAAGAACTTTTAAGAGCAAAGTTTTATGTTCACTTAAAATGGAGCTACGTTTTTTGGTTCTACTTGGTTGTTTTGTTTCGTGTTCTTCGGTTGATTTACAGGAAAAAACAAAATATGAGGATAAAGGTGAGTACTTGATTGAACCTGTTCCTGCCGTTAAATGACACTGCACTGCGTTTCGAAAGTTTTTAATATGGTGCCAAACCAGAATAACTGGATAATATTGTCTTTATTGTTTTAGTTTATAGACACTTTCTTCCATAACACTACCTATATCATTACATTGTTTACCATTTGGTAACTATTCAAGTTAGGTCCTGGAAATATATAACTATTCTCCTTGTCCTTTTGTTGACTGATATGTGATTGTTGACGGCTGGCGCCAAAATAGCCGTACAAAAGGCTGGCAAGGATTGAGAACGTTAAAATTCTGTCATAAAGCGACTGGAAAACTGGGGTTTCTTTAGGTTTTCAGTGGTTTTGGCGTCGTTATGGAGATTACGAACTGGTCGCACCCAATTCGATAAAAATATCGAACAGGAGAGGTCTTGAAATGTCACCCTTGACGACACAACATCGTCATTAATGTATCGCTCCGTGTACATGTATTTACTAATACAAACACTGTCTTACAAAGAGACCGAAATGTTGACACATCCCTGCCAGCACCCGTTCCTTGTGAGAGAGAGAGAGAGAGAGGTGGGGATGGGGAGGGGCCTGTTCACACAAAACAAACTAGACCATTAGATATATTTTAATCTAATAATGAACATACGTGCACAGCTGTCTTTAGAAGTAAGAGGTAAACAGAGAACCTGGAAAAAAATCAACGATGTTATGCATGCGACCTTATGCTGCTCTTTTTAAATTAAAGCATGAGCTCAAATTTCGGTGTTGTTTTGCCTTTCGGCTTGTCAAATAGCTCTGTTTTATACCGATGTGTAAATGTGGTCTTGCTAGTCTACAAACTGTATTTCTTTAGCGAGTTTTAGCGATAGTTAGTATCAGGGTGAAAGGTCATGACTGTGTATTTCTAATTTATAAATTGTTGATCAAAGTACTATGTACTGTTAACAAATATAGAACGGATTTCGTTGTATAACAACAAATTAATCCATTTGTAGAATTGCAATATCTAGCTCCTCTAGGGTTTTGAAATATTAAATAACATGTATTTCAGAGTGTCATGGTACTAGTGTGGGATTCGGCTACAGTGGAACTTTGAGAAACCATTACGAGAGTCTGAAAAACCGTTACCAAGGATGCACGTTCATTCACGGAAATCTTGAAATCACAAATTTAGATGATCCAACTATAGATTACGACTTGACCTTTCTGTCGGAGATCCGTTACGTCTCTGGGTACGTTCTGATCGGTTTGGTGTCGGAGTTGGATCAGATCAAGTTTAGGAGTTTAGAGGTGATCCGGGGTAACAGGACGTATCGTGTACGTGGCGATGAGTACAGTTTAATTGTTGCTTTGACGTCTAGGTTTAACAGTCCACATTTTGGTCTTCAGGAACTCCATTTGCCGGCTTTAAGAGGTAAGATAAATATTGTCCAACTTTCATAGACAGTAACAATTTATATTTGCAATATATCCACAAATTCCCCATTATCGACGCACTTGTAAGCTCTTATAATATCAGACGAAACTTTCAACCGGTCGTAGTTTGTAACAAACCATGCTACTACTGCGTCAACTAGGGGGGGGGGGTGTCTCCTCTTATTTAACTAGCAACAGAACAGGAGCTCCCCAGGGTTGTACCATTATCCCCATTTTATTTATCTTATATACAAATGGTTGTATAAACTAAGGTAAGAATTGTTTATTGTGAAGTTCGAAGAAAACGCGGCATTAGCAAACTATATTAGGTTATTTCGAATCAATATACAAATCTCAAATTTGTAATTTCAAGACCTGGTGCCATCAAAATTCATCTTGTTCATCTTTGGATGTTAAAAGAACCAACAAAATGGCAATTTATGAAAGGAAATCAACCAATGACCCTTTTGTCGCATATTCTACTATTGGTACATTATTGACACAAAATTCTGACACATCACACAAAGATTATTGAGTTCTCGCCTGAGTACACTGGTAAACTTTGTGTAGGAACAAAGAATTGGAAAATGATCATTGGTGGTCTCTTCTAATTTTCTTTTAAATGATTATGAATTCCTTGTTTCTGGTCGGCGACAAAGCATTCCACTATTCAAAACCATCAGATCTCGAAATTATTTGTACTCAGCAGTATCAGTTTACACTGTACACACTCTTCTTTTTATACACCCACATTGAAATATGCCCATATTGATTACCCCAGTCGGAGCAGTTGGACGTTTACCCCTCATTTCATTTCATTTCATTTATTATAGAAATTGTTGAGGGTAAAGTGCTGTTTTTACAGAATCCTGTGTTATGTTATGTAAATACCATATCCTGGGATGAATTAACCAAAGGATTGAACACAGTCGGATTTAATAATTCGGTTCATTATGGAGCAAAGGCATACTCCAACGACTGTAAGTATTATCAAATCTATCAATACATCTTGTGAATAAAAGTCTTAAAAGGGCTACTGATACATAATAATGCGTATTATAACCTTAAGTCGGCCAGTGGGTACAGATGCGTTATGTGTATTGGAGAGTTTTAAATGACTACCAATATATTATGTGTATTACAGTCTGAAAGGACTATCAATATATCATGTGTATTACAGTCTGAAAGGACTATCAATATATCATGTGTATTACAGTCTGAAAGGACTATCAATATATTATGTGTATTACAGTCTGAAAGGGCTATCAATATATCATGTGTATTACAGTCTGAAAGGGCTACCAATATATCGTGTGTATTACAGTCTGATAAGGGTATCAATATATCATGTGTATTACAGTCTGAAAGGACTATCAATATATTATGTGTATTACAGTCTGAAAGGGCTACCAATATATCATGTGTATTACAGCCTGAAAGGGCTACTAATACATCGTGTGTATTATAGCCAGGAAGGGTTATCAATAACTCTTCTGTATTAATGTCATAAGTGATGGTGGCCGTGTCCAATGAGGACCAAACTACCAAGATGGCAAGCCTATTCGGCAAAATAGAGACACACATGGTCAACGCCGATGTCCTGTGTGCCATGATTAATTCAATCAACACGGTAAAAAAAGATCAAGAGAAGAAGACGACGACGAAGAAACCACAAAAGGCGATCAAACGGCAAACCTCGCACTCCGTAGAAGGATATCTCATGTTCGTCACTACAGCACTGGCGATATGCCCAGTTGCTTGCCGGTTTTAACACCAAAGACGAACACTAATGAGGTACCTCCTATGGAATGTGAAACGCCAATTGACCAATAAATAGACAAGACAGAGAGGCATCCATCCGGACAGTCATCATGGCGGGCCAGGTTAAAGTTCTACAACTAAACGTTAATGGACTGGCTCCCAGATGTGCTGAGCTGAGAAAATACATCACCCGCAACCCGAAAGATGTAATATGCCTCCAAGAAACCAAGCTACTACCAACCAAGAACGACATCTACTTGCCCGGATACACTTGTCAGAGAAGGGACAGACCGGACAGCACGACACGTGGCGGCGGTCTTGCCATCTACGTCAGTGATAACTTAAATTATATTTCTGTTTCGCTTGACGTAGAGGACCCTCTAGAAGCAATGGGCATAGCCATCACATAGAGCAATAATACAAAATTGACAATAGTAAATGTCTATTTACCCCCAGATGTCACGAGTAAACCAGTTGACTTCCAGTCACTTCTCGACCAGCTTCCTCAGGACGAATTTGTGTTTTGCGGGAATTTCAACGCAAAACACGTCCTGTGGCGGTCACCGAGGAATGACTGTCGGGGGATTAGCCTATGCTCAATAATAGAAGAGAACGACCTATGCGTACTGAACGACGAGAGCCCTACTTTTGTTGGAGGAAATGCCCCACCTTCACACCTGGATCTCACGCTCTGTACGCTTGGTATGGCAAACCGCTGCGACTGGCAAGTACACGAAGATGAAACACTTGGCAGTGACCATCTACTGATAGAACTCTGCATCCAATGTGAAACAACCAGGGAAGTCTATAACGGGAAACCCAATTGGAAAATAAAAGAGGCTGATTGGGCTAACTTCCGTGTAGGCTGCCTTGGGTGGAAAGAAGAAGACATCATCGATGCCAACATCGACGTGTACGCAGCCAACATCACGAGTGCTATTATAGGAGCCGCAGACGACTCCATTCCCAAGACTTTTGGAGGGCAATCAAGGATTAGAAAACCTTGGTGGTCACCAGAATGTCAGAAGGCGGTTAACGAAAGAAAGAAGGCACTACGCCTACGGAAACGCCACTACACTGAAGTCAATCACCAAAACTACCTGAAGTTGAAATACGCCGCAAGAGACACCATCCGGAAGGCAGAAAGCGAACACTGGATGACATTCTGTAATGCGTTGAATCAAAACACGCAAACAGGTGCCGTCTGGAAGAAGCTGAACGCCATGAACGGGAAGCGCAGATCATTCAACATACCAAACCTAAAGAATGGAGATGAGTACGTTACCAACGGCAATGAAAAGGCAGATCTACTTGCAAAAGCTTTCGCTGACGCAAGCAGGGACGAAAATCAATCACCAGAGTTCCTGAAGAGAAAGGAAATCTTTTACCCACAGCACCCTTCATTAGAAATTGAACCTAATGAAGGGGCTAAACCAATCAATCTACCCTTCTCTGAGGAGGAGTTAAATAAGGCTCTTTCCCTCAAGAAGGATAGTGCGGCTGGTGAAGACAAAGTAAAGTACTCGATGCTCAAACATCTGCCTAGAAATGCCAAAAGGATACTACTAAACTTCTTCAACACATCCTAGCTGACAGGAGAGGTACCCAAAGAATGGCGGAAAGCCAACGTCATCCCTCTTCCAAATCCAGGTAAAGAGAGAACAAAGGCAGAGTCCTATCGACCAGTAAGCTTGACATCCACACTGTGCAAAACCTTGGAAACAATGGTTAACATACGACTACAGTTCTATCTGGAGAGCAACCGACTGATCGACGAAAATCAAAGCGGGTTCAGGAAAAGGCGTTCAACAACGGACCACTTGGTGAGACTACGGCAAGTCATGTCGCAGGCACTCCTCTCTGGGAACCTGTTATGTGTCGTGTTCGTAGATTTAACTAAGGCTTTCGATTTAGTCTGGCTAGACGGGCTGCTCTTCAAGTTAGGACGTATTGGTATAACGGGCATAATGTTTCGGTGGATCAAAAGCTTTCTGAGCGATAGAAGGATACAGGTGAATGTAGGCAGATTCCTGAGTCCCGAGCAAAAATTAGAAAATGGCACGCCTCAGGGGTCGGTTATCAGTCCCACTCTCTTCAATATCATGATCAATGACATACAGAAATCTTCCTACCTCGACGCCAAAACTGAGTTAGCTAAATTTGCTGATGGCAGTACCATATGGAGGAAAGGGAGGAACTCCTGTTAACTACAAAAGAACATGCAGAAGGCCTTAGACAAATTCATGGCATGGGCAAACGATTGGGGATTCAAAGTCTCGGAGAAGAAAACAGTCGGCATGCTTGTAATCAGGGATAGAGGGATAAACAGAATGACTCTGTGTATGAACGGGAAAACCATCGAGTTTAAAGACCAAACCAAGTTCTTTGGCGTAATCTTTGACCGAAGGCTGACCTGGAAACCGCACATCGACGAGACTGTAGATAGATGCACCAAAATCCTAAACTTAATGAGGAAAATAACGGGAAGCACATGGGGTGCCAATAGAGTTACATTAATGATGGTGTATCGTGCTCTAATACGCTCTGTATTAGACTACGGCTCTTTGGCTTTCATGAACTGTGCGCCAAAACTCTTAAGTAAGCTTGACACCATCCAATACAAAGCTCTGTGTATTGCGACCGGCGTAGGGCTTGGGACTAGGAGAGAGGCATTACTACAGGAAGCCGGGGAGTTGCCCCTGTCCCTAAGAAGGAAAGAACTAGCGACAAGGTATTGGGCCAAGATCTCGCAACTTGGCGAAAGATCCCCTACTTTTGTCAGTCTACAAAAGACAAGATATGTAAGAGATCCTAGAAAGAAAAGCTTCGGCCAGGGTATCAGGCAAACAATCAAGGAACTGCAACTGGGGGAGCTTGTGATAAATGAACACGCCCCCCCCCCCCAGCGATCGCCCCTTGGACGCTCCCTATACCGCCGGTTAATCTAGATCTACTACAGAAAACTGACAAGAAAAACAACCCCACTGCTGCACGTGCTTTCTCTCTAGAACACCTGGAAGACAACTGGCCGTCTGATGACTGGGACCATGTGTACACGGATGGCTCACGCAATCCTGAAAGGGGCACCAGCTCGTTTGGAATATACCTGCCAAACGGGAAACAGGGAATAAGTAGGAAACTACCCAATAACTGTTCGGTGTACACTGCAGAGCTTGTGGCCATTCGTGACGCTATATCATGGATTTCCCATCAAAAGACTAGTAAGTTCGTCATTCCAAGCGACTCTCTGAGCAGTCTGATTTCAATCCAAAATGACAACTCGGACTAGAGACCAGAACTTATTTTGGAAATCAGGCAGCTGTACCAGAGGGTTATAGAGAAGGGAAGCAAAGTAGAACTCGTGTGGATTCCATCACATGGCAGATCGACTCGCCAATGAAGGTCTCAAGGACACAGCACCACTCCGCACCATAGACTACAGCACCACGGAAATCTACAGTATGGTCAAAAGACAGGTCAATTCAATCTGGGAATTAAATCTCGTTGAACTTGACACATACAGATTCCGGCTGGATGACAAGATCTACACAAAGACAACACTCAATCACCCTAGAAGAGATATTTGTAGACTTATATCGAAGCTAAGGGTGAAAGAGCGGCTGCGAGACTACAAACACCAAGTCATCATCTGTGAGTGCGGAGAAGAATGTACCACCAACCATGTCCTGGTAGACTGCGAGATATACGAGGAGGAGAGAAGGGAACTAGTGAGAACAATGGAGACCAACAACATACCATTCAACACTAAGAACCTACTCTTCCCGAGACTGCAAATCTTCGAACAAATCCACGCCCTAATGGACACAGTTGGACTAAGTAGAATAGTGAAGTAAGAGGGGGTCACGGTTAGACGGGCCCGGCATCTAAACACTAAACTACATAGGGGATTTATACCAAACTGGCAGAATAGTGGAGTAAGGGGGAGTCACGATCAGACGGACTCGGCATCTAAACACTATTCCACCAAAAACAGACATCAAACCTACAGAGTGGGATAGTGGAGTAAGGGGAGGTCACGATAAGACGGGCCTGGCACCTAAACACAAACCCCATAAAGATGACATCTACCAAACTAGCAGGATAGTGGAGTAAGGGGGAGTTACGGTCAGACGAACTCGGCACCTAAACACTATTCCGCAAATAAAACTGATACCAAACCCAGAGAGTGGGATAGTGGAGTAAGCGGAGGCCACGATAAGACGGGCCTGGCACCTAAACACTAAAACGATGACATCTACCAATCCAGAAGCAGACGAGATCATCTACCAAACGATATGTTTTATATTAAATAAAGGGAAGAACTTCCCACTAAACCAAATCCATGGCCTCAGGCCAAATGGAAAGATTGCAAAATCATATTCTAAAAAACAGGAATCAGCTTCGGCTCTCCTATGTCTTGTCTGCGATATCACTTATGTGGAAGCAGACGTTAAACACCAAGAACGAACGAACGAACGTCATAAGTGATTATTTATTTGTCGTGTAAATTACTAATACGCCGTCATTATTTCTGATATATTTTGTAGGTTCATCATGTCCTGTAGAATGTGAATTCAATGGGGTATCAAGTTGCTGGGGAGCAAGTTCAAGTCTCTGCCGTTTAGGTAAAAACTATTTTATTACTTGAAAATACGATATTAGTTAATTTAGTGTAGTTGGGTTTTAGGCACACTATCAAATGAATTGAATTATTATTATATAAACAAATAAACATTCATGGATAGGTAATGGCCGCACATTACGCATATGCTTAAATTCCAATGTCTAACTGACGTGCTTTTTATACGCCTATATTGAAATATAGTCGTATATTGTCGTCGCTCCCGTCCGTACATCCGTCGTCTGTAATTTCGAACAATCCACAGACTACATTTATTATCCGTTTGTTTTGAAATGTGTGTATGTGGTTTACATTAGTGAGATGGAGAATCCTATTTTATTTCTTCTAGAGTTATGGCCCGTGTTTCACTTTGTAGAACTTGGACCTTATAAGGTCCATTGTAGAACCTTGTGAATGTGAACGCTCTAAGGACAAAAGATATCACCTAATCTATATACAATTTATATGCATTATTTATATAAGTAAACTGGAGAATTTCAACAAATAGTCCATGTTTCCATTTGTAGAACCATGTGATCGCTCGAATGACAAAAGTTATCATCTGATCTATATGAAATTCATATGCATTATTTAAATTAGTAAACCGAATAGTTTCAACGATTTCCGTTTATAACCTCTGGGGTTATGGCCCCTGTTTCGCTTCGTAAAATGGCGTGAACGCTAGAATGAGAAATTTGATCTGTATTATTTAAATTAGTTAAACAGAGAAGTCTGTCGATTTCCAACAATATTTCTATTAATTAAGTTAGATTTATGGCCATTGTTTGACTTTGTTGAACAATGTTAACGCGCAAACGACAAAAGTTATCACCCATTTGTATTAATTTGATATCAGCATCTTGTAAACGCTCACATTACCCACTACATATTAGACAACCCTTGTCGACTGCACGGACGATTAAGCTGCGGTGTGCTATGCTTCGTTGCCTGATAACCTTTCTTTGTATTAGATTATGGATTGGAGTGTGATGATTCGTGTAATGGTGTTTGCTTTATGAAAGGACCAGAAGGATGCTGTCATGATTTTTGTTCTGTTGGTTGTACAGGACCTACACAATACGATTGTCAGGTAAGGACTTATAGTAATTAATACAAGTTTAGTTAAAGGACAATATTGGTGCCAGTCATTATCACAAATGTGATAGAGCTGGTTAAACTCATTCCAAATATAATTTTAACACAGAGATCATAGCTACGATAGCTGAGTAATACAGGTTTCCTGAATCGGAAGTGACGAACGCCAAAGGAAAACACGAATCATCTCTCTATATAACTGACTGATGTGACTAGTGATAACAGATATACGGCCGAATTTCTGCTCACTAATAATTCCTTTGAAGACCAAAAGTTGTTATATGGGACTGTAAGAGGATACCTGACAATTCAATAAAGTAATTGAATGTCATTAGATAAGAGAACACGAGAAAAATAGAAATAGTCCGGACATTCCCTTGTTTATATTCATTCTATACCTTATAAAAACATGGTAATGCACGGACTTTTTCTGTTTCGCGTTCACTTATCTAGTGGCAGTCAATTCTTTTCATGAATTATCAGATATCCTCTCACAGTCTCACACAACAACTTTTGGTCTTCGGAGGAATTATTAGTGAGCAGACATTCGCCCGTATATCCGTTATCACTCGTCACATCAGTCAGTTATATAGAGAGATGACTCGTGTTTTCCTTTGGCGTTCGTCACTTCCGATTCAGTTAATTTGTATCACTCAGCTATCGTAGCGATCTCTGTGTTAAAATCACAGGGGCGGATCTAGGAATTTTGAAAAGGGGGGGGGGGGGCGCCGCAAAATGAGGGCACTGATCGCGGAGACGGGGCACGCCGCTGAGAGGGGGTTTCTTTTTTTTTGGGGGGGGGGGGGCAAGGAAATTATCCGTCATTTCCTTGCATCTGTAGCCATTCCAAGAGCTATTTGGCTGATATTTTTGTCTAAGTAAGCGTTCGGAAATCGTTGAAAAAGAACCTTAAAGATATATTATGGGAGATAAGATAAAGAGATGGCACTTCTCGCTATAATAGTTAAAAACTAGATAGTGTAAAGGTAATTTGCTGAAAATTTCAGTCAAATTGATCCACTATGAGCCGAGAAAGAAGCCGGTGAAATTTTTGCATAGTCTCGGTTATCATTACTAAAATCATTAATATAAACAGCATAGTCTCGATTATCCACTTTTTCTGATTTAATTATCTTTGGCCGTTAGCGGTATATAGGAATCTAATCCAGCCTACATCGAAGGCTAGCATTGACATTGAGAGTTTATTATGGTCTGGATAAGTTAATTAATGTCTAATTGATAATTTAGATAACATTTCAGGCCTAAAGAAAGACTTGTAATAAGCAGATTTTGCTGTTGCATAATGCATGTTTAAAATCGAGCAAAAAAGCCAGTTGAACATGCGACCAGAAAATTGTCAAGGCGAGCGAGGCATTATGATGGGAAAAAAGACGAATCTATTCCCTAGCCACTTCACTATTTAAGCCTTGTAACTTGTACTTTGTACTGTCCACACATGAAACAATGCTACATCAAGTTGCACTCATGCGCGTCGGTGATGGGCATGAGTGTATACGCCGCCGATTCCACACAAGATGTCTGTCTATAGTCACTCAGGATAAGGGCACCGTCAGCTAAACAACAAGAATTCGTTTGAAAGTGGAAGCATTAATTAGACCAGACTGGTGTGTTTGAATCGATGGTTTGAGTCATTTGGGATCACTGCAACGAATTGTGAACGGACATATTTGGGTCTGAGAAAAGGCACTTTCAGCAGTAAAAAAGGGCAATGTCGAAAATTCGCCCCTCCCTGGAATCCGCCTCTGATATATTTGGAATGTGTTTAACCAGCTCTATCACATATGTGATAATGACTGGCACCAATATTGTCCTTTAAGTCCAGTCATTTTTCTGATCAATGGAAGTTCAACAACACATTTAGTAACAAGTATGCTTCCATGCCATTGCAAAAACTAATCACCCAATGTTCGATTAGCTCACAGTGAGGGTAATAGCTGTAATCCCCCGATACCATGAAGTCGAAAATATACTCCTATTTCAAATGCTTGCACTATGGCATTTTACAATTGGGCATATTTTGTATACCTAACCCCTAGCGGCGTAATTTATTATCTGGCAACCAGTATGTTGTGTCGTTTACGTTAGATAAATGAGGAAGCGTGTCGCATTTCACAAATTCTATTTAGTATCTCTCGATACTGAAATGGGCTTAATCGGTCTGTGCATCATTCTCGGTTCTGTTTCCGGAGTATTTTATAGTATAAAGAATTTGCTTTTATTTACCAAAATGTTCACTGCACAGTTGCCTTTTAGGACTGGCCGGATGACCGTGATGCTGTGGGTGTATGTTTCGTTGCCTGGCAAACTATTTTGTATCACCAGCTGCTATATCATATTAAGTTGTAAACTGTGTTTCAGGTATGTCGTGATTTTAAGATGGGTGACCAGTGTGTTAGCCACTGTCCAGAAAGTACCTACACTGTTAGTCAGAACTGTATTGACTTTTAAAACAGTTGTTGGCCGCCAGCTGTGTTCACATATAAGCGTCAATTTTGTTTATAAACGTCATATTGTGCTAAAACCCAGTGGAGGAGATATTAAATTGACTAGACCTATTTGATTTGAGGCAGAAATTGTTTTGTGGAATGACAATTTAACTTACAGATAAAGCCAGTGTTGAGATATTACCGACTGTGTGTTCCACTATACAGTATTGTCAGCCATAATTAAATTATAATTAATAAACAAGCTGACTTACCCTTAATCTTTTTCCCCTAACCAGATCAACGATACTGTGATAAGACCTAAACCAAAGAGGGGTATTTTTTTATTATGTTTGGTAAAATTGCTTTCAATTAAAGGGTCGCTAGCGCTATTTTCGAACTATATCCGGTATAATAGACTTTAATTAACTACATCCTATTACACCCGGTATTGTACATTTTAATTTAATCTTTCAGTTTATATGTTGTACGAATTGTTGTTTTCACAGAGTTTAACGGACCCTGATTATGTCATCAGTGGTAGTATTTGCAATAAATGAGTATTTCTAATGTTAATTTTAACATGGTATTATCCAAAATTAATTAATCGTCGTAGACGGCTGATGTTCAAGTTAAATATAATTTGTTTTTATCTGGCTGTAAAGTGTTTCCCCATCAGAGTGACGGTTGTGTTGTCTGTGTTGTATTAATGTACTGTTTGTCTTGTTTTGGTGAGAAGTTGGGCTTTATATGAAAGTAAATTTTCCAGTTTTTAATGTGTTTTAGGTTTATTGTATATGTGTTTTCTTAATGGTTAGTGATGAATAAACTATTTCTATTAGTATCCATTTCTCTCTTTTATGGTGAGCTGGATACACAGCAGAACATCGACAGAGCAGAACGCCTGTAAGGCCGACAAGCAAACAAGATGAATAATTGATTTAGGCAGTATTAACTTCTTGTACACGGTTATTGAACCGGAATCTACTCAATGGAAATAATATATTAATGGGAACAATTAAACATGAAATATAACAATTGTCAAATAATCGATTCTGCAAAACAAGAAATGCGTTAATTGCGACCTAATCTCAGTCGCATTCATTAAACTAAACATGTAACTTAACCCTTGTTAAACAACCGGCGTCCGCTCCGCTTTCCAAACGAAAATTTAGACATTAGAGGCTTTTTTTATCGACTTGCCAAATCGATTTGAATTTAGTGGAGATGTCATGTGACAATATAATCGATTTCAAAGTACTTTGGCGAGTTCGTTATATGCTCCGATTAGCTGTAAACAATTGTTGTGGCTGGACACAGTTGAAAAAAACACGTGATCACCCGATCAAATCGCACCCTGAAGTGATTTGGCGATTTGATGTAATCGCTTCGGAAATCAGTGTCAATAAATTCGTTGATTTGGGTAACCAATTTAAATTAGATGGGCGTTAAAGATGAAAATTTGATTGAATGCAAATCACTTTGGCTAATCAGTGGTCGATAAAAACGCCTCTTATCTCAACACTAATCAACCGAATCCCACTTAGCAAACCTCGGCAGATTGAAGGGTACTGGAATCTTCTGAGGTTTGCCGAGTGGACCGAATTCAAAACGCTGTTGTCGGTTTTACTGCGCATGCACATAAACTTCTGTAACTTTATTAAAATGATTTAAAAATAAGAATGCATCATTTGAAGCAAGTGTGTATCGGATTTACTGAGAAAAAAACCAACAAATTAAAACGCACAAGCATAAAATGGGACAAAAGGGGCAAATTGGGCCGGACCTGTTACTAGAATTGATACGCCAATGTAAACAAACCAGTTTATGATGTTTTAAAAACAATTTGTCCGACTTCGTTTATAAACTATACATTGATCCCACAGTAAATTACATTGATTCACACTTGATATTTATCGTTGTATTTTACAATTTTATCGGTTGTTTTAAACTGTTTCAAGTAGATTATATAGTGATAAAGTAGCTTCAATAGTGAGTTTAAAAGGTGATACACTGTTGAAAGAAGGATATCGGATCTTCCATCTGGAACAGTTTGTATATGAATAATAAATGGTAGCTGAACGACATGGGAGTAAGCAGTTATTGATAAGCACGGAATGTTTCTGGTCCAGTTATTTCATAATTGATTTTCTTGTAGTCGATCAGATCCTTGACACGTGTTTCGTGAATCATGTCAAACAGTTCTTGGACACTCTTTGCTATTGGGTCAATGTTAGCCATTCGGGCAAGTTCAGTTGTGTATTTCCACTGTCGCGGGCCCATTAAATGCGCATGTCTTGGGGCTAAACCTTCGTCCATTCTCTTTTTGAAATCTTCATCGGCGTCGGCATCCATTTCCTCGCGGGGTGGTAATTTTAACGAACCGTCGAGCACAGAAATGGCGAACTGAGTCTGTATATGAAAAGAAGGGAAGGGGCAAATGATCTTACACAATCCAATAAAAGACAAGTTTGTATATTGAGAATGTAACAAATGTTTGTAAAGGGGAGTAACTCGTTCATTCTCGTCTATCTCTAAATTACACTCATCGGTAAGAAAAGGGTAGACAAATCTATAGCCCGTGCAATAAAGAACAATATCAGCATCCTCTGTGGTACCATCACGGAACGTAACGCTCTTTTCCGATAAATGTTTTATTCCGGGTTTCTGTTTGATGTTTGCAGGAAATGGTGACGTAATCCACAACTTATTATGGCTTAGTGTTACCTGAAAAAAAATAAGGTGGATATTTCAATTTTCTGCCATTTCGGTTTTTCTCTTCTGAAGATTAACCCTGGGCAACGTTAATAGAAGTTCTTTAAAGAAATGGTCGAGTTTGTAAACACTTCTGTTGCTAAAGTGTCTCAGTTTCTCAGCCCGTCCCGGCCCTACCTAATATGTACCATCAAGACAATACATACAGAAGACATCAAGGGACAGGGTATGGCTAGCCTTTAGGGTTGTGTTTAAATTGTATTTGAATGAATCCTTTGCTGCACCAATCGGTTAAATGCAGACGGTCATCATACAGTGTGCTGTTAGGAATTTTTTCCAGGAGAGCAATTGAATTCCAACTGTCAATGCTTCTTTACGTGCACGCCAACGTGTACACGGTACCTAGACGCTGTATCTTGCCCGGCCCTCCGTCCTGTATCACTAACACCATGCTTGAAAATCCCGGGACCTTCTCGGCCAAGACGGGGATCTAACCCCGGACCTCCTGGTTAGTAAGCCAGCGCCTTACTCGCTGAGTCACCATGACTCCCATATTGTATCTTATTGTATCTCACCTGTTCCGCCTGGGTACTGATGTCTATAGCGATATCAACTCCTGACGCTCCAGCACCTAAACATACAACTTTCTTATCCTTAAAAAACCCTGGTTCACGATAATCGTGGCTGTGTATCTGATGACCTTGGAATACATCCATACCAGGTAATTTGGGCATTAACGGTACTGAATAATGTCTGCAAACAAAAAATAAAAATACTATTAAACAATCGGTATCTGTGAAAACATCTACACCTCTGTTGTGTTCGTGAAAGTTTATGTTACATATATTTGCATACATATTGTTCACGTGAGAACTTTATTCGAACCAATCTGAATAAGCACCACACAATAAACATACTGGAAATTCATCATCGGTTCTGAAGATGTATTGGACGGCCAAGGGAATCATTTGATTTCGCATATGAATGAAATATTGTTTAATGGCACGTCAGTTCCAACCGGGCTATATTGCGCCAAAGATAATGATTAATTGGAAATAGTGATAACAATATCACTTGTCACTGAGCTCATCAGTGCGAGCTGATGTTTTAACCTACCATTTGATATCATCAGTGATAGCCGATGTTTTGAACTGCGTCAGGTATCATCAGTGGAAGCTGATGTTTTGACCTGCGTCTAGGATCATCAGTGAAAGCTGATGTTTTGACCTGCGTCTAGGATCATCAGTGAGAGCTGATGTTTCGACCTGCGTCTGGGATCATTAGTGAGAGCTGATGTTTGGACCTGTGTCTGGGTTAGCCCTTTGGCAGTCTTCGCCATTAGGAAAAAAAAATATATATATTTTCGATTTGTCATGATTTATCTGTTACATCGGGCTTGTTAAATTTAGATAAATTTGTAATGGCTTCGCTGGGATGTAAACAAATTAGCCTTCAATTTACGAGTCGTGCAGATGCTTTAATGGTTTAACGAACTTCAATGAAAAATACTCGACTTCGGGCTAATAAGAGAGGGAGAAATGGCTTTTAACGTCCACGCGACACAAACTAGGTCATTTTTCAATTTTATTTCAATAAATCGCTTGCACGTTTAGCAGTGGGCGGAAACCGGATGACCCGGAACAACCCACGAGGTTGGGCAGACAACCCCACTCCTTGTCACATACAGGCGGGTAATGGAAACCACGCCACTTGAATCAATGACAGACCTTCTGATCCAACGCACACACGTTTAACATTCGCACCCCACCCCACCCCGGGCTAAGTAAGACGGAAGTGACTTTGAATATGTTATTATAAAATGAGTAATAATGTTTCATTAAACTAAGTTACTCCTTAACTCAGACTTTTCCACACCCGTATGCGTACCTTATTCTACAATAGCGAAAAACATAAATGGCGTGTAACCGTGTTACAATTTATTAATTCGAACATTTTGTGACCAACAAATGGTGTTTTCTGTGACAAAATGGGCTACGTGGTAAATGTAAGAAAAGATAATTATATTGGGACAACGACGTTTCCAAACCGTTTTGATGAAATTTTAACGTACACCACTTATCCGTCCCATTCAAACGATTAGAGAGAATTATCTTGACAACCGATGGTGTAGGGCCCAACTCCTAACAATTGGTAACCGGGCTAAACATAAATTAGTTCATTTCGGAATTTGCAATAAACGCGCGAAGGGTTCTTTAGCAGTGACATTAAACGAGAGAACCAGGAGAAACCCACGAGGTTATGCAGGCAATACTTTGCATGCGCAAAAAGCAGTAAACTGGAGACCAAGGGTTATAAGGCAATAAGATATAGACCTACACCTACATTGATTCACCACCATTAAAGATACATTATGGGAGATTAGATAAATAGGTGGCAGTTCTCGCTATAATAGTTAAAAACTAGAGGTGTAAAGGTAATTTCAGTCAAATTGATCTACTATGAGCCGAGAAAGAAGCGGGTGAAATTTTTGCATAGTCTCGGTCATCATTACTAAAATCATTAATATAAACAGCATAGTCTCGATTATCCACTTTTTCTGATTTAATTATCAACGGCCGTTAGCGGCATATAGGAATCTAATCCAGCCAACATCGAAGGCTAGCCTTGACATCGAGAGTTTATTATGGTCTGGATAAGTTAATTAATGTCTAATTGATAATTTAGATAACATTTCAGGCCTAAAGAAAGACTTGTAATAAGCAGATTTTGCTTTTGCATAATGCATGTTTAAGTATGTCACTATATAATAGGTGTACATTTAAATTATCATTTTACCAACCAGTCATAACGACCAAAACGAACCCGTTACTAGTGTAGATATATAATATTATAAGATACAGGAGATTCAACAATTTCAACTATTTGGGTCATTATGTAATGGTTATTTCTGCCTCTTACAAAAAGAAATATAACAATAGAAAAAGCTTATAACCAGGGGCGGATCCAGGAATTTTTGCAGGAGGGGGTTTGCCAGGTTCCTGTTCAGGAAATTTAACAGCTGACAATGCATGATGCCATCATCGTCTCCAAATTACATAGGCATACATACACATTGGACTTTTTAAAGAGAGGAATCCAACACCCCGTTTGACGTCAATTTTTATTATGAATTGATAGGATCACATCATGATCCAATTTCATTGATGCAAAGCATTAATTGTGATATCACATATGTCTATATATTTATCTCGCGCTTTGAAAGCACACGACCGTGACACTTTTCTCATAATAAGTGGATCCGCCACTGATAACGTCACAAGTTATAAATGGCAAATCAGATTTCGGTCGCCGATAAATTCTATTCAATTTATATAATATACTATTCAAAAAAAGTAGGGGATATTTGATTTTTAAGTGTTATTAAAGTCACCTAATGAAACTGACGAAGAAACAAATGACAAAATGAAATGAAGTTCACATTCATCGATTTATTCCAAATGATCGTTAGACTAAGTAAGGCACAGACTGACCATTATAAGGGTAAAATGATACCCGGGGTCAAACAGCAAAGTTACCACAGCATCACAACCAAGTCAGTAATGGGTAAATCCTCCTCTGTTTGCCAAACAAGCATTGATCCGACGTGGCATACTCCTAATGAGACGTCTAAGGTCATTTTGGTCCAGATTGTCCCATTCCTGTTGCAACGCAGCAGCAAGTTCTTGGACATTGGCAGGACGTTGTTGACGTTGACGTAACCTCTGTCCAAGCATGTCCCAGACATGCTCGATGGGGGAGAGGTCGGGACTCAGTGCTGGCCAAGGTAATGTGGTGATGTTCTGTTGTTGGAGGTAACCTGTAACGATCCTGGCCCTGTGACATCTTGCGTTGTCATCCTGGAAGATGAAACGGCGGCCATGACGTCGTGCGAACGGCACAACATGGACTGTCAAGATGTTGTCCCGGTAGTACTGGCCTGTAACACGCCCTGCAACAACATGTAAAGCCGTTCTTCCAGCAACAGTGATGCCTCCCCACACCATAACAGAACCACCCCCAAATCGATCATGTCTGATGACGTTAACGTCTTGGAAGCGCTCGTTTCGACGACGCCACACCCTCCTACGTCTGTCCAAAAAATCAACAGTGAACCTTGACTCATCTGAAAACATCACATTGCTCCAGCGTCGATTATCCCAGTGTTGACGATCCCTACACCAACGACGTCTTGCCTGAATGTGATGATCTCTCAAACAAGGCATCACGCGAGGACGTCGGGCGCGAAGGTGACCCATATGCAGTCGATTCCGAATCGTCTGGCCACTCACTCTCACACCAGTGTCTGTTTGAAGACGAGCGCTGATCTGATTTGCTGTGATGACACGATTTCTCAAGGCCAAGGTACGGATAAATCGATCCTGGGCTTGAGTTGTCGCCCTTGGTCGACCTGAGCGTGGTCTGTCCTGTACAGATTGTGTATCACGGTATCTGGACCATAGCCTGCTTATGACAGACTGAGAAACATTCATCGTCCGCGCCACAACCGCCTGTGTTGTGCCGATCTGTAGCATGCCAAGGGCATGTAACCTTTCATTTTGGGTAAGCCGACGCATATCAAAATTTGTTTTCTGGTCACTAAAACAATTAAACTGATGTTTCCACCCTGGAATTCAATGCCACAATGACTGTAACATTCAAAGTCAGAGTCGTGCAAATCTTGGGTTGGAACCCCATGATGATCCCAAGCATCACCTGCATTCCATGCGGTAGCTATTGGTGCGTTTGGGCGTCACATGTAACTGGAAATGTTTCTTCTGTTAGGTTCTATAGTGACTTTTTTCGTAGTCATTTGCATATTTTAGTATTATGCCCCCAAAATCAAATATCCCCTACTTTTTTTGAATAGTATACATTCAAAAATCATACACCATGGCCAAGCTAACAACAGCTGCCATAAACTGAATATTAAAACAGTGCATTGGAAAAAGCGTGCAAACTAACCTATTAAAGATGCATTATGTTAGAGTTCCCGACGTGGCTTCCCCCTTGGCAGTGATGCAGGAAGGAGGGCCTGACAAGGACAGCTGTCTAGTTGTTCGGATGGGACGAAAAATCGAGGTCCCGTGTTTACATTGGCTTGCACGTAAAAGATCCCCTGGCAGTTGGAATTTGAAATAAGAGTAGGTCATAGTGCCGCTGCCCGGGCAAAATAGTACACTGTATGGCGTATGCCCGCCTTCATTAGCCCAGTCGGAGCAGAACAGTAGGACATTAAACCCCACATTACATTTTCATTTCATTTCCCTTTAAATAAATAACATTTAAAAAATAAAGTAAAGAAATAAGAAGCTATAATAAGGGGATTAAGGCTGTACTAGAGTTTTTAAAATGTATTTAAAAAATCACAGTCATGTCACATGTTTGCAGATTATAACTTATTAAAGAGATAAAAATAATAAATTGTGCGTTGTCGTGAAAGGTGTAACACTTAACTTTAGTTTTATAATGAAATCACGCATTTTAGTAATATACAGCTTTGAAAAAATAATGAATTGTTTTAGTAGTGGCTGGGGTTGTCCGTAAAACAACCACCGAAATCTACCAGATTCAATCAGACTCCATCTTTGGACTATTCCATCGGGGAACACAAGAGAACTAACAATAAATATTATGAAAATAGGAATTTTCGGCACTATGCACCTTCATTATGGAATTATGTCTCTAGTGAGATCCGCGCTGAGAATGACATTGATAGTTTTAAACGCTCAATTAAAACCATGCTCTTCAAGCGTCGTTTCACTTGATGATCAATTCTCTGAATCATGTGATGAAATATCTTTCAAGTCAAAAACATTTTTACGTATTTTTATTCATTAGACGTTATTATATGAACACCATATCATCGTTGAATTTTTAAATCATTATTTATATATTTTAAATCATAATTTATATATTTATGTTATGTTTGTAGAATGCGCTATATTAAATGACATTGTACTATTATTATTATTATTATTAGTCCTTGCTACACAGTGTAATATGGTGTACCATATGGGTCACTGTTTTGTTATATAAAACTTGGTGCACAACAATTATTGGGATTGTATATTAGGTTTACAACCGATTCTGGGTTATTGGGGGTGAAGGGATCTAACAAATATGCCAAAGAAAATGAGGTATGTCATCTATGCACGTCACAGATTTGATCCAGGGCTTACCAAAGTGTACGGTTAACTGCCTAACCCCGTGGGATTTTCTCTGTGGAGTGTGGTTTCCGGGCACATTTAAAATCACCTTCGCGCAAGCAAATTATTCATGTAAAAATGTAGTGTGGTGTGGAAAACAAACTCTTTTTACAACTGGTCTATAATGTCTGTCGAAATAAATAATTTTAATTTATTAATTACTTACCCGCTACAGACAATAACGCCATCAAACTCTTCGGTATGTTTCTGTTCTTGGTTGGTGACGTCACTATAGGTTACCTGCCAGGTTGGTTGTTCCCTGGTCGCATGTTGTATTGGTTCAAGACGTTCAACTAATGTTTTTGACTAGATAGAAAAAATAAAAAAAAAATCTTTTGTAAAGTTTATAAAAATTTTAAACAGGAAATGGAAACACTGTCATTGTAAAACAATTTCGATGTTAGTGGGGTGATAACAAGTAGAAATGATGATTTTAATAAAAGTGGGCAAAAATACATGAAAAAAAAAAAAATATTCCCGCAAAGCTTTTTTCTGTTAAATTGAGATATTTGTTCAGTCATAGTGTTTAGACATTGGTTATATTCAATTGATTGTTTATTGGTGTTTTATTCCTGAAATGATTTTTTTTGTGGAGAGATCTTCATTAAATATACCGCCTATTTAATGGTTTATATATATATATATATATATATATATATATATATATATATATATATGGTGATGTTTAAAGTTATTCATAATCTTAAGTTAAAATACGATTACCAGATGATAGTTTTATATATTATTAAAATGAAATTGGCGTTATCATATACCGTATAATTGTAATGTATTAAAAAGGTATTTAAAGATGGGTTTGGTAGTTCTATCTTGTAATCATGCTGCATGGATATCAAAGATGACGTTAAATAGTAAGTCTGTATGGAACCCTCTTACATGCAGGGTTAAATAGTAAGGTTGTGTGGAGCCTGTTTTACAGATGGGGTTAGATAGCATGGAAGCTCTTTTTAAAGACGGGGTTATATAATGTGGCAGTCTGGAGCCCGTTTTATTGATGGGGTTAAATAGTATGGCTGTCAGGAGTCCGTTTTACAGATGGGGTTAGATAGTATGGAAGCTTTTTTTACAGACGGAGTTATATAATGTGGCAGTCTGGAGCCCGTTCGTCGTTCGTTCGTTTCTAGAGTTTTACGTCCACTTCCACCTAAGGTGATATCGTAGACAACATGGAGCCCGTTTTATTGATGGGGTTAAATAGTATGGCTGTCAGGAGTCCGTTTACAGATGGGGTTAGATAGTATGGAAGCTCTTTTTACAGACGGGGTTATATAATGTGGCAGTCAGGAGCCCGTTTTACAGATGGGGTTAGATAGTATGGAATCTTTTTTCACAAACGGGGTTATATAATGTGGCAGCCTGGAGCTCTTTTTAAATTTGGGGTTAAATGGTGTCGATGGTTAAAAGTACGGCTGTATGGGACCCTTTTTATAGACATTGTAAAATAGTATGACTGTATGAGGTCCTTTTTTACAAATGGCGTTAGATAGTAATGGTGTATTGAAACCTGTATTACAGATGGCCTAGATAATGCGCCCGCTTTGAAATTCTTTTTAAAGAAGAGTTAAATAGTAATGTTGCATTATAGCCCTATTTAAAGGAGTGGTTAAATTGTAGTCCTGCATTGAAACCGTATTCAAAGAAGATAATGATGAAAATCAAAGGATGTTAAAAAAAAAAGTATTTAAAGATGAAAAAAACCTATAATGAATAAAAATGAATCTTTAGTGGAAGAGTAAGATAGTGTCAAACCAGCTGAAACCTCAGTAGTTAATCCTTGGGTGGGTCATCCTTCGGTTGTTATTCCCATACTAAACCCGACATCTGACCTTCCCATCAGCAAGGTCAGTAATATTTGTTGACGTCTTATGACAGATGGTCTTCTAATATGCATTAACTTGGTTAGTGAAGATGTCACCTTTCCCACTTAAAGTAATTAATTGCCCCCTATTTAACGATGTTATTTCGTATTTATCACACGTAAAGGAAGTTAAAGTAAAAACTTTCCATCGTATATATTTGGTTAAATAAATTCCTATACTGTAAGCAGTAACATTAAAATCGGGGTCAAGTCTAAGAAAATCCCATACCGACATAAGTCAGCAAATTAAAGAAATTGGTGAGATATCTAACATAATTATATCCTGGGGAGGATTAAAGGTGCCTCAGATACACTTTCAGCCACGGGCCCCGGCAAGTTTAATCCGGCCCTGACATCTATAGATACTGACGATCACAATATCCCAAGTCGTGATAATTAACAAAATTTTGTATTATCTGAATCGAAATTTTCATTTAGTAAACAAAACCCTTCTGCCCATATGAGAATTTAGCTCTATTAATTGTATCAATCTATATATTATTCGACCATGGTTTGAAGATCTAATCATTTTGATGTTCATTCTAGCAGTATTATCTCACTTCTATTTTATTGTTCCTTATTTGAAACCCCGTTAGATTTGCCTTATCGTGTCCTCTTGTTTCCCGTCTGCTGGGAGAACCTTTCCCGGGCGGTTGAATTCCTCTCAGCACCTATTGATTTCCCAGGCTCTACCCTCTCCCAAAATCGTTAGATGTTACCCGCCTTGCCCCCAACCCCAGCAACCGTCTGGTGGGACTTTCCAAAGCCCTTATTTCCCTCTCCGTCCTTTAATGTTACTCTTTGCGGTCCTCTTGTTACCGTCCATACCCTATGAAATAACAAGATTTCCCATTCCTCGTCTTCCCTCCCCACCGTCTGATGGGGGCTCTCTCAGGCTGTTTCTGTTTTCTTCTCGGCCGTATGATGGGGGCTGTTCCAGGCTCTTATTTACCTCTGCACCTGTTGATGTCCCTCTTTCCCCGTCCTCTACTTTCCCTCCCACCATCTGATGGCGATTTTCCCCGACCTCTACACCCTTCTCCCCCACCACCGCCTTCTGATAGGGATTTCCCCTGTCCACTTGTTCCCTCGTCCACCGTCTGATGGGGAATTTACCAACCCACTAGTTTGTATTTCCCTCAGCATCGTCTGATGGGGACTTTGATTCTCCCCTTTCTAAGTCCTCTTGTAACCCACCCCGCCTCTCCCACTATCAGATAGGAACTTTCTCGGCCCTTTTGGTGTCCTCATACCATCAGATAGAAACTTTGGTTTTGCTTTTCATATCCCTATTTACCCCCCCCCCCCTTTGTCCCCCGCCCCACCGTCTGATGGGGACTTTCCCTGCCTCCTTGTGTTCACATCTCTATCCCCACCGCGACGAACCGAAGGATGCCCTAGATGACCACATCCCAGCTGGACCTACTTTTATGTATGGTTCTAGGTTGAAGTGGTGCATGTATTTCTCCAGATACTTCATCACTTCAAAATGGCTAATAAACGATGGTAAGTTCTTCTCAAAGGCGAAATCTGGGAAGGCCATAACTTCTTTCGGCAGGTTCGTTCTGTAATAAGTTGAGGATTTAGTACGGGGAGCAACTAGTGACTCCCCTTGACAAGAAAAAAAAAGTAAATTTTTCATAACACAAATATTTACCATAGTCTGTTTTTCTTCCTCTCCACCATCTTCTATGCATGTTTATTAAGACAGTGTACATTGTATATATGTGTGCATCCTTTATTTAGAATACTTTCAAATTAAATAATTAAATAATGCATGATATAATTCAGTACTCTAAAGCAATACACAGAAAAAGCAACCCTTCAATTCGCTGACCATTTTCTTTGTTATCGTTCTTTCATACTTGTTTTCTGCAGAGTTGCATATTTGAATAATGCACCAAATGCATTGGGCGCCCTCATCATTATCTTATTTTCAAATTTAAAAAAAAAAAATGTTTTGGTAAGTTGCGAGAAGTTTTGAATTAACTGTTAGTTTGATTTCGTTATTTATTTGTCAAGTTGCCAGGGATATATGAGTTTATTTGTAATAGTAAAACAGGTAAAACTGCTATTATATCCCCGTGCATGTTACGTTTAAAGGGGTTACCAATCAGATAACACAAATAAATCAATTGTACATTGTATTGTAATCTACACGACTTTCATTCACAAATAATGTCAGAAGGCCAAGGTTAAATAGTGGTTCGATGTTGAATTCGATCCAGTTTCATCCAGTTACCAGGGAATTTTTCCAAAGAGTATCTAATTTGTACAACGGGGAAATTTCCCCGAACATCTCGCCATAGCTCTGTAAACCAATAATAGTAGTTGAAGCTGAATTACGCGTTCTAATCTTGGAAATAGGGCATTGAACTGCGTACCAGTCAGTGTGTCACTGAAACTATGACTCGTGTGCATTTATTAATGTGTTTAAAAAAGGACAATGGGGTTTAACGTCTCCTCACCACTAACAGTCGGTTACTTTTATGCTTTACATGACGCGTGCAGTACAAAGAGCCCCGAGCTTTCGTCTATATGTACAAGGAAATAAAAGACGACTTAAATGCACGAGCTCGTTTCGCGGTGCAGTTAAGATATTAGCAACGTTTATCGACCGGGGCTGTACTCCATAAACTTAGTTTTTTATTGTTCGATCGACGTATCCCGTTCTCAAGTTACATTATTCAACCGTTATAAGAAAACGGTATATATAAAGTGGAAGTTATCGAAACTAATGAAATGTTGTTTTTTTTGTATATAATATTATTAAACTATTGAAATAGTTTTAGAAAACGTAATTGCAGATAAAATAAACATTTTCTAATCCACTTAATATCCCCGCCATCCGATGCTCTAGAAAATTGATTATGGGCTTGCCACGTGAATAAATATCTAAGTAATCTTTCATTTATATAACATTTGAAGCAAATGAATTAAATGGTCGTTCTTGATTTTTATATCTAAACACTATTTCGCTGATTATTCGTCGGTTTTGTTCAATTATTAGACACTATTCCCGGTGAATTTTCTTTTACAGATTTAGTGGGATTGTTCATTAGCGCCTATGTAAAAATTACACAATTTTAGGATTGTAAATTTTGGACGGGTTTTGCGGAGCTGTCACGTTTCGACTGTTTCACAAAGCTTTTACTCGCAATTTTTTCTCGACTAATTCAGAAAATTGTATATATGCATGTCAACTGGTTATAAAGGTGAATAACCGCCGCTTGACATACACGTCTACGATATCAAGCCCTGTTTCTCGAAATCTTAACTAAAGATAAAATCCAAACTTTAGTAGATACTTCAATTTTGATTGGCTAAGCAATAAAATCAATCTAATATTATCCGATCAAATTACTAAAATTTGGATTTTATCTTAGTTAAAATTTCGTGAAACAGGCCCCTGGTTGTTACGGACTTTTTTTTTACAATTCGATATGGTCAAGAATGTCCCTGAAAGCAGCTTATTTTAAAAAAGTGCCGTAAATGATTATTTTTTTTGTGCTCCAAACCAGTTAGTACCGAATTGTCCAAAACATGGACACTGGTCTACCTATAACACAAAACGTGCTTAAAAGTATGAAGAATTTAATTCCATAAAGTAATATAATCCCCCACCCCACCCAAAAACACAATCTCTCTCTCTCTCTCTCTCTCTCACACACACACACACACGTACCTATTACATCTTAGTGGAAAATCACGAGGACAACTCCTAAGAACCAATAATCAAATTTAGCTTGACCATATGACCTGATTAGAATATTTTGTGAAATCGCCTTAGCATATTACATATCACAACTATTGCCACAAGTTAAAAATTTATTTTATCCGTGGGTGTTATTCATTTTATTGAAAATCGATTTAAACAATACATTTTATTGAAAAAAAGACAACCTACTTGAGATTTCGGTACATGCTGGAATGTATCGGTAGTCCATTCTCATCTTTTCCTTGTCGATCCGTGTACACCCATGTACCACCAACTTTTTCACCTATTTCGAAAGCAACGGGTTGGAAAACTGAGGGTTTGGCTCGTAAGTGTCTTAATGCACATAAACCCGCAGCACCAGCTCCGATAACCGCAACTCGATTCATTTTCTTAAAGTAACAACCGAACAATGATAATACAACCAGGATCTCTTGAGTTAGATATGTGCCGGTAGCGGTGAAGAAAATCAATAGAGAAGATGTAGCTTCGCTGCGCTCTTAAATAACTGGATGGTGTGACGCGGCCCGGCTGGAGGAGCGAATGAAATAGTTTAGTCTGCACAAATAATAATGCAATAACGTTCTGGTATAACCCACGTATGAAGTAGATGCAATGGACTAAGTTGTACTTATAGCACGACTTTCATCAGTGTACAGGTTTAACAACAGAGTCCGTTGGCTAATAAACATGTTGACGAATGAAGCGTGCTATAAATGACATTGACACCTGCCCAACATGCTCGCTGCTATTGCAAAGAAAACCTACCCCACTTCTCTATATGAGTTCTACTAAAACTAGCTTAAAGGCTCAATACCACTCTTGTTGTAACTGAATAATATGTCCCAATCTTTATTCTGGTCAACAAATTGTACTATTTTAGAATATTTCAATTAATTGATGATACAAATTTCATCTTAACACACCTTATTTAAAAATTTTGAAAAATTCAACATAATGGTTTGAAACGTCTAACGTAAACCTTTTCAAATGAAACTTCGATTTAAAAATATTTTCGAACCCTCTGGACAAGTAAAATAGGATGTAATGGATAATTTACACAACAGGTAGGACACTTAAACATCTAGTACTTAGATAGAGATATTATTTATTTTCTGGAGCTTTCAAGCCAGCAAGAGTGTTATTGTCCCTTTAAAGCATCCAAGGGCTAATTTTTAGTGAGAGGGGCGCAATGACGAGCTTTGCGTCATGATTTTGAGTTTTTGCACCCCCTCCCTCGCAATTGGCAAAACATCACACGGTTTCAATGGTTTTCAAGATTATAATCATATAATGCTCAACCAGTGTCAAACATATACCGTACTGGGTCAGATATAATTATGCTGCAAATCGACTCTAACGTGTTCCACACAGCCCAATATTACTTGGCCGCACTGGGAGGGACCTCCGCCCTCGCACGCACAATAAATATATTGTTTTGGGTGCCCCGAAGGGATCCTTTTCCTCATGCAAATCATGGGTGACCACGCCCCTGAAACCAGCAAAAGTGTGCAACAACATTGAAAATGTCTAGTTATTGCCCGGTTAACTCCAGCCAGTCTACTAGAGCCAGAGGGAAAACAATCTGCTTATTCAACGAAAAGAACAAAGGATATAATTCACCATGAATGTTACAAGTTTAAATAGGGAAGAAGAAAGTAAATAAAACTAAATGGGATTTAACGTCCGGCTTCTCTTCACCAACCCGGATAACAGAAGTGTGCATGAACAAACATATCTTTGTTGTATACTAACAGTTAATGAATTGACCTTGAGCTTTACCGGTTGTTACCAAGTCTTTATTGAAGTTATAATCGTATCCATTAGAAACAGATTAAATAACGTTACGCTTGCACGCTCTTTTAGTCTACGGAGAGAGAGAGAGAGAGAGAGGGAGAGATGGGTTTAACGTCCACTCGACACAAACTAGGTAATTTCGGGACTAACATATGGTTTAATTTTATTTTAATAATTCGCTTTCGCGTAGAGGTCTTTAGCATAATACTCAGCTTTAAGTGCGCCTGGGTATTAATACAGAAACAGAAACAGAAGCAGTGGGAGGAAACCGGAGGATCCGGGGAAAACCCATGAGGTTGGACAGGCGACCCTACTCCTTGTCACGTACAACCGGGGATTCGAAACCACGCCAGTTGACTCAATGACAAGCCTTATGATACAGCACGCACGTGCTAACCATTCGGCCATCCAACCCCCAGAGAGAGAGAGAGAGAGAGAGAGAGAGAGATAGAGGGGGTATGATGGTTAACGACCACTCTACAAACTAGGTAATTTCGGGAATACGTTACACATGGTACAATTTAATTTAAATAATTCGCTTGCGTAGGGGTTATTACCAGTGGCGAAATGGGGGGGGGGGGTGCCGGAGAAATCCCACTGTCGCATTCAAGATTGCGATCGAAACCAGATAGGCATAATCATCATCACATCTCTAAATATCAAAGACAGTATGTGTTAACAACAGTATTCTTATTATTTAGGGGGGATCACGTGGCTAAGTGGGTAAGACGCTAGCTCGCTAGCCTGGAGGTCGGGTGTTCGATCCCTGCATTGGCCGAGAAAGTTCATCCAGATTTTCCGGCGTGGTTCTCCCTTGTCAGTGATGCAGGGCGGAGGGGCTGACAAGGAAAGCTGTCTAGTCGTTCGGATGGGACGAAAAACCGAGGTCCCGTGTACACATTGGCGTGCACGTAAAAGATCCCTTGGCAGTTAGAATTCGATATAAGAGTAGGCCGTAGTGCCGCTGCCCGGGCAAAATTTCCCTCATAGCACACTGTATGGCGTATGCCCGTCTTCATTAGCCCAGGTTAGGAGCAGAACAGTAGGACGTTAAACCCCATTTCATTTCATTTCATTTCATTTCTTATTATTTAGGTAAGCACTGAGAGAACAAGTGATAAATAACTCACGGGCTTTCGTCACATCGCACAAAACAAAACAAAAGTCGGTTAACAGGAGGAAGGGAAGAAAGAGAAAAATATATACTACTATATATAGTGTAAAATATGAAAATTGGTTTCACCTTAATAACAGATAATGCGAGTTAGAAAATAGCTCTATGTGGGTGGGGGTGTCAAGTGGCGTGGTTTCGATTCCCCCGCTTGTACGTGACAAGAAGTATGGTCGCCTGTCCAACCTCGTGAGTTTTCTCCGGGTCCTCCCGTTTCCTCCCACTTCTAAAGACCCCTACGCGCAAAATGATCTACATTCTGTCGAGTGGGCGTTAAACCCCATTTCGCTCTAAATATAGCTGTAATTACTCTCGACTATTTAGGCGTCTACAGACCATAAATAAAACAAGCCAACAGTGAGGCCGATGTCCCCAGCCAAAATCCCCAATTTAAATACATAGATGACCAATATTAATTAATCGCACGTTTATTTCTTTCAAAAGTATCAAGCAATCAAACTGATTATAAACTATACACTAAGTTTCATTACTCTCTATCAGATAGAATCAAAGTTATCTTGTCCCAAAGTATCGACCAATGAAATTGCTTAACTCTGCTTAGCTTTAGCTCGAAAGGTTAATCATTAAACTCAGTCAACACATTCACCTAATGAACATCTACATCAAGTTTAAACATTCTCAATTAAAAGCAGGGTTATGTTCCAAGGATACAATGAATGTATACTCGGGAGTTTCATCACTCTTACTTAATTATAACCAAAGTTATCGTGCCCCCAAAGTAGGGTGACCAACCATAAATAAATATCTCCATATATCTCGACAATTACGCCACAATATTTATATATATGCCAAGCCTCAAATCAGTTTCACACAATTATAGTCACTAAATAAACGATCATGTTGTACTTAATAAGCTATGACCATTAATCATGTATAAATAATAGACTGAAAACTGGTTCCAAGAGTCGTCCATAACATCCAGACACTTTTGAGTAAAAGATAGGTTACGTGCCCTTGTTTTGAAATTAGTCTCGCTTAACCAGTCTATCGACCATTCTACGTCTGATTGACAGGTCGGGATAATCAAGACTACTTTTTTACGAAACATAACAGAAAGCTAGAACAAGAAATTGAATTTAGAAATAAGCACGTTAGGTAGCTCAACAATCGTTTTAAGAAGCTTGTAAAAGTAAAATGAAACTACTGCTAGTATCATGTTCCTGTCTAACCCGAGTGATTCAGAGATATTATTTGTACTAAACCAAAAGATGCCGCTCTTAACGGTACAGTTAATGATAAAGCGATTTAAAAAATGAAACGAACGTAATTTCTAAATCTGCTGTAATAACCAAGAAGCTTAATTTTACTGCTATTCAAAATCGTCAACAATAAATTTTTTACGGCTGTAATAGTTGATAGATTTGTAGAGAATTACACGTGCCATGGCTATTTATAGTATCATACTGCCAGAAAGTTGGTCTTGGCACGGCGAATGTGCACGCTTCAGTGGTAGTCCCGAACTATCAGCGGTGGACTGTATTTCTGTGAGTACATGGGTCACCCTACCCAAACCATCAATCAGTCAGATTGCTTATCTATGCTTACCGTAAGCAGACAATATTTATCATCGAACTCCATCAAGGCATTCACCTAATGAACGCCTACATCATGTTTGAACATTCTAGCTCAATTAGAAGGAGAATTATTGTGTTCCAAAGTCTCGACCAATCAAATTGTTTATCGCCCTGCTTACCCTGAGCAGAAAATGATTATTATCGAAATTAGTCAAGTTATTGATGTGATAAAACTATACACCATGCCATGTGTCCTGACTCACTTAATTTGAACTAAAGTTATCGTGTCCAAAACCATCAACCAATCAAATTGCTTATCTCTGCTTACCCTAAGCAGAAAATGCTCATCTTCGCACTCCATCAAGGCATTGACCTAATAAACACCTACACCAAGTTTGAACATTCTAGCTCAATTAAGAGAATTTCGAAAGGCGGGGAACAACAGTACTGACTAAATGAATCTGGCTCTGCCACACTACCCACGCCTCCGTTTAAATCGTCCCAATTACAGAAGATCTGAGTAAACCCTTGGTTCACTCGTAGTAGTATTTGCTTTATCTGCATCACTCATACGTTTCAATCAGGATGGATGATAAGAGGATTTGCCAACATCAACTTTTAAAATAACATCTCTATAGGCGTTTTTACGAGAAACCGATTAGGGCTAATCGATTTGCATTTCCTTTCCAAACACATTTACGGCAAAAATTAGCCTAATCGGTTTCACCTAATTGTCGTATTTACCACGACGATTTGCAAAATCGATTATGCAAATCTTCCAACTTGCTCGCCTGCCGGATTGACGATTCGATTTCCAAGATGGCGTCCCCAACAAGGGACACGACGTGCCCGACGTTTTGAAATTCACGTTAAAATATGAATATTATGGACATTCCTAATAAAAATACGGGGCATTTGGGGACAGTCAACTGGTACAACTTTTCGTTTTTATTTTTGGGCGGTGTCGCCAAGAACATAATAAAGAAAAGTGAATTTTTTTAACATTTTTCCTCAATGCTTCAGTCTTCAGCCATCTTGCGAGGCAACTCATCGCATTTACGAGAACCGATTCGAATACCAACTCGATACCTATGTCTTTGTACAAAACGAGATAGGTAATCGAAACCGATTTGTTTTCTCGTAAAAACGCCTTATAACTTGGTGCGGACCTTTCAAATGAAACTTAATTTTTCTAGGAATATTGGTTGTTGCTACAGGTGTAAACAGGTACATCCAATCACCCTTGTTGAAACTTCTTTTAGTAGAGTTCAAATGATAGGTTTGTGTTTGGTGTGTTGCTCGTCTCTTGTGTTTAGCAAATGTATAACTTTCCTGAAATTTTATCGGATGTGTGTCCTTTTAAGGTGTAGCTACGCCCATACAATTTTGATGCCGCTACCGGTTTACTTATTAGGAAAACTTGCTTTTAGAAAAAGCTTCTCAAAGTGGCGTCGTTTGAACAGTGTGTAGAGTCTTCATTGCAAAGTTTTGCTTTGTTTAAAGTCAAAGCATAATTATTTCTATGTCTTTTGTTCAATAGGTTGTCAACTTACTATTATACGATCATAGGTATCATTCTCCTACTTATAAATCCTTGACCCCGGAAATAATAACACAATTACCTCCCTTGTTTTTCTATTCCCCCCCCCTCCCCCATGGAATAGCTATCTTCAAACGTTTGAATTTGAAGTTGAAAATGATATTTTTGCCAATTTCTCAACTGGCAATAGTGAATTATAGGATTAATCTTTAACAAGGTAGGACTGTTTATACCATCTATTATAAGGCTTTATTTTAATACATTTTTAAAAATATAACTTAAAAGTATGAAATTGCAACTTTAAAGAAAATCAGATAAACAGCTTTAGACATTGAAAGCTATGCATGATGTGTACAGTTTTTTGAGATAAAACACTCTTCACAAGTGCCTTTATGGGCACCGCCATTTTTAATCTAGGAACTTGAAAATAGTTCCAATAGCGGAATTCGTCATACAGCCAAGGTTAGATGTTTGGTACACCTAATGTATTTTATTGTCATTATCATCATGGCCTTGTTTGTTTACAAAAAGTTAAAATTACTGACTTTGAAACAGAGACTTGAAGGATGCATACATAGGTCTATTATCACCCTTTGCTATACACATCGCATTCTACCTTGGAACAAGCTTGTACTGTATTAATGTAATTGTATGCTATTACCGTGGGAGTTTTTATGCAATAAAATTTATCTCATTATAAAGAAATAAGTTTAACATCGGAGCAGAAATAATACATTCAAAACATATTTCCAAAGTCAATCAAATTTGAACCCATGAAGAATTTCATGAAGTTAAAGCCACACTGTTTTCTATTGAATTTGAACCCATGAAGAATTTCATGAATTTAGAGCCACACTATTTTCCATTGAAAGTGGATGAGGCTACACTAGTGGTTCCAAAGTAATGATTGATGAATTTTAACTAAGTCAGATGTGATAGTTCCTATAATAATTATTGAATGGCGTTCAAATTGATATTCTTGCCATGTCTTAATAGATAATATCAATTCGATGTTTCCACTAGCCATCAATGATTGAATTTTGACTATTCAAGGGCCACAAATAAAATAGTTTATACAAACTAAAATTGTCCAACAGAATGTTATTGACAGGCCTGGAAATAACGGTTTTAGATGTACCTGACAAAATGTCAGGCACTAATAAAATAGTGTTTGACATTTTCAATATCGTGCTGGATATGTATAAGAATATCAATAAAAAAGACGGAACAGTGCCGGACAAAATAAAAAAGACGGAACTGTGCCTGACAATGCCTGCTGAATCTGTGCCTTATTGAGCTCCCTTTGATAAATAAAAAAACCCAATGCAAGTTGATTTAATAAAGAAATTGATTTTTATTCCATACATTCACACTTAGCACACATACATGTATATCTTTTATATCTACTGTATAATATTACTACATATAGAGAAACTATTATACTAGCATGTAGCTAAACTTGAAATTATAGGCTAGTGTACAGAAGTAATATATGTGTACATGTATACTAGTATCACTTATTAAACTTCTAGTTATCGACCTATACAACACTCCAAACATTAAAAGTATGGGGTAGTTAACATTACAACCTTCCGAACAATAAAAGTATTGAGTAGTTACCATACATAATCAAAAGTATTGAATTAGGTGACAGGCTAATTACTGTCCTTGATAACATAACAATGACCTGATTATTGGATAATGGTGTGTTGATTAACAAGAAGCCAATCACATTTCATCTCATTAGAATTGAGTATGGTACTGAAATATAGTATACAGAGAAAATGGCTACAAATTGTTTTAAGTTATTACAGTCAAGATGCATTATTATGTACGTTAAATTTAAGATAGATGACCCTCATTAATCACATTTCCTTACCAAGCTGTTCACAATATTAGTTTAATAATGTTACAACTGTATTATTGGTTTAAATATAGTCGTCTCTTCCTGTATTCTGTAGTTTTCAATGATTATCTCAACAGCTCTAAATATTTCTACACATGAATAGTCTTGAATAACAAGTCTCTTATTAACCTTCACTTATTGTCTATAAAACACATCACTGAGGAAGTGACAGAAGAGTTTGTTGTCCAGGCGGTAAATATGTCACATTTCTAGATTTTGACATTTGGTAAGCTATATCTTCTGCTGCTTCAAGTTTCCGTAGCTCGACTAAACCTTCTCCAGCATCTCCAAATGATTTGGCCAAAAGTTCAGCGGCTTTAGAATCACCCTCGGCAGTAACAATGGCAGCAATCTTCATTTGTTCAGCCTAAAAAAAGAATTAATTGAGAATGCAAACGAAATGGTTTTTAACATCCTAATTTCTGCACTTGAAGCTAATGAAGACGTGCATACCTATGCAGTGTGCTGAGAGGGGAGTGTAGAACCTACACTTATTTAGTATTTTAACTGTCATAGGTTCTTTTACATACAAACCAATGTGTAATGCACACAAAACCTCAGTTGAATGGATCAACTGAATGAATGGACACTGGCCTTGCCAGGTTCTCCGTCCTGCACTACTGACAAAACATGGGGAACATTCTCAGCCTACACTGGGAGTGAACCCGGGACCCTCCTGTTTAGCCACATGGACAAAATTTGCTATAAATGTGGATATATTTTGTGTTATTAAATGGGCTAAAGAAGAACATAAGAGTTATCTACCTTTTCTACCATATATCTGGCTCTCTCAGCTTCCTGTTGAGCCACTTGTTTCTGTTCTACTGCAGATGTAAATTCATGACCAAACGTCAAATGGGTCTGAAATACAAACCAAATCCTTATTATTGAAGTTAAATGAAATGGGGTTTAACACCCCACCGTTCTGGGCTAGCGAAGAAGACAGGCATACACCATACAGTGTGCTATGAGGGAAATATTGCCAGGACAGTGGTGCTACTACATAAGTCTTTGATGAATTTCAACTGACAAGGTTTGTTTTACATACACGCCAATGTGGACACGGGATCTTGTTTTTTGTAACCATCCGAATGACTATACATTGTGTCTTACCAGTCCCTCCGTCCTGCACTACTGATAAGGGGGAACCAGCTCGGAAATCATTTTCTCGGCCAACACCGGGAGTGAACCAGAGTCTTACCTACTTAGCCACCATGGCTCCCTTGTGGTCTCTAGGGAGTGTACAAGCAAAATTACGCTAAATAGCCATAACTTCAGGACGAAAATAGTGATTGCGCTCAAATTCAATTTCTAACCGTCGTCTACTCATATGAAACATTATCCTAAAGTTCGAAAATGATTCGTCTAAAATTGTGGCTTCTAAGTGAACAAGTTAGTGTCGACGGACCACGCGAATGCACTATATGCCCATACTATGTGTTGGCATATAAAAAGTAGAACAAAGTACATTTTATGGTTAATTATGGACATTCTCACCTAAATACCAGTAAAAATAATTATGGACGTTCTCACCTAAGTACCAATAAAACAATTATGGACATTCTCACCTAAATACCAGTGTCAATGGGAGGAAACCAGAGTACCTGGAGAAAACCTACGAAGTGTGACCGACAACTCCACCACTTGACTTGATGATAGACATTATGATCAAGAGCGCATGTGTTAGACCTCTCAATCCCCCCCCCCCTCACCAAATGGTGTAAAAAGGAATAGAAATGGGATTTGAAGTCCATTAATCACTACCGGGTTATCTCTCAGCTTTTGAGGTTTAATGTCTCGTCAACACAATACTTCAGAATAAAATGAATGCCAATGACCATACTACAGTCTGTGGAAGAAAGTCTACATGCCCAGGCAGATGATGCTACGTGTTAGTTGTTGGGTTGAATAGGGGAGGGACCTATGATTGACAGCAAAATATTGTAAACCACAACATTTAACATGTAAATGCATTTATTTGTAATTATTTACCAGTGAAATATCGTCTAAGATGATCCCGAACTGTGAAGCTCTTTCTACCAATTCCTCACTAACTTTCATTGATACAACTTCACGATTCGTAATCAATTCTCCAGCATCAAATAAGGCCTACAAAAATAAAACAATCTGATTGAGATTTCAAACGGCTAAATATAACCACATTTCAATGTGGACATACAACAGACGGTTGACATTGTTGACAAGCATTAATTGCAATCATTTAATAGTAAGGGGCCTATGCATTGAAAATTTCACTTGGTGAAAATATTAATACCTGCAACATTAAGATCTTTTTGACATTGATATTCCTTTGATTAAATCGAACGGACAAAACAACCATTTATACAAGACCAACCCTAAGAGTGGGTTATACGTCTACAATTCCAGTTTTACATCAAATGACAGCTTTTCAAATTCCTGCTTAACTCACATCGACAAATTTAGTACTATGGTGGGAGTTTAACAGTTATCCTTAGATTGGCATACGTAAAACGCTTGTCATACATCTAAAGTGTACACTGGTACACCTCAATTTAACATCCCTTCAGAACGACCAAGCATTGCTTCCCTTGTCAGATTAGGAAGAGTTCTGGACAGTTTGCTGTTTAATTACACATCAACTTACCACTACAGCTTTTAAAACTTCATTGGTAATAGATGGTAGAACTCTTTCTTCATAATCTAAACCTAGATTAGTATATATCTTGGGTAAATCAGTTATAACAGGTCGGAATAATATTCTTAATGTAATGTTTACATTCTGTAAATCTGAAATATAAGTATAAAGCACTGAAATTAAGTTCAATGTAAAAAATTTTCTGCATGGACTGGGCTAATATAGTGTGCTATAAGGGAAATCTTTGCTCGGACAACATGGCTTACTCTTATACTGCATTCTAACTGTTAAGGGTACTATTACATGCACACCAATGTATACACAGGATCTCGGTCTATTGTTCCAATCAAAAAAACTAGACTCTATTCTTGCAAGGCCCTGTCCCACTGAGAAGTGGAAACCACGTTGGAAAACCCAGGGGTAGTTTCTCAACCAACACCGGGATGAAATCCAGGACCTCCTGATTAGTGAACCACTGGCACACCTAGGTCCACTCTTCACTTCGAATTTACTTTATTTTTAACAAATTTTAACGATTGCTAGCTGAACCATATTGAACTAGGTTGGTATGAATTATTTCGATTAGGGATGGTACAAAATCCAAAGATTAAATATTTTTGATTTGAATTATTAATAATGTCTAAGGTTGTATGTTTACCGTACTTAATTTCAGGTTTTTTTTGGCTTAAAATGTTGACAGTGGAACACACCATCAGTCATAACCTAACTCTACGATGTATGTTGTCCGTTTTGTTCTCCAAATAAAGATATAATAAACCACTGAACACTGTTACTTTCATCCAAAAGACCAAAACAAAGATGTTTAGTAATTTCAAATGAGGATTTTTTTTTTTTATCAAATCAAGTTTTGTATTTATATTCATTTCACTTCTTTCTGTATGAAAGCCACACATAACAAATATCCTTACCAAAAATGTGATGTGGGAAGGAGGTTTTATTTTGTCAAAGGATCACTACTAGAGCTAAATGACTTCTCATAAACCTTACATTTCAAGGCACTCCATTTATCGGATCATATTGTTTCTAGGATTGTAAGATTATCCAGTAATGTTTATGATTGTCAGTAACATTTATCATAGTTGAGTACATGATAAAGAAGGCTACGCAACATTTCTGGATACGTTAAGAAACAGTCTCTATCATCCAGAAAAATATTCTATAAATATTAGTTTGGACAGGTTGTCAACATTTGACAAAAATTGGCTAGATAATCCGGCCCCGAGTTCACAAAGCATTCTCAGACTTAAGTTGAGAATTTGCTCAACTTTCAATCACTGTTTATGAGAAATATCTTGAGCCCAGAAACACAAAACTTTGCACTTATGGATGTATCTGATACATTAAAACAACAAAAGGTTTATAAAGGTCTATATTTTAGTTAAAATAAAGTGAACAAGTTTGAGTAAATTTCACATTATCATAAACAATGTCTAAGGGAGGTAACTCCTCTTAAAACAAGATGTTTACACCCATGAAATTAATTTAAGAATGTCATTTCAAAAAATCCATTTGATTGCATGCGACTCCAATATCTAACACTCTTAATTTTTTATTGTAAAATTTCTCTCTTCATGGTCCATATCTATGCTTTTAAAATTAATCCTAATTCGTCGTCACGATTCATATTTGTTTATATTAATGCAAGAATTATGGGGTTTATTGTGGGAAGGGGCGCAACTCTTACTTGACTTGGCAAAAGAGACCGGATAATCAACCACATTAAAACCCAAACTCCCGGTTACGCATAGGCAATGGACTTTACGTCAAATATTGACAACCTTCCCAGGCCCTCCATATGTTGAAGACTAGGAGGTTCTGGGTGACCGAGACTAGTTAAGAAATAGTTTATGGAGTTACTTCCTGGGACCAGGGGGAAACATTTGCGTGCTGTATTTAATTAGTCTAGCCCCATTTTAAGTGACACAGGCTTTTCTGAGAAGCAAAATAATTTTTATATATGGCCTAATACCGAATAATAAATTCTGTATTTTAAACAATAACTTACCTTTGCTACCAGTAATAACAGGTACATTTCTTGGTCGAGATCGACAGTCAAAAATAATAGGACGCTGGACCCATGGAATTAAAAAATGTGTACCCTCGCCAATAACTCCTGGTTTCACTCCAGTAAATCTGTCAAAAATAACTGCTCTATGACCACCGTCAACTATAAAATAAAAATTGTAATATATGTAAATGATACATTGATCTAATCCGTAATTGGCATTTAGCGATTAAGAAACACATAAACAGAACACAACTTTTCTGGGAACCTATCACTATTTTTTTTCTAAAAGCACAACTTTTTGAAAACTATCCTAATGCTTATTTAATTTATTAACAATAAGAGGTATTTGTCGAAACTCAGGGTTTAGCGTCCTTAATCTATGACATTAATTACAATACAATCACCATTGAAAGTCGGCTCAACATCATGGACCTTATAACATAAAAAAAATGTATAAATGTAAGCTCCATGGTGACGTTAAGCCGCAATCAATCCCAACACGCTGGTAACCTGGGCCCCAAGTTCACAAAGCATTCTCAGATTTAAGTTAAGAATTGACACAACTTTCAATCACTGTTTATGAAAAATCCTATTGATCGAGAAACACAATACTTTGCACATGGTTTCTTATTGATGTATTTCAAGTATTTGATACTTAAAAACAACAAAAGTTTTATAAAGGGCTATAGTTTAGTTAACATAAAGTGAACAATTGTGAGTAAATAGGGCCTACTTATAAGTCTGAGAATGTTTTTGTGAAACTGGGACCGTATTACTATTAGGACTATATCTATGCTGTCACTGAACCTGCCTTGTAAAAAACTATGCGGTGTTTTGGGAAAATGTGCGAATATCGTTGAGAAATCAGATACAATTGACATAGAATTTCAGATATGTACATTAAAAACACAACACAGTTTATATGGAAATACAATCACTGGTTTATAAGTATAGCACGACGTTTCGACAAGTATTCTCTTATCGTTATCAAGCACAAATTTGTGCGTGCTATACTTATAAACCAGTGATTGTATTTCCATATAAACTGTGTTGTGTTTTTAATGTGTTCAATCGCTAAATGCCACTCAAAGATTATGTACATTAAAACTTGTATTTAAACTGTATGCAAAGGATGTCTGAGTTAGTTGCCCTTTAACCTTGAGAACTTACCATTATATAGGGCCGTCTGAACAACACCGCCGGCCACAGCTATACCGATACCAATGCGACCAATAGCATTAAAGATTCGCGTTGCCATCTTATCGATTACTGTAAATACCCTTAGTCGATTGTGTTATAATTATCTAAACCATATAAAACATCAGAAAAATGTTTTAATTGCTAAATTAATGATGAAATTCTGAAGAAAATCAGCACATGGAGAAAACGGAAATATCAAAAGCGCATGTCTAATGTGGATACATACAAATTTAAGAACTGAACTTATGTAATAAAGAAACGAAATATAAAATCTGATTTTTTTATACAAACTGGTGATATTTTATAAAGAATATAGGTTCACTTTGATTATAATTAATTAGTACGTGACCAATAAAATCCGATGTAAGACATGTTTGGTTTAAAGGTAGCATTAAACGTTTCGTTTTGTTAATTTGGATTATGTTTAATACGCATGCGTATATTGGTGATGCAAAAACGTGTTTTTAGCATGCAAGAAAACTGAGTACAAATATAAAGTAACGATTTCACACGTGTAAGTATTTTGCCAGCAGACGGTAATATCATAACTGTCTCGTTTAGTTTTTCGTCTTTCTTTTGAAGTTGCAATATGTCTACTGAAGATTGGTAAGTTTTCCCACTATATCGGTAATTATATTCTAAGCTATTCAATAATTCATGTATTTGTAAAGTGAAAGTACCGTATTTTAAATTCAGATTTTAGATTGTATTTCACACTTCAAGTTACAATTTCAGGGACGTACAATTATATACATCTGGTATATGGATACAGTTGTTATTACTGATCAACCTAGACTGGGCATAATGAGACAAATATGGCTATGTCAGTATGATTGTCCAATTTTTGTCATTGGTCTGATTTAATTAAAAAAATATACTGGAGGAACAAATTGCTATTCCACTTCCAGTATGGTACTTAAAAGAAATGGTATTGGAATATCTTTCTACAATATTAGATCAAAGCACGATCCTCCACCACCACATTGCCAGCTGTTATGACTCAATTATGAGGCAATTATTGTAAAAAATTGAAATTTTGTAGAACATTTGGGGGTTGGATGACTGAATAATGGTTAGGACGTGTGCGTTGTATCATAAGGTCGGTCATTGAGTCAACGAGCATGGTTTTGATTCCCCAGTTGTGACAAGGATTAGGGTCGCCCGTCCAACCTTGTGGGTTTTCTCTGGTTTCCTCCCACTGCTAAAAACCCTTACGTGCAAGCGAATTATTGAAATATAATTAAACCATATGTTAGTCCCAAAATGGCCTAGTTTGTGTTGAGTGGATGTTAAACTCCATCTCTCTCTCTTTTGTAGACCTTTTACTTAGAATTTTGGAGCTACGTTAGAAACGCATTTCAAAAATCTGTCATTAGTTTATTGGTAGATTGTTGATAACCCAATCTGTCATAGGCCTACTTTACTGACAACAATAACATTGATTATTCCAATCTTAATAAACCATTCTTTATTTTACAGTGTAGAAAACAAAGAAAACATGGCTGAGACTAATGGATCAGGTTTAACTGATCAGGAAAAGAAAATAATTTACCAAATGGAGGTAATGACAAAATAATAGTTACAGTAATTTCAGAGACTAGTTATAAATTCAACATATGAACTTGCATTTACATGATGCCTATTTAAAAATGTGATGGGTTGGGTTCTGTATTTCGGAGGGCCTAATAAGGACAGCTGTCTAGTCGTTCGGATGGGACGAAAAACCAAGGTCCCGTGTTCATATTGGCACGCACGTAAAAGATCCCTTGGCAGTTGGAATTCGATATAAGAGTAGGCTGTAGCGCCGCTGCCCGGGCAAAATTTCCCTTATAGCACACTGTATGGCATATGCCTGTCTTTATTAGCACAGTTTAGGAGCAGGGACCTGTTTCTCGAAATCTTAACTAAAGATAAAATCCAAATTTTAGTGGATACTTCAATTTTGATTGGCTAAGCACTAAAAATCAATCTTATATTATCCAATCAAATTACTAAAATTTGGATTTTATCTTAAAGTTTCGTGAAACAGCCCCCAGAACAGTAGGACGTTAAACCCCATTTCATTTCATTTGTTCTATAGTTATGTACATATTGAAGGAATTGTTCTTAGTTCTTTTGAATAATCTGATCTTTTGAAGGTATTATTTATTCTATTTCAGTACTATTTTGGGGACATTAATTTGGCAAAAGACAAATTTCTACAGGAGAAAATCAAAGAAGATGATGGCTGTATCCTTTTTAACATATTTTACTTTCATCATAGTCATATTGTCCATATTCATAACACATACTGGGCCCTGTTGTTCATATGTTCATTATGTTTTGTAACCGCCAAATGACATGGTTTTATTTTCGACAACAATGTTGCCTTGCCTAAATTCAAAGTATGTTAAATTTTCAACCCACACAAGAATGTAGTAGGCGGTTTCAGTTTTCAAATATTGATTTAATTTAATTTATCTCAACCATTTATTCTCCTTAACCACATGAAAAGATGTAACATTTGAGGTTTTGCTAACATTCAACAAATTAAAGAGTATCACAGAAGATGTAGAAGTTATTGTTGCTGCCATTAAGAAATCTGAAAATAATCTATTAGAGGTAAGTAAAAACACAATGAGGTATATCTACCCCAGCTTGTCAATAATTCATAGTGTCGGTCTGAACACCTGTAGTTGTAGCATTTATGGATTGAATATGGAAACTGCCATTGCCTCTATACGTTGTCAAGAGTTATCTCCCTCTTCAAATCTTGGGCTTGCTCATTGGGCGTAAGGAACAACCCTATCAAATATTTTAGTTTAATTTTCTACTTACATTTTGACTGTAAAGCTGTTACATGATATAAGAAAAATTTTACAATGGAATGAATGCCATACAGGACAGAGTTCTTAACAGAATGTTTAATACTGTACTGTTTAAATGTATATAATGACATTCAGTGCAACTTTGTTTGCTTGTTGTTCTAGGTGTCGGAAGATGGGAAGAAAGTTCGAAGGTCACCTGAAAAACCATTACCTGAAAATAACAAAGAAAGAAGAGATGATCTCAATAACCGTTCTATTTATTGTGTAAGAATATTTATATTTTCTATTTATCTATGAGTATTTCTGTGATTTTCATTTCATTATCATAGTTTTAAAATTTTCGTGCTGTGTTAAGTTTACCTTGCACTATCCTCCTATAGGTACCAAGTTACAGCTGAGGTAAGGCGTGTTATTGAAGTAAAAAGGATTGTGGGTACAGAGGCCATGGCTGAAAAAAATACTTCTATAACTGAATTTTGCCAACTTTTATGTGACATATTATTGCTTTTCAAGAACATGATTTATATTTGTTCCTTTGCATTTATTTCAGAAAGGATTCCCTGAGGACTGTGATTTTGACACAATTAAAGAATTTCTTGATAAACATGGTGTTGTGGAAAATATTTATCTTCGTAGAATTGGAAAGAAATTTAAGGTAACTGAATTTAACTTTGACAACCAATAGCATGTTCTGTGGTTATCGAATTTATAATTATAGCTCATAGCCAGCCATATTGACAAAGTTTTGTAAATGAAAGCCATGTCCAAGATATTTATCCAGATGGATTATGAAAAATGGCTGGTTTGCTTGATATTTGATCATTCATTCAATACTTCAGTACAAGAGCAATAATTGTTTCTCTTTACAGGGATCCATTTTTGCTGTGTTTAAAACTAAAGAACAAGCTGACTCATTTGTGAAAGCAGAATCAATCAAATTTGGTGAAACAGAATTAAAAAGACTGTTAAGGTAATAAAAATTATTGTGTTATAAACAATGTTTCATTTATGATTATAAGTGACAAAAATACTCATTTCAGAAATCATATGATAAACTCTATTTCTTTTAAATATCTTTGTATATTATCAAGAGAGTTAGCAGTCTATATTTCCACATTAACCTGATAGCAGCGTGCAGTCTGCCTACTTTTCATTAAATGTTACTTTTACCAGCATATGTGGGTGGACCATATTTTATATTTGTCCCATTCAAATGATTAGACTCGAAAATCCTGACAAATTTTCTTGCCCAACACTTTAATGAAACCTTGAAACTCCCATAGATTTTCCAGTGGCATTCCCACTAATCCACCTCATGGCTCCTTAAAAATTGTACAGGACTAGAAGGATTATTATAATTTAGACTAGTTATACAAGACTACAAGGATTATTATAGTTCAGAATGGTCATACAAGACTGCAGGGATTATTATAATTAAGACTAGCATCTGTCTAATTTTGAATCCAAATCGGTTTTGCATTAACATGTATCTAAAAAAAAAATTGACTGCTCAGAAGTTAACATATTAAGCTCCTATATCATTTCACGTAAATTTTGTATATTTTAGGACTGATTATTTCCTGAGTAAAACAGAAGAAAAACGACAATTAAAATTAGAGAAAGAAAAAGCAGCAAAAGAGTAAGATTATAGTGGTTTAATCTCTAAATTTAGAATTATCCTACTTATATAGCCTATTGGGGCAGACAGTTTTAACCACTTCCATATATCTACCAGAATCCCCGGTTGTACATGACAAGGAGTAGGGTCGCCTGTCCAACCTTGTGGGTTTTCTCCGGGTCCTCCGGTTTCCTCCAATTGCTAAAGACCCCTACGTGCAAGCGAATTATTGAAATAAAATTAAACCATATGTTAGTCCCGAAATGACCTAGTTTGTGTGTCAGTGGACTTAAACCCTCTCTCTCTCTCTCTCTCTCTCTCTCTCTCCATATATCTACCATGGTATACTAAAAATCTACTATAGTATAGTAAATATCTACCATGGGATACTAAAAATCTACCATTTGATATAGAAATCTACCATTGCATACTAAATATCTACTATGGTATACTGAATACTTACCTATCATGGTATACAGAATACTTACCTATCATGATATACTAAATATCTACCATGGTATACTAGATAGATAATAGGTAATACTTGATTTCATGATTGTTAACTTCAATGTATTCACTACCCTAGTAATAATGGTTTTGCTTAGAGTAATGAAAATCATGTATTTGATTTTATGGTGTTCAAAATAAATCTTTAAATTATTGTTGTATTTTATTTTACAGGGAAACAGCAAAACAGATGAATGAGGTATACATTACTTTATTATGTTTGTTTTATAGTTAGATTATATAACTGTTAATCCGTTCGGATCGGACGGAAAACCCATGGCTAGTGTACACATAGGTGTGTACGTAAAAGATCCCTTGGCAGCTGGAATTTGATATAAAGTTGACCATAGCGCCACTGTCTGGACAAAATTTCCCTCAAAGCACACCTTATGGCATATGCCCGTCTTCATTAGCCCAGTTGGAACAGAACAGTAGAATGTTAAACCCTATTTCATTTATATGACTGTTAGGAGCCACATTGGCTCGGAAAGACGTTGGCTCGCTAACTTTGCTGCTCTGTTCCAATCCCGGTGTTGGCTGAGGAAGTTCATCAGGATTTTCTGGCGTGGTTCCCCCTTGTCAGTGGTGCAGGATGTAGTGCCTGCCAAGAGACAATGTAGTTGTTTGGATGGGACTATAAAACAAGGTTTTTTGTACATACTTGTGCACACATAGCAGAACCCTTGATTTATAATTCGATATAAGAGTAGGCTGTAGTGCTTTCTATCCTGGCAAAATTTTATGGAAGAACAGTGGACGTTAACCCCATTTCATTTCATTTATATATTTAAGTGGTCACACAAATTTTAAATCTGAATTATTAATAGTGACAACAATCGCCCAGGCTCGTGTCATCATCCGAGTACAAATACATGCACTAGTTAATTAGTCCATGATACGCATTTAGAAATGAAAACACAAAGACCATTTGTGTGGTTCCCCTTTGTCAGTGGTGCATGAAAAAATACATGGTTCTGTTCGTATACATCCATAACATTTGGAATTCAATTGATCTCCAGGCAAAATGTCCATCTTAGCATACTGCTTGGTGTATGTATGTCTTTATTAGCTCAGTTATAGATTATTATACAAATAGCACATGTTAACAAGTGTTCTCTTGCACTTTTCAACCGTTATGTTAATAAAAGCTGAATAAAGTTGTTTGAAATGAAATATATACTGGTATAATCCATAATATATTTTACAGAGGTTAGAGAATATGAAAGATAGTATAACACATGGTACTATTTTACATCTAGAAGGTTTTGCAGATGATACATCACGTGAGGATGTTCGAAACTTCTTTGAAGATTTTTCAAAAGTTGCATGGGTTGATTTTAACCCTGGTGATAAAAAGGTTTGAAGATATCTATTTAATTAAATAGTAGTTGATGTATATGGAATCTTATTTATGCTTACTTGAGTTTCAAGATTATTATTCAAGTCAACAGATTTATCAAATTATATTAGGATAAAGATCGTATTAATTGGAATTTCATGCAGGGTGTTGGGGGAGATGGGGATTGGTCTAACATGTGTACTTTAGATCATAAGGCATGTCATGACTCGGATATAAATCTGTCTGTTACTAAAAGTTAAAACAATAAACACCTGGGCTGTCATTTGCAATTATTTTCCGTCATGATTCCTCCTTGTCAGTTATGCAGTACGGAGGCCCTGGCAACAGACAATGTACAGTGCGGATGGGACGAAAAACTTGAGGCCCTGTGTACACATTGGCATGCACGTAAAAGGTCCTGTGGCAGTTGGAATTTGATAAGAGTAGGCCTTAGCGCTACTGTCTGGGCAAAACTTCCCTCATAGCACAATGTATGGCGTATGCCCATCTTATTGGCCCAGTCAGAGTAGAACGTTGAAACCCACTTGCAATTCATGTTGTAAATAAATTTTGCTTTATGAATGTGGAAATATGACTGGCTATCAAAATATCAAATATAAGCTGTAATTTCTGGGTTGTTTAGTATATTATAGATCTATTATTACAGGGTCAGGTGAGGTTTGCTGAAGAGAATCAAGCACAAGTAGCATTAGATAAAGCTAAAGAAGCTAATGGTGGTAAAATAGAATTAAATGGTGGTGAATTACAGGGTCGAGTTCTTGAGGGTTGGTATATATTATATTTCAGAGTGTTATATTACATTTTATAGCTTATTTGATAAAAACTAGAATGACTGGTGGCATTTGAATAGTACTGTCAGGCAATTCCAGCCAACACAGCTATATTTGTCACTGATTCCACTGTCTTGAATTTCCATAGTACATTGCATTGCATATGCCGGACTTTAATATCCTGTTGGTACTCAAAGTAGAACATTAAATTTCACTGTGCAATGAATCTTTGTTAGATCTACTTTACATTCTTATGCATTATTCATATTAGTGCCAGGCACAATTTCCCTCATAGCACACTGTATGGAGTATGCCCGTCTTCATTAGAGAAGAACAGTAGGACGTAAAACCCCATTCCGCTAAAGATTCATATTGACTGGGTTAATTAGCTAGCTGCGGTATGTTTTGTTACCTGTCTAAGTAAATAAATTGTGAAATGTTGACCCAGTGTGCTGTGTCTTAGAGCAATAGACTATTGATGTCAACAACTGTTTTTATACGCCCACATTTTCATGTGGACGTATTATGCCGTCGCCCCTGTCGCGTAAGAATATGGTATATCAAGGTCGTGGACCCTATAGGGGTCACAATTTTTATCCGATTTTGTTGAAACTTGAAATGTAAGTTTATAACCCAAAGACCTCGGTTCCTTTCGATATTCGTGCATATGATTATCGGACCGTAACTTCCTGAATTATGGCCCCTGATTGTACGAAAAATCACGTTTTTAGCTTGTGGACCCTATAGAAGTCATAATTTTTATCCGATTTAATAAACCATTCTATTATATCACCGTTACACCCTAAGGATGACTGAGTTCGAATTTCGTGAAAATCGGCCCAAAATTGACAGACAAAATGGCCGCCTTTCGTTCCCAAATTGCGTAAGAATATGGTATATCAAGGTTGTGGACCCTATAGGGGTCACAATTTTTATCCGATTTTGTTGAAACTTGAAATGTAAGTTTATAACCCAAAGATCTTGGTTCCTTTCGATATCTGTGCATATCGGACCGTAACTTCCTGAATTATGGCCCCTGATTGTAAGAAAAATCACATTTTTAGCTTGTGGACCCTATAGAAGTCATAATTTTTATCCGATTTAAAAAAAACGTTCTATTATGTCACCGTTACACCCTAAGGAGGACTGAGTTCGAATTTCGTGAAAATCGGCCCAAAATTGACAGACAAAATGGCTGCCGTTCGTTCAGTTCCGTTCGATATTTGCGCATATCGAATTGGAATTTCCTGAATTATGGCCCTTGATTGTAGGAAAAATCACTTTCTTGTTAGCCTGTTCTCTATCCATCTCTCGAAAATGTGGGTGTATCCTGCCTGGCAGCCGCTGGTTTTATTACATAAGTGTACAGTGTAAAAATACTTCAATTCATACCTGTTTTAAATGATTGACCATTTAATTATTGTTGATACTTTTTCAGGAGAGGAAGAGCTTAGTCACTGGAAAATGATATTTTCTGACCGATCAAATCGTGATATGAATAGAAGGAAACCAATGAAGAGGGGCCGAGGCAAGGTAAGGATATATTCAATGTTTTTAGTCAAATAATCAGCAATGAGATATTTTATCAGATTTAATCATTTATTTTACAACAATGTACAGCTTCATGGTCCAATAAACCTGCATTGGACAGATTTCATAGTTTTATCTTAACACATTGGGGTAATTTCAAGTCCTACAAAAGTCCTACTTTGACCAGAAATATTTTAGTTTCATTTAATTTTGTTTCAATATAACAAGAAAGTATTTAAACATAAGGAAAGACAAGAGTACTAAAACATTTTGTTCATTTGGATAATCACTGTATTAACATCTAATGCAGATATTGTTCATGGACCTGTGATGATAGCATAGTGGTACCTTTGACCATGATTAGATGGCCATGGCCAGTCACATTTGTAAAGTTGTAGTTCATATTGATCAACAGATATATAATTCTAACAATTGATGATTTAATTTAAACATTAACCTTCTTTCAGTTTGGTTCCTTTAAGGGTAAACGACGAGGTCAGAATAATGATGGTGAGTTAACTAACACATATGTTCTTTTGTAAAAATTGAAACAGTTTTGTGCATCACCTATTCTATTATGTGATGCTCAAACCAATCCTTTCTGTGTTAACAAATAAAGGTTTATCCAAGTCTGGGACTCATCAGTCAAGAAACCTTAAAGTTGACTTTTAGATCATTTGTTTTAGTCAGTGTGTAGCAAGGTGTTGTCAGAGTGCGGAGCAGCAAAGACATTTTTTATACCTTTGTATGGTAGTGTTAATTTTCATTAACACATACAGAGAAACAGCCCACTAGGTCACTGGTTTTAGTAAGATAACACCTTTTTCATTGTAAGTCTTTTTTAAATTGTAACTTTTCTATGATTTCAGGAGCACCTGCAGCAAAAGCAGCAAAAACAGAATGATGTTAAGACAACTAATATCTTTGTTTTATCTTTTTGTAAATAATTGTTATGTCTATGAAATGTTTTTAAATTCAACCATCATTCAACCATCATGGAATAAATTATCATTTGTATATAGTATCATGAATATAAATATATAGTAGTGAATATTTTAATAAGTCACAGAACAGCGTAATGTTCATCATTTGTTCATTCTATTAGATCGAGTATTCTTCTTGTATTTCATCATGTAGTTGAATCATACAGTACATAAATGTATTACTGACAAAGGGGAAACCACATTGGAAAATCCTGAACTTTCTGGCCAACCATGTGGAATTAAACACAGGACATTCATGTTAGCAAGCAAACACCTTAAGTATAAATTAATATATTGAAGAATCGGGAATTAGATTGAATGATATTTATTTGGATTTAAAATAGTTGTAGTGTGAAAGGAAATGTATGATTAAATGTATATTTTAAATTATCAGTACAAATAATGTAGATTATTGGGTTATTTTGTCATTTATTTAGCCTCTTTGACCCAAACTGGTCTTGTACTCAACATAATCATGTCAATGTAAATATTCTATCAAAATATCACATAAAATAAAACATTCAATTCTGTTGTTTTGTTTTTATCGATTTAAGGTATGTTTAGTGTCTTTCAAATACAAAAATGTGATTTAGGATGAAAACTGCCACATTATGCTTCCTCATACTTGGTAAACTCTTTAATAACTCGAATGTATCAGTTAATGTTTATTAACGGATCATGCAAGTCTTTCAATCAGATGTTAGTCAAAGCGTGTCGATGTACAAGATAAGAGGACCTGGGGTCATATATTAAACCGATTACCGCCCGAGTAACTAAATCATTATGCTATGAATAATAATATACCACCTGAGTAACTCATTTCACATGAGGGACAGTCAAAAACATAAAAAATTTGACAACAATAAACGGCGTAGCATGGGCATAGCTATGAACCGGAAGCAGGAAACAGCGTAACTCCCTATACACCAAATTTCATCCTCGGGACAGCCCTTGTGTAGCCGCCATCATTACTAGATACATTAGTATAGATATTTGTTGACATTTTTTGGGGGGGGTTTGTGTCCGTTGACCCAACAGTATACTGAAATATACATGCAGTTGGTTAATCCATAAATACTAGGCAGGGCGAAACTACTTTGTGGAGACTCTACAGGTCACAATTTTTATTCGATTTTGACGAAACTTAAAGGGTCAATCCCGATAATATTTTGGGGAATAAAACTGCTTAATTTTGTGTTAAAATCCCTTAAAATCCTCTACATGAGGGCCGAGCAACTAACTCAATATATGTGATACGTTTTCAAATTAAAATTTACACTGAACAAAAAAAGAAGTTGGATTATACATTGTCTTAATTTAGAAATTACATGAATAGAAGTTAGAAATTACATGAATAGAAGTTAGAAATTAGACGATAGCATGTTAGAATTTTGAGTCTAATATACTGCCATACCACAGGACCCACTCTCTGGTTTAGGCCGATTCTACACCAAACCATTATGCTTGGACCTCCCCATGAGTCTCGTTCCATGACACATTGGTCAGAATAACGCTGGCCATGTCGACGCCATATTCTGGTCTTTCCATATGCAGTTGATACGCAATACCGACTCCCATCTGTGAACAGAACAGTTCTCCATTGCCTGTGTCGCCAGTTCTGGTGTTGTTGGGCAACCTGTAGACGTTAACGTCGATGGCGAGGGGTGAGGATCGGTCTACGGCAATGGATGTTCTCTCTGGTGAGAAGTCGGCGCACTGTATCGGTTCTGATGGGTATTCCGTGTGTTCCAACTGTCTGACGTGCTGTCTCAGATGCCTGTGTGGAGGGATTCTGTACGTGCTGTCGCACAACATGGCGGTCTTATCGCCTTATCGTAACCCTTGGTCTACCAGTTCGGGGGCGATCATCCGTGGTGTTGGTGACCCGAAAGCGTTGCTGAAGCTTGTAGATGGTCAGAACATTGACCTGGAAGTGATTGGCAACGGCTTGGACAGTGTGGCCAGCGTCGATTCTTCCAAGCGCCTGGTTCCTCTGAGCTGTCGTGAGTCGTGGCATGCTGCTCACGTTTTATGTGAATGATCCAACCAGGTATGGGCGTGCATTTTATAGGGTTAGTCCCGGTGTAGCATGAGTTACATGAAAATCATGGAGAACACATTACCATCTCAGAAGTCAGGTTGCATTTTTGAGAACATTTCCTGGGTTCAATTCTGTGTTTCGGAAGGAGCCTTATTGCTCAGGTAAAGTTGGGGATTTGGTCACAAATATACAATAAAAACATTTGGCAAGTTTTATGCAATGCGTCTATTCAGAGTAACATACCAGCCTGACGTTTCTTTTGCTGCTTAGTATATTTTATTACTATTCATTGATTAAACCGTCTTCTCTACAGTCAATCAAAAATAAAATATTATCATTCAACAATTCTTTATCTATTAAAGATTTTTTTGTTAATCTTTATATGCTTATTGTTCCCGGTGATTTGATTTTGAGGGCTTATTAACACATCGATTTTTGATGTATAGATATGGAACCAATTATGGAAAAGCTCTTGATAAAAGGGAGATAATTTTTAAAATTTAAAAAAGCTGCTTGGTAGTTACATGCCGGTAATATTTGTCCACCATAATTGTTTAATATATAAGCGTACGGAACTTTCCGTGATTAAACATCTTGCGATAGTATTTTTTTTTTATCCAGAATACACTACGGCATATCATCATTTCTTTTAAATCACTAATATTCAGTCCCCTTTTATTTATATCTTGATTTATAACTGACTAGAAGAATGCCCGGCTTCGCTCGGGGGTCATAACCCCGAAACCGGAAGTGGTAGACTAACGTCACCTGGCCTATGTTACTCCCCGGTCCGAACTACCCCTATACCCCAAATTTCAGACGCGGGGCAGACCTAGTGCAGCCGCCAACCCCGAACAGACAGACAAACGACAGTCACAAATATTAGTATAGATTTAACTGTTTATATTCATGTGTAGGCAATTGGTCTGTTATTAACATACACTGGTTACCTCTAATAAAAACAGCAGTGCATTTCCGCAGTTTTGTATTGTTTCTGAATATCCCCTACTTATTTTGAAGAGTATATAATATGGATTTTTCCTATTAAACTTAAGTTTCGTCTTTTCCAGGTATTCAAAGTATCTTCAATTTAAACTATGCAATTTTCAAAATTCATTTTTTCAGAAATTTTTTCATCGAATGAATAGGTAATACCTAACATTTTTATATAATTCTCGCGATAGATAAAACCTAAATCTTTAATAGTATCACGTAGTTGTGCATTACCACTGTTTTAGTAGCGTTTAATTCTAGCCCAGAAACCCTAATAATGTTTTTTTTACAACTTCAAAAAAGTGTCTAGTTGATTTAAAATCTTTCAATAAAACTGTCATACCGTCTGCAAGGGCTATTAATTTTAACGATGGAGCCCCAAAGGTAATCCCCCCCTATGTTTATATCATTTATAATATATAAATACATAGTGTCTCGATAACGAGATTAAAAAGATTTGTGCTGCTAGGGTCACCTTGACGTACTCCCTTGGCCACTTTAAAATAAGGAGTAGTATATCCATTATTCATTACTGCACAGTTAATGTCATTATGTCTGTATCCATCTTAATTAGTTGCGTTTTTAAATCCAAAAGCGTCTGAAACAGAAAGTAGAGATTTATGGCTTACGCTATCAAAAGCCTTTTTAAAATCAATGGCTAAAAGAAAACCAGTTATTTTCTTTATTTTTGCGAGATAAAAACATTCATCAGTGACACGAGTATCGCCCAGAAATAAAGGCAGTTTGATTTTGATGTATTAAGTATTGAAGAAAGGACTTTAATCTTAATGATTAAATTTTACTTGCTAATTTTACATCTACATTTATAAGTGTGATGGGGCGCCAGTTAGATAGAAGTGATTTATCTTTGCCGGTTTTTGGGATAAGTTTAATAATCGATTGTCTTTGTGACTCTGATAATTTTCTTATGTTCAAAGCTATATATTAATAAGAGACTAGTATTCACTGTAAAATTCTATATTCAGTCCTGTAGTATCAAGAGAGAGAGAGAGAGAGAAATGTGGTTTAACGTCCACTCGACACAAACTAGGTCATTTCAGGACTAACATATGGTTTAATTTTTTTTTCAATAATTCTCTTGCGCGTATAGGTCTTTAGCAGTGGGAGGAAACCGGAGGACCCGGAGAAAACCCACGAGGTTGGACAGGCGACCCTACTCCTTGTCACGTACAACCGGGGAATCGAAACCCCGCCAGTTGACTCAATGACAGACCGTATGATACAGCGCGCGCGTGCTAACCATTCGCCCCCCCCCCTCTAGTATCAAAGGCCAGTACGGTCCGATATGCGCCAATATAGAAACGAACCTATAGATCTATGGGATATGAACATATAAATTAAGCTTTTATCAAAATCGGATAAAAATTGTGTTAGCATACAACAAGCGGCCATTTTGTACGGCAGTTTCGAACTCAGCCGGCCTTAGGGTGTAACGGTGATATATTTGAACGGTTTTAAAAATTGGATAAAACCGCAGAGGAACTGCAAGCTAAAAACGTGAATTTTCATACAATCAGGGGTTATAATCAAGGAAATTACAATCCGATATGCACAAATATGGAAGGGAACCGAGATCTATGGGTTATAACATCAATTTTATTTTTGATCAAAATCGGAAAAAAATGTGACCTCTAGAGTGTCCACAACTAAAAGCATGATTTTTCGTACAATCAGGGGCCAGAATCCACGAAGTTACGGTCCGATATATGAATATATTGAAAGAAACCAGGATCTTTGCGGGCTAAACCTATATTTCATGTTTGGTCAAAATCGGATAAAAATTGTAACCAGTAGAATGCCCACAAATTGTGTACACCCGGATGGACAGAGGCGACGATAAGATACGTCCACAAGAAAATGTTGGCGTATAAAATAATATAAAAACTGATTTCAAGAAGCGATATATTAGTATATACAATATAGAAATGTTTTGACAAAAACATGAATGAATATTTGCCAACCAACCCATCCTCCTAACAAAATATTACATCTATGAATTAATTACCAAATAAAGATCAACACCTTTACTTGTTGAGAACTTTGCCAGAGACAGAATTGAATTTATTTGAAGGAAACAAACAAGACAATGTTTGATAAATGGAAAGATGAAATTTAATTATAGGTACAACACAAAGCAATCTCCAGCAGAACCAACTATATCACATATATACTCTGATCTGTATGTTTTTAAAAAAAAAAGAATATATACAGTGTATTTTTAAAAAGAGCATATTAAGAAAAAGAAAACAAAAAACTGTAACAGCGCGGAATAAATAATTCATGGTCTGATATTACTTTAGCTTATTATTACAGTGACAAGAGTCTTCACAAGCTTGTCTTTGACAGAAATGAAATGGGGTTTAACGTCCTACTGTCCTGCTCCAAACTGGGCTAATGAAGACGGACATACGCCATACAGTGTGCTATGAGGGAAATTTTGCCCGGACAGCGGCAGTACGGCCTACTCTTATATCGAATTCCAACTGTCAAGGGATACACGGGACCTCGGTTTTCCGTCCCATCCGAACGACTAGACAGCTGTCCTTGTCACAGCCTCCACTTAGTCACCGTGACTCCCCTAGCTTTGACAGGTCGTGAGCTAGTGTATTTAAACTGGTTTATTTTCCCCACATTTGCGTTCAGAGAGAAATGGGGTTTAACGTCCACCCACTCGACACAAACTAGGTCATTTCGGGACTAACATATGGTTTAATTTTATTTCAATAATTCGCTTGCGCGTAAGGGTCTTTAGCAGTGGGAGGAAACCGGAGGACCCGGAGAAAACCCACGAGGTTGGAAAGGCCACCCTACTCCTTGTCACGTACACCCGGGGATTTGCGTTCAGACGACAAAGTTAAACTGGTTTAACGATCCCTGTTGTTTTTTTTAAAACTAGTTCAACTTAAGCGTCTGAACAGACTTATAGTTTATGGCCCGCTTTCCATGTCCACGTTTCCGACAACGAAAAAGTCGGTCTAATGCAAATGTAATGGGACCGTTTCCACGTGCACTGAAAAATATTTTGTCTGCGTACCTAAAATTGGACATAATGTCGAAATATTAATTGGAGACACTGCCACATAACTGATAAGACTCCCATTGAAGGGACATATATTTCAGCTGTTTTTCACGATACAATCTTCTTTAGAGACAGAATCTGACTTTTGTAATATTTACGATTGGTATGTTTGACTCCGGTAAATATAGTCCCGATTATAACGCTTTGACTAGCTGTATGTGTCTAAACTGATCAGCAGTAAATATTCGCTTGGTCGATACTCAATCTGGTTAAAACACAAATCCTATTTCGTTTCGTTTATTTATAGTTCAAAATTTTACTTGTCTTTACTACACTAAGATCTAGAAAAGTTGTTATATAACCCGCGTTCTGGTTGACGTGAGGGATTAGCCAGCAGCGAGTTCTTGGCGTGCGATACACAGAATTGTGGGTATCCTAGTAGAAACATCAACGCTCATTAGCTAATCAAATGTCTGACGCCATAGGGTCAAAAGTCACCGGTTTGATCCCTGACGCGACCTCCAACTACAACTGGCCAGATCTTCATGTAGTAGATACCATTGAAAGTATAAAAAAACGAAACGAAATATAGGTCTGTATTTAATCAAATTAAGACGTTACTATTAGGCCTACTAACAGAGTGGTGACATCGGGATAAGTTAATTCAAGCTCAATATTAACTTGTTTTCTTCTGCAAATTCTAAAACAATTGTTTAAATTATTAGGAAAAAAGGCGTCAATTCTGCCCGGACCAGTTTGTGTTACTACGTCCATTTAATCAATGCACGTGTTATCGAAGTCGTGTCATGTGACGTCACCCGTAGACCTATACTGCACGTGAACTGAAATGTCAGTGATTTTCTACAGAGGTAAAAGAAGACTTTCGCATCACCCCTGCTAAACAGCTTGGTATGACTAAGGTAAATGTAGTCCCGATTATCAAAGTCTCGATTATAATGGTTATTTAATTATTTTCAAACACAGATGCCATACGTCAACACTGATAACAGAGTGCAATTTAAAGGTACAATACAAACATATCAAGGTAAATAGAGATAACAAAATAATGAAATTGAAATGGAATGGGGATTAACTTCCTACTGTTCTGCACCTATAACTGGGATATTGAAGACGGTACAAAATAATACAGCAATACAAGTCTTATAATACGTAACAGCAATACAATTTATATAAAACAGCAATACAATTTATATAATATAAAGCATGCAATTTTTATTTATTTACAATTCTGGATTTTAAACATGGTTTCATAAACCGGACCGCTGAAGGAATTTTTATGTGCCCATTCATCTTCTGGGACTTGAATATGCCGATGTAATAATTTCTTTTAAAGATATTTAGACTCCCCAGAGCGATGTACCGGATGCATCACTTCTCCTTGGACATGTACCTAAGTAAAATATGATAAATAATACTTAAAGGACTATGTTCCTGTCCACAAAGTTGTCATATATTAGATTGAGATGCACAGATTACAGATAAGATCTTAAAGGGCGTATATCTCTATTCCTTGGACGGAAAGCAGTCAAAAACACATATTAATGTAATATGGGTGTATATAAATGGATAGGCATTTTTAAAATGTATATTGCAATTCCAAATCAATTATGTTCAGTGAAATGCGTAAATAGGCGAAATTGAACGTCAGTCGCTTCCATATTTTTTTTTTTTTTTTTTTTTTACCTTTTTTTATTTTGTCGTTTGTGAATCAACCATCACTAATAACTTCCGCATTGTATTATGGGTTATGTGTTATTTGTGCATTACAAATGGTGCCCATAGAGTAAAGGATTCGTGTACTGATTTTAAAATGTTCATTCTGCCTTAAATATATGATTTTTGGATCCTATATTTTCACGGCAAGACAACAACATTTATATTGATTGAAATGTAATGTACTAATATTGAATTCTAATTCGTGCTTTAAAGTATGGTTGATCTGTAAATTCTACTGAAATTAACGCAAATGCCGGAGACCGGTTATCGCTACAGGAATGTCCACAACAAGAACCAATTGTCATAACCCCACTCCTTTACGGACAAGGAGTCATCCCGATACATTTTAAAGATTCAAATTGGTAAATTCTGCGAGGTTGGTCTCATAGGAAATCGTTTCTTTGTCAATTAAAAGTATCTGAAGATATGGTATTATTTAATTTTAATTAAAATGGATAATATCTGAGAAATACAATGGATATCACCCGATAGAAAAAATAAATACGCAATCTTATGAACAATTTGATCAATAGGGATTAAATGTTATTATTTACATCGTGATGAGGCCGATTAGGACAATAATGTTGTACAGATCTCTGGACGTCGATGGAAGCGGATGCAAAATCCAACAGAAATACCTACTCTGGCACAAGACCATAGGGTCCCATACACTGGAGTTAGTGTATGAACAGTACTTGATAAAACAGGGAACCAGACACGTGGCTTCACTGATGGAGATTTTCTAGTTTCTCTACAACGTGCGTGTACCCGTTTAACCGCAAACTCTCTATAAATGGTTCATAGACGTCTATTCCAGATCGACTTAAAATGTTCAGAAACTTTCTCGCTGCATTTCTTCGCGAATCTTCAGCTTTGATTTCTTCTAAATCATCTTTGGTTAAATACCCCCGAGAAAACAGCGAATCCATAATTTGTTTCACATCCAAAATGTCCACCAAATAGGTATAATTTTTCCTTATTATTTGATAATGTCTTCTTTTGAGGCTTGTATCAGACATACTGAATTGAAATGAAACGGGGATTATGGTCCTACTTTTCAAACATACTGAAATATATAATAGAACGGGATTACTGCCATGGAATGGGCTCCATAATATTTCAAATATGCCGTTGGACAAAAATAAGAGGTTGTATACCTAGAATAATCAGTAAAAAAAAAAATTAAAGTGAAATATTGAAGATATTTAAGTTGAATAATTAAGAAATATGAAAAGGATTATGTTTTGAAAGGTAAAGAATGGCGTTGGGGTAGTGGCGGATCTAGGTACCTCCCCATACCTAACTAACACTATAAAAATTGGAGCTTATGTTTGGTTGGGGTGATAATGTGAGGGTGGATTGAATGTTATCGGCTAAAACACAGTATTTGACCAGTTTTCAATTTTTTGATGTTATATACAGTTTGGAAACAACTACCAGAATTTACAGTCCATTTGTAATAATGACCTCTCCTAATGACCACCAAATTTCAAGTCAATATAATATATCTTCATTGTTCAGTTACGGCAATAAACATTTTCCAAAAATAGCCATTTTTTTGCGTTATGCTGTCTCACTTGAATAAATTCTATTTTTGAAACTCAAATTAATTTTTTTATTATATTTTTTTATTTTTATGGAAAGGATATAAACGCATGCTTATAGAACATTTCCTATAATAAATTTTGGTAGTTCAATTAAACAAATAGACAGCGTCCTTGTTATTGAGTACTAAATTACAAAAACATGTGTTTCTGGCAAAATTTGACAATCACAGTTTATCATGTGCTTGAAAAACACCGAAAACTTACAATAAAAATGTAATCTTGAGTAATATTATAATTTTCAATACATGTGTAATTTTAAAATCTAAAATATTTTTTATTCATTTGAATTTTAAGTTGATTTTTTTCACTTTTTAAAGGTTACGGACACTACATTGTAGTGACCCATACTTAAAAAGCTTTACAAAAATGTATTCGCAGAAGCTGCTGAAGCAAAAAAAAAAAAAAAAAAAATAATGGCCAAAATATTGCTCTTTTGATGCTTAGAATTGCAAGGCAATTTATTTTTTAACCCTGATGAGACACTTTTGTCACAAATACTGTGTTTTAGCCGTATATTCGTGTCTAGTTGTGCGTCTTTCCATGACAGTCCGGTAATCCTGTAGGCTACCACTGACAAGGGGAAGCCTGGCTGGAAAATCTCGGGGAAGGTTCTCGAACAACTCCTTTATCGAACCCAGAGCAATAGTCACGAAGCTACCAACATTTTGGGATTGCACGAACCATTTACTTTATATCATTCGTTTAAAGAAAATATACAAATATTTTACTGTATATCATTCAAAAACAAGGAAGTATGCAAATATTTTTAAAAGTTGTGCTATATATAACTTGGTGGCTATACATCCGTGTGTGATGTCTGTGTACTTTCAACTGCTACTAGTCTAGTTACACGCTTTTAAAATAATCTATTATAACAATTAGCTAAACATTAAAAATACCCGATTCTTTCCACCACCCAGTCACTGACATTACCTGTAGTAAAACCCACTGTCAACAGGAGTTAGAATTGGATCCAAGTAGACAGATTCTGAAATCATTTCATTTAAACTTACTTGATTACATATAAATCATCTGCTACACTTTAATCCTTTCAATAATTACACTAATGAAGAGCCGTTGACATACCAACCGTCTTTATGTTCACTGCACGCCGGTGTTTAACTAGGTTAAATGGATAGCAATATCGACAAAAAAAATGTCCTTGTTATTGACTGAATTCGACAGCTTGGGTGATACAGTTTTCCGTACAGTTAATTCCCGATGAAAAAATATTTTAGTCTAGATTAACAAGTCACGCAGCCAAGACCAGGAAAATGAATTACACAGGCTTATGCAATATTGAATATGTTTTTCTATTACAAACATACAGGGGCATACTGGCATGGGATCGAGGGCCCAGGGGGATCGGAGCCCAGATTGGACAAAACAATTGGCATACATTTGTGTTCATCTTTGCATCCACTGATAAATTGGGCTTCCTTAACGCATGGGCATACGCCACCATACAGTGTGCCGCGAGTGAAATTTTTCCCGGTCAACGGCGTTATGACCTACTCTTATATAGAATTCCAAATGTCAATGGTTACTTACGTCCACGCTAATATCCCATGCCATGTACTCAGTCCTTGGCCATTGACAAGGGGGGCCACGCCGAACTCAATGTCACTACTAATATATGCCAGCCCAGGTGACATTCTGATTCTCAAACCACTCAACAATAATAGACACAAGCCGGAAGCCTAGTCCTAGATCAGATGATTTCAACAGGAATAGATTTTCTTTCTGTATTAAAACAGTCGACCATGATTCTTTGAAAAGATTCATAAATATCCTTCAACACCTCGATTTTTAAGTTTATTAAACCAGATGAATTGCGTAATGTTTGTGATTCCGATGCTCTAGGCCTAGGCTTGAAGTAGACTTACCGTTATCAACAACACTTAAGTTATTTCTGTCTATACTATAAGTATAACTACAATATATGACTATACTGAATATCCCACAGTCATTGTTAATCATTTCCACTGTGTAAACTCACATATATATAAAAAATTAATTTACTCTCATCGTGTGCCAATTCTCGCGTAGATCTAGATCATCTACTGTTTAAAAATAATGAAGATTCAAGATACCGGTGCGCGGTAGTGGAAAAGGCATTATTTACAAGTCATCATCAAAGGGACAGTTACCTAAGCTACACATTCACGGAAGTTGCAGTTCAACGTGGGTTGATACTAATATTTTTCAAATTCAACTGAACTGTATTGTATCTCTCAACTGTGCAACAACTTGTTACAAGTACGCCGTTAAAGGGAAACAACTCCAATTTACACAACGTACCTCAAGCGCCAATTACAGATCCTATCACAAAGAATGAAAAATTGTCATCAATAAAACTTGAACCAAGCTATTCCAACATCCTTTCCACAATTATTAATCAGATTACAGAACTATCGGATAAAGTTAATTTTCTTATATCGCCCCCCCCCCCCCCAAAAAAAAAATAACCTTCTTATAAATTCATCTTCATTAAACATAGTAAAATCAATTTGTGATATAGATAATTACGTCCTGCAAGTCAGCTATAGATAAGTCTACTAGATTATCACATCAATCAACAATTTAAATTGCAACCACTCTCTTCAAACTATTATTATATGTGCGGGGGGAATAAATGATATCTCTTTAAATGACCATGTTCAAAGTACATTGTACTAAAGACTTTAATGATCTCATTTATCATTAACATTTATTTTTATTTGTTCGTCATCTATTAGAGAATGTAAGAAACTTAATAATTGTATCCAGGAGTATTGTGAAAAAAATAAATTCATGTTTATTGATGTATTTACCCACATATTTTAAAATGTTGTTTATACAGAAATCCGGCATCTAATGCTAAATTTAATGACGAATTTAAATTAATGATGGATTCTGCATGGAATCAAGGAATTGAACTGATCATTTTTGGTGATATGAATATCAATTTGTTAGACTGCAAAAATTCTTATTGGACGGATTCACTCAATTTTTACAATTTAATTCAAATTATTTCTTCTCTAACCCATGTTACAAATTCAACTTCTTCGTTAATTGTCTCTGCCCCCAGTCATATTATTGAAACTAAAGTGCCATGTTATTCTATATCAGACCACTTTCCAACTTGTTTTACATGGTCCAAAAGAGGAGTAAAGATCCCCAAGACATACATACAGATCCTTTCGAAATTTTATTGAAAATAATTACATGTGTGACCTAAGCTTAATTATCTTTGAAAATATTTATCTGATAAATTACCCAACATGCTCTTCAAATTGGTATGAATTAGTAACTCGAATAATTGATCACCATGTTCCTATCAGAACTAGAGACGTGTTAAGACTGCTATCAAACCTCCAGGGATCACTAGTGAAATTTAAAATTAATGCGACAGCATGATTTCCATAAAAGTAAGAAAAACGACATCGAATATAACAAGTGTCAAATCGTTTAAAAACAATTTTCGTCAGTCTAAATCAAAATAACTCAATGATTTGGTCGCATAGGCGTACCGGCTCCAAGACAGTTGGGGGGGGGGGGGCAGGAACCCGAAATGCCCGAAAAAATTTCGGGTTTACAGACAGCGGTGCGGTCTTCCTCGAGAGGCGAAAAATCGGAGCTTACGTTGTGTGGATCCCCCCCCCCCCCTCCCAAGAAAATTTTGGAATATTTGACGGCTGCAAACACGTTTTCCTGCTATTTCAGCCCGTGAACAAAGCAACTCCAAAGTGGTCTAATATAGGCTAATTAAGATGGCTGGCTCGAATTCCAATCAAAAGATCAATCGTTTACAGTCCACGGAGACGGGACCGTTGGGAGAAAATATTGAAAATTTAACTGCCGCAAACGCGTTTTCCGGCTATTCCAGCCTGTGAATACAGCAACTTCAATTTGGTCCATTATAGCCTGCCTGGTTGACCCGAATTCCAAACAACCAATCAATCGTCGCGAGGTATGAGGGCCTCAGCAACTCCAAAAGTATCCAATGGTTTTGTAACCGAAATACCATTCTGAATTCCAACCATCCAATCAGACTGTTGAAGCTGCATTCACAAATAATAATCGATGCCCGAAAAATGTCGCAAACAGTAGAGTGGCTCCAGACAAAATGTTTTAATCCATAGTCAACTCAGTACAAATTCGTGGTATTCAATTAAAAGAAAAGTAAAAGTAGTGTTTTATTAGGGTTCGATGACAGTTAGGGAAGCACAACTAGAAATGCCCGAACAAATTTCAGGCTTACAGACAGCGGCGCCGGTTTTCTTCGAGAGGCGAAGAATCGGAGCTTACGTTGTATGGCGCCCCCCCCCCCCCCCAAGAAAATTTTGGAATATTTGACGGCCGCAAACGCGTTTTACTGCTATTCCAGCCCGTAAAATTAGTGTTTTATTAGATTTCGGGCACTTAATTTTGATGAAATAATTTTTTTTTTTACTTGCCCGAAAGTTAGGAGGCAGCTGCCCCCCCCCCTGCCCCCTGGCTCGTACGCCTATATGTGGTCGGAAATAACAAAAATTCTAAACAGATATGGAATTCATTAAATTCAGCAGCTAACAAAAGTAACAGAAGTCACCACGTACCACTGGATAGCAATATAGTTAATGACTTCTTCGATAACATAGCCGATAAAATTCTCAGTGACAATACAGATAATACCCCTAGTAATATAAGGCTTGATGATATTAATTTAAAAACATATGTAAATTCTAAAGTATCCGATGGCATATCTTTCCAAATTACGTTTATTAAAAGCAAAAGATGTAGTTAATTCCCTACAAAAATTAGATGTTTCCAAGGTAGTCGGCCTTGATTCAATAAATCCGCTATTACTGCTAGTCTCACACACATTTTTAACTTTTCTAGAACATTTCTTCGATAAGCTAATCTCTTATTATATGTATTCTGTGTATCTCCATATTATAAGTATGTACATACTAGCAGGATACCCGGCTTCGCTCGGGGGTCATAACTCCGAAACCGGAAGTGATAGACTAACGTCACCTGGCCTATGTTACTCCCCGGTCCGAGCTACCCCTATACCCCAAATTTCAGACTCGGGGCAGACCTAGTGTAGCCGCCAACCCAGACCGGCTTCGCTCGGGGGTCATAACTCCGAAACCGGAAGTGGTAGACTAACGCCACCTGGCCTATGTTACTCCCCGGTCCGAGCTACCCCTATACCCCAAATTTCAGACTCGGGGCAGACCTAGTGTAGCCGCCAACCCCGAACAGACCGGCTTTGCTCGGGGGTCATAACTCCGAAACCGAAAGTGGTAGACTAACCCCACCTGGCATATGTTACTCCCCGGTCAGAGCTACCCCTATACCCCAAATTTCAGACTCGGGGCAGACCTAGTGTAGCCGCCAACCCCGAACAGACCGGCTTCGCTCGGGGGTCATAACTCCGAAACCGGAAGTGGTAGACTAACGCCGCCTGGCCTATGTTACTCCCCGGTCCGAGCTACCCCTATACCCCAATTTTCAGACTCGGGAGCCGCCAACCCCGAACAGACAGACTTCGCTCGGGGGTCATAACTCCGAAACCGGAAGTGGTAGACTAACGCCACCTGGCCTATGTTAATCCCCGGTCCGAGCTACCCCTATACCCCAAATTTCAGACTCGGGGCAGACCTAGTGTAGCCGCCAACCCCGAACAGACAGACAAACAGACAGACAGACAAACGACAGTCACAAATATATATATAGATTTCTTTTGTGTTATATTTTCTATGAAGATCAGGGTGTTCTGAAATAAAGTTATTATTATTATGCGCGTATTTTTTTTTAGTTAAATCGACTAGATTTATGGAGCCGCATCGTTGCCATATTAAGAGAGGACAAATTTATTGTAAAATTGCAAAATTATTATTAAACATTATTATACATGTACATGTATTTATAGCGCTGCTTTCACTAGAAGTGTTCAGTAGCGCTTTACCACAAGCTAATTAAACGCTCTTTTAAAAAGATGGGTCTTAAGCTGACGTTTAAAATATCATAGTCAAAAAGGTAAAAATTGCTATAATCGTGATTTTTCACATGTAAATAATACTTCATACATTTTATGAATATTTAACGAAAATCTGTATATAGTAACAAAACAAAAATGGCAAAATCCACTGTAACTTGTTTCCGACAAAAAAAAAAAAAATTCTGCATAGTACATTTCTCCAATTAGTTTATAACGGTTTTAATTACAGTCTGTTTAACTGTAGCTTTAATAATCTTAAGTAAGTTTAGATTGTTTTACTGTGAATTGTTTAATTGTTTTACTGTGAATCGCTTTATCAAAAATATATAATTATTTTTAATGTGAATCGCTTTATCAAAAATAGATAATTTTTTTTATTATTAATAAAATGTACCAAAACTACCCGACAATTATCTTAGACCTATTTTCATTGCATAAGGATGACATAGTTTGAAAGGGATTGTTGCAGGGTTTGTAACACTATCCTGTTCCTGTTACACCGAAAGCAAAAGAAACTATGTAAGACTATCTTTTTGTATTAACATTACGTATATAAATATATTATCTAGGGAG